CTAGAGATAGAGACTAGTATGATAAATGCTTCTGTCGGCACCGTTCCTACAAAGGAATCATATCACTAAACCGGTCTGCAGGGAGAGCCCGGTCTACAAAAAGAGGGGGTGATTAGGTCGTCATTCTACAAAACTGCCACATAATCACGGAAAAGGGACCGTTCCTACAAAGGAATCATATCACTGAACCGGTCTACAGGGAGAGCCCGGTCTACAAAAGAAGGGGTGATTTAGGTCGTCATTCTACAAAACTGCACATAATCTACGAAAAAGGGACCGTTCCTACAAAGGAATCATATCACTGAACCGGTACAGGGAAGCCCGGTCTACAAAAAGAAGGGGGTGATTTAGGTCGTCATTCTACAAACTGCACATAATCTCGGAAAGAAGAAACTCTTCCTACAACGGAATCATATCACTGAACCGGTCTACAGGGAGAGCCCGGTCTACAAAAAGAAGGGGGTGATTTAGGTCGTCATTCTACAAAACTGCACATAATCTACGGGAAAGAAACTCTTCCTACAAAGAAATCATACAACTGAACCATTCTACAAAGAACACACAGTCTACACAGAAGATGAGCTACTTTACGCCGTCCTTTAGTAAAACGGAAGAGTGAGTGTTTCTACAAAGCAATCATACCTCTGCACTGTTCTACAAACCAAACGTAGTCTACAAAAAAACGAGTAATTTTGGTCGTTACTCCGTAAAACTACACATATTCTACGTAGAAAACGACTGTTCCTACAAGGGAACCGCAACACTAAACAATTCCACAATAATAACACAGTCTACTAAAAATATGAGCTACTTCAGATCGTTCCTCAACATGATCGGACACATTCTACTCATAACATCGCCGTTCTTACACAAACATCATATCACTACGATTTCCTACATGTACATAGTCTACAAATAGATGAAGATCATTTAAGTCATCCTTCAATGCAACTACACCTAATCTACACCCACTTCGAACATTCCTACAGAGAAATCACATCGCTACACTAATCTGCTAGCAGATCATAGTCTACAAAAACTATTTTTTCGGATCATCGTTCAGTATAATTGCACTCATCTACGTCCCGTGAAACCGTTTCTACTGAAAAATCTTACAACTACACCATTTTACAACAACTCCATAGTCTACAATAAATATAAGATAATTTAGGTCGTTCCCTATCAGATCCGCACACATTCTACTCATACCATAAACCGTTCCTACACAGACATGACATCACTACTATCTTCCTACGAAGGAATCATGTCACAACACTATTCTCCAAGACGCCGATAGTCTACCAAGATAAAGGTGTACTTCAGGTACTTCTTCTGTGAAACTACACTACGTTTACTTGGACGGTACATAAGGACGGTTCCTACGAAGTAATCATATTGGCCACTCGACGAAAACTAATAGGCCTAGATAATACAGAAAGCAGCCTGTAACTCTTATCTCTCTCTAGCCGCATATCCGAACAATTTCCTTCATCAAACTACCACTACCTACCACAATCTTCTTCGACAATCTCCCCGGTCTACCTGTCTCAACTTTTTATCCCCTTTCCGAGTCAAAATGTCGATTCTTCAAATTCGTATACTCATTATCCACTTCCTCACCCCTTCCATCTACTACATCCACTCATACTTAACTTATCCCCACTAAATATTCCTATTCCTCACAATATCACCATCATTCCTGTACTAATCATACTACCCGATTCATCAACGGCTCATGGTACCCTTCATCGATAATTCTCTTCTTCGCTTATAACTCCGCATTTAAAGACCGATTTCAACCACAACCATATCAATGGACTCATGACAACAACATCTCTCCATTCGACTACTTTCAATTACTATTAAATTATGCACATTCACTACCCATCAATCACTCATTAAATCATTCGTATATATAGAAAACAGTAAACTATTTCACATCAATTCTTCATTTCTTTATTGTTCTCCTTAAACGTTAATTATTACACTTACTCCCTCCGCATTTTCATTACGAAAACCATTTACATTTTATTCATAAACGTATCATTGCACATCATCTATATTATTTCACTTGCGGTTATCATCTACATTTACTTCTTAATATTAAATGTTTTATGATTTTTATCTTATATGTTGCACATCATAATCTTACATAATTGCACATCTACCATCATCATATTAATACTCTCCCCAAAACGAATTATTCATATTTTTCCAAAACATTCCCCTTTCTACATCACTTCTTTCGGTTTTTCAATTCGTTTCTTTAATTCGGATTACTCTGCTAATTGTTTTCAGTACCGTGAATCACTCAAGATTCTTTTGTATAAATCATACCGATGTACAAATTATTTAAATCTTCATCATTTATCCCTATTATTATCCAAATATTAACTTATTCATTCGATTACAATTGTCGCACAATAATATTCAACATTTCTCCTTTTAATTATCACCACCTCCTTGTTGTTCCATTACCAATGATGTTTTCACATTATTTACCTTTCTTGGCCTACCACGTTTCCCTCTGCTACTGTTACTACTGTTATTATTATTACTACCATTCCCATCGATCCAACTTTGATTTTCAAAATTACTAAATGTTTTCCTTTTTGGCCACTGATAATGTGAATCCAAATGCTGCTTCAATTTATCTTGACGTGCAAACATACGTGGACATAAATTACATGCAAAAGGTCGTTCTCCCGTATGCACTCGACGATGTCTTGCAAGATGAGATGCTCTCGTGAAGGCTAATGTACACAAATCACACGGAAATGGTTTATATTGAGCTTTACATTGCTGCCTTCGATGCTGTTGCGGCTGTTGCTGTTGTACAACAACCTTACGTTCTTTTTTTCCTAAATTTTGAATTGTACAATCAACCTCTGCTTTTATTTCCACTGTTTTTAAACTTTCCGAATCATCCAATGTTTCGTTACACTGTAAATCCTAGAAAAATTTTATCAATAATAAACGTCAATTATCATTACTCTTAAATTACAACTATTCTTTCGTTTAATATTAATATGGATATTTACATTTTTCTGATCTACAGCTTCGTCGTTCATTTGAATTGCCGGTACCGTCGGATCTTCATTAAAATTTGATTCCACTCTTCCGTTGTTATCAATAATTAGCCTTTCATCAATCATTTCTTCATCTTTCGGTAATACATCTGACGTTCTTATACTCGCCTCATTATTCTTCATTACCTGTCCTATTTGTTTGTGTCCACTATTACCACCACTCATATCGCATTTTATACCATAATTACGTTGTTTAAATATCGGTGGTGGTACATATCGCTAAACATTTAAAATATATATATATATATATATATTTTTTTTCTTATTCATTCAGTTACCTTATACCTCATAAATTGTCCTTACTATTTGTGATCCTTTCGATACAGTTAGATCCTGATAATTTTCGTCATGATTCTCCATTACCATTGGATCATCTTCAACCTCAATTTCTTCCATTCTAATACCTCCTACCCAACTACTATTTTGTTTTGATAAAAATTGCGTTTTTCTATAATCTAATGGTCGATGTTTACTTTCATAATGCTGATGATTATGATTGTTATTATCATACTTTGTTTCAACTCGAGAATACATATTACTTTCATTTCTATTATCACCAGATAATCCACGTATTTCAAGATCTGTAGCTGTCTTTATGAGTGATGGAAGATGTTCTTCTGCTACATTTATAGATCCACGATACATAAAATCTAAAAGACATTCCATTTCCTCTACTGAAACACCTGTAAAAATATTTTATTACATATTTATAATTATACACTATTCATAACTCTGCTTTTATTAATATACCTTTTATTATAAATATCGGCTGTTGTTCACCATAATGTTCTTTAAATACTCTTTCAAAATATGGACTACAAGCAGCAAGAATAAGCTTATGAGCACGAAGCATACCACCTTGACAAGCTAAAGTTGTATCTGTTAAAGATCCACTCTTATATAGACCTTCAAATAGGCCTGAAAGATTTGCTAAATGATTATTCCATGTTAAATTAAACGTCTTATCTCCCATCTTTTATCAAATTTTATCTAAAAATAAAATAATATATATTTATTAATATTACATTTTTATTAATGTTATCCTATTCAATTATTATATGAAATATTTGTTTGTAAACAGCTCAAGTGGGGTGAAAAAATCTAGAGAAAACTACGCGATCATGCGCAAACTGAGCTTTCACTATACGATCCATAATTTTGTTGTTGCTGTCCTCTGCTTGTATTTATAAAGTTTTTGCCCTATTTTTACAATAACCTTTTGGTTTTTTTTTTTCTTTAAATACTATTTTGTTCATTAATAAATACATCTTTTTAAATTCTTATTAATTCTTAAGTATTATCTACAATCTTGTATTAAAATTGACTATAATAATATCTCTTTCCTCTATCTATTTAATATATAATTCGATCAATAATACGAATTCCATTTTAATCATACTTTTTACCATTTTATGAACAATATCTATTGCTTATTTTTTATTAAATATTACGTTTTGTATAAAATATCGTTTTCTGTGTCTAATTTATTGTATAGAACTACCAAGTGTGCACTCAAGTCTTCTATTAATATCGCTTGGCACACACTTGTATACAATTCAATTCGTCACAAATAATATCATGTACTTAAAAAATTTCCAAAATACGATTTTTTTTCATTTCAATTGCCATTGAAAATATAAAATTTAATAAAATAATATATACATGTAAATATGTTATATACATATATGTACATATCAAGATAATTTTATATTAATGTAATTATTCTTAAATAAATTAAATCATTATAAAAAATCGACATTTGTGCTTACATTTTATCTCACTTAGTAGATTTTTTCAATTAACTATTCAGTAATATTTTATTTCTCTTCAAAAATGAGAGTTTTCAAACTTTTGATTTAAAATTTTTCTATACATATAATGTTAAAAACAATCTAGTGTAACTGAACACAATTAGAACGCACAAGGGGTACACAGTTTGCTGCTCCCTTGCCAAGGCTGAACTACGACTAATATCAACCCAGGGGGACGCAACTACGGTCGCCGGGGGTCGCAGGGAGAGGCAGAACCCCACGGGGGGGGCGGCTTCACCCCCCACGTCGCTACTATAACGCCATGCCTAAAATCATATACTGTACTGTTCCATTACTTCATTCCCGAACCCTAGTGTACATTTTTCCACGATTTTATATTTATAATATAAATACTGCTATCTAAAAATTTACCCTCTTCAATTATTACATATCAATAATGAATATATTTTTTTATATAACATAAATGTCTTCAATACAACATTATACAGACATAAGACTGCTCTACAATTATAATTTTATTATAATTCTATTAGCTATTAATATCTCATTGAGTCGTTTTTCTCCATTTTTTATCTCTTTGTCTTTTTTTTTGCATTAAAACAATAACATTGATATACATATATTTTGTTCATATATATGTATATAAATATGTTATATGTCTAAACAACCATTTATATTAATAATTCATTGTTTTTATTTAAATTTATTCTTTTTATTATTATCATTATATGAACGTGTCTTAATTGCGGGGCCACTATAAGCACTAAAAGACGGCAGCACTATTGATTCGTTATTTTTAGGGATAACACGTCGGGGATGGTCCCCACCCAAGGGCGTTCTGCTCCCTGAATTCCCAGCATTGAAAATTCAATATTATTGTCACTACCACCATCACCATTTCAACATATACATTTTCCAATATTTACTACATATCAATATTATTATGGGATATGTAAATTACTATTATATTTAACGAAAATTATTACATTTTGTTTATTATTACTGTATACAATATTTGTCATTAAGAAATTTCAACACCATATATATCCATCACTAATAGAATACTTTAAACTTTCAATCAATTGAATTCGTTTTGGATCAGAACTACAAAAATGGGACAATAATTGATCATTCAAACCACAATCACTTAAATTTTCTTTACTAAATACACTTTGATGGTTTTTATCATTTTCTTTCTCATCCAGTAAACCACTATCTGAAAAAATGACACAAAATATTAATTACTTATTTGATAAAATATACAATATTTTCTATATAATAATTTCCTGTACCTTTTAATCCATATTTTAGATCAGTAAATGATTTTGTTGAATAAACTTTTTCACAACTAACTGAAAACTGATCTAATTGACTTGACTTCATTAATAAACAAAGAGATGGTAATGTATGTGGTAATATAGGTCCTTTTATTTCTAAAGAATAAAATTTATCATTGTCTATACATACATTACTTTCACGAACCTAAGAAAAATATTTTCATCAATTACTTAATTTATTACACACTTCTTTACATTTACACCTATTAATAGTAATTACCTTTAATGATTTCAATGTAGCACCATAAAAAGCAACTGGAGCTAATAAAGTTGGTGGTATTCCAGCTAAAGGACCAGTTATTGCTACTGCGGATTTACAATTTATTAAAAAATTAAATAAAGCTTGAGCTTCAACTCCTTTTACATAAATAAGTGATTGTTTTAATTTGTCAATTTGACTATCTTTCTTCATATCACTGCGTTTTTGAGTTTTATTTATTTTTTTCATTTCTGAACCTTCAATACCTAAACTTTCTAATAAATCATCCTTTTCATTTTCATTATTATCACTGAAATCATCATCTTTATCATTATCATAATCATCATCATCATCACCATCATCATCAGGATTTTTTCTATTCTCCATTTGTAACATCGTATTCGAATTAAAACTATTACTTTGATCTTCTTTTATTTTTAATGGCATAGTAAATTCAATTTCTTGCTGTTTTAATGCCTGCCTGAATCCTCGAGTTGTAGGTGTTAAAAGAACATGAACCTCTGAAATACCGCAAATTCCGGCAGCTCGAAAAAGGGCAGTAAATGTATTTGCGCAGACATAAAAATATGGGCATTGTTGTGCACGTAAAAGATGGAATAATGATCTAAAACTTTCAGTCCATTCACTATATAATGCATCTTTAATTAATTGATTATTGACTAGATTCAGTGAATCACTTGCTAATTTGCTGTTTACTTTATTATAATTCATTGTACTTCTCATACGAGGATATAATTCAATCCAAGGAAGGGATGGATGTTGCCAAACTAAACAACATTGATGAAATCTACAAATAACAGTAGTAAATATTAATACTATCAATAATTATGATAAAAATTCTTACCGTGCATTCGGACTTGTATCTAAAGTTGTCTGCTGTTCTCCTGTGTTAATACATCGTACAAATCCAGTTGTACCAGATGCTTGTTCACTTGTTTTTAAATTTACATTCCATGCAAATGGTTTTAAAGACATAAATCGCATTTTTGTATTTAATGTCCAGTCAATTGGTAAATATAACGTCCCTTTCTTTAAACTATCTTTATTATTCACTTCTTTGTCTGTAACATCTAATTCTGATAAAAAACATGATAAAGATTGTGATTCAGTTTTATCTTTCAACTGCTTGTTATTTTGAATTTTCATTAAATCAAATAAAACTGAATCTGTACTTGTATCCATCATAAGCATCACATCATCATCTTTAAATTTTTTATCTGATTCATCCTTTAAAAATGGATTTTTCCTTTTTTTCGCCTTATTAGTAGTATTCGATTTGTTTGGTGATGTAACAGTTATGTCCAAAGAGGGTTTATCTAATCCAACTTTATTTTTCATTCGTGCTTGTAAGGCTTTCTTTTTCATCTTTAATCGATGCATTTGCATCACTTGTTCAGGATGAATCCAAATTGGAACATCGGATGATGTTGATGATGATGATGATGACGACATCATTTTACGAATATTCTATATTATAATTTCAGATATAATTATAAGAAATAACATATATTTGTTATTAATAATTATTATTTATTTACAAGTGTCCTTCAAATATAGGTTATGACAAAATTGAAACCATGTGATCCACAGATGAATAGATTTTTAATTTATTTATACATTTTAGTCAATTCAACATGTAAATCATTTGTTTATATTTTAATATTATGATTTAACGAAAAAATTTTTATCACATTAATAAGTCTTTTTACTCAATGAAAATCAAAATTATATAAATTAAAAAAAAATTAATATTATAGTATCTACAAAAGAATTTGATACTTATTATTCAATAAAATTTTATACATAATCGAAAACAAAAGATTTCATCAAACTATTATGAACGAAGTACTTTTTTTTTAAAAAAAACTTAAATTATATAATATTAAAAAATATTTAATTCACATAACTGTCAAAAATATTTTAGCTTTAGATAAACAGTCTTTTTTGAATATTTCACATCACATTTGTACAATACTGGTCATCAATTCTGTATAATTTCGTCTAAGGGGATATAACGAAATTAAACGTATAACCTTCAAAACATTTGAACATCAGTTATGTCCAGGACTGTACTTATATACATATATGTATACAAAATTTTTCCTGTAGAGGGAACCGTTGTTATCTTCTTTCTCTACTGGACTAATTCTAATAGTGTCACCTGTCGTGAAATTATTAAATCCCATTGTTTAATGTCAATTTAACAATTTTGCCTTGAAAATTGATAAATTTTAAAAAACATAATCTATTGTCCTACTTATGCAAGAGTTTACAATAAATATTTAAAATACTTTCACTGCCAGAATCAATACAAATCTTTTTTTATTTATTTCAATTTCAGCTTAACCTAATATTTTCATTTATGTAACAATTACTGAAGATTGTATCGAACAGAATCGACAATTTAGCCAGCGCAAGATTATCATATTAAAAAAAATAGCTTGCATTTAATTACAAAAAATCGAAACAAATTACGTCGTATTTATTTTGGTTTGTATATAATCGTTAAGACAGATGACTCTACATATTAGTCGCGCCATTTCCGTTGCTAGACGTTTATCGTTGTCCTGTTCCAATCGAGGTTTTCATCTATCTCCCAGAGCCATGGTTATCGCAGTATGTTTTTTTATTGATAATATTAAAAATATTAATATTAAATGTAACATAAAAATTGAAAGCATTGAAATTTTTTTCAATTAAAGATTGGTGATAAAATTCCATCAGTGGATCTTTTTGAAGATTCCCCAAGTAACAAAGTCAACATTAGAGATCTTACTTCTCAAAAAAAGCTAATCATTTTCGGTGTTCCCGGTGCTTTTACACCTGGATGTTCTAAGGTACTTCATATTATTATTATTTACACTTTACTAAAGCTATTTGAGTTATTGAAACGCAATAATATTCTTATTAAATGTCAATGCCTATTTTACATCGAAATCAATAAAGTCTAAAACATAAAACACTAATTTTATGAAAGTTAATTTATATTCAATTTCTCATGAATAAATATTAAAAGAAAATATGTGTAAATATTTATTCAATATTAAAACTGCTATTTTACTCTACAATTATTTAATGTACCCACAGTTCATAAATTAATCATTGTACAACGATAGATTTTTTCTTGCTAATTTTTCAGACTCACCTTCCTGGATATATTGAAAAAGCTGCTGATTTCAAAAGACAAGGTATTGATGAAATAGTCTGCATTAGCGTCAATGATCCTTTCGTTATGAGTGCTTGGGGAAAAGATCAAGGGGTTGAAGGCAAGGTAAAATCAAATATAATTTTCAAACTTAAATAAATCTAATAGTTTAAAAAATTCTAAAATAATAATTTTTTAATTATTTTCAGGTAAGAATGCTGGCTGATACCAACGCCGAATTTACGAAAGCTATTGATGTTGATATGAACTTGGCAGTTCTTGGTGGAACTCGAAGCAAAAGATATTCTATGATTGTAGATGATGGAATTGTTAAAGAAATGAATGTTGAACCAGATAATACTGGACTCAGTTGTTCTCTAGCTGATCATATTAAAATATAAATTTATAAAAAATCTGAATTATTCCAGATTTAGAAATTTTTATCAAGTACTTGCAAACAATACCAAACTTAAAATAGGTTAACGTTGAATGTATCCCATTTTATCTTTGATTATAATTTCACGTCTAGATTAAAAACATGATTAAGTATTGTAATATTTTGCATACCTTAAATCACAGTAAAAAGTACATATAAGGAATAAATCAATTGACATTGAAAATTATCCTAATGTTATTGGATCATAAATGTTTTATGATTATTTATGATCCATAAAGTCAGCCTAGTTTTATCGAAAGGTATCAAATATACATTCTATTAGAAGTGATTTTTTATTAATACACAGTTTTCAGCATTTACCTTTTTTCTTTAAATGATATTAATAATTATTGGCTAAGAACTGAAATTCAATAAAAAAAACTAACAATAATATTTTTTTAATATTCATAGATAAAAATTTATTATATTTAACTTATTTTTTTTAATACATTAAACGTAATAAAAATTCAAGTTATATCAATGTATGAAAAATATAATATTAATTATAACGGAGGTAAAAAATAATTCAAGTATTGATACTTTATATCTTACAAAACACAGCTTTCAATTTTATAATGATCATTATCAAAGAAAATCGTATATCGTATCAACTACATAACTTTAGATCGATAATAATAGAATAAGAATAATAATAATTTACTGATAATTGTCATGCTAGCTATTATCACCAATTATTTCTTTGTTCATTTATATCTCTTTATATAAAGATATATTATATTTTAATTTATTCCAATATTATCAATGAAATTGCATTTAATCAAATAAACTAGATTATTTATTGGCAGGTATATTATTCCATCCAATAATTGGAGGTGGAGTAGGCACCTCAGCGTGGATGTGATTGGTAATATCATAAGTTATAACTTTAACAGCAACATATCCACCATAACCATCACGTCCTTTATGAAAAATACCTGCACCAGCGAGAGGGAATGATGGATTCGTTTCAACGGGTTGAATATCTATAAATGGAATCGTTGTTTGAGCTGCATCTTTATCCATATCAGTCGGGCCAAAATTCAAAAATTGATTTGATTTTGAATCAGGGAATGTTGGTGCCTGAGTACGAGTAGGAATATCTGGTTTTTGAATGATAAACTCAGTTCTAAAAATTACATAAAATATAATTAAATATATTGTATTTCAAATTTTATGGAATATATGTTCATTTAATTAATTAAAGAAGTAAAAAAGTGTCATTACCTTCTATCAAATCCAGAAGGATCATTAACATCAGTATTATCATTACTGATCCATGTACTTTTTTCCATCGGCTTGATCAATTTTCCTGAGGTGAAGTTAAAAGGTGTTACACGAATTTCGAAATTTAAATGAGCACCCACCATTCGGAATCTTGCTCCTATAATGTTAAAAATTTTTATTAGTTTACATAACTATTGAATAATAAAGTAAATATGAATCATAAGTTATACATTACCTGTTAAAACGTGCTCTTCAGGTGCAATGAGATCATCAAGATCGATAGCTCTTTTTTCCCATGACAGAGTGTGGAAGTCTCGACCGTTCATTACATTACGATCTAATATCGTAAAATTATCAATTCGTTTCCATGATACACTAGCTTCATTTATTTGTCCTCTTTCAAGTAATTCACCTTGTTGAATTTGAATATGGATTATTTGATTCTCTTTTACTAATCTAATTCCAGTAATAACTCTAAAAGTAAATAACATTCATTGGTGTTAAACTACATTATTAAATGAAAAAAATAATAATCAAATTTATATGAAATAATTTCTTACTTATTATCCAAGATATCAGAAGTTACATCTCGAAGGTTAAAATACCGATCAGAACTGGAATTATGGTCATCACAAAGACACATACAATAGCTACAATGCCAAAAGAGCCAACGCCACCAGCTATCAACTTTGGTTGTTGATCGTTTACAAGTTCCTTTGTTTCCTAGCGTTCTTCCATTTTCATACTCAATGTACTCATATCTTCTATTACTATTTTTCTGCTAAACATCGACATAATTAAAATTATTAAAGATTTTATCATTTCTGTGCCATTTTATATTTTACGAACCATAAATTTCTCACCGACGGACAAATCCACATGTCAGAGTCAACGTATTGACAGTTAAGAACTTTTCCATTACATCTTCGTTGCTGTGCACAATATTGATTATCATAGCACCCATGTACCTTAGAATATGAATAATAAGCACAATTTTCTAGGCAACTCGATGATGGATTTAAATCAACTTCATTGACAATATATCCTTGAAATAATTGTTTTAATTCAGCGTAAGTTTCTCCTATAATTAATAACAACAAAAAAAAAAAAAATAATTCATGATAAAAAATATTCGCGACATTTTTAAAGTAATTTTAAATAAAGTATAATTGTTTCCTTCACCTTCTTTGTGTTTTTTTGGTGGTGGATCACATCTCCATAAATCTCGTGGAGCAAAAGCCATAGCAGTACGAACAGCCCTGATAGTTTCTGATACTCTTGTTTCATAATCTCGTAGAGTTTTGTTACCTTCATCTTTGAAAGTGCCTGAAATTAATTTAAAAAAAAAAATAATTAAACGCTCTCGTATTCAAGAATATAATTTAATGGATAAAATTATTTACATACCATTATTATATAATCTCAGGAAAGTATATGAGAACTGCATCATCATATATCCTTTTATTTCCGTTGCTGTGATAATATTATACAAATTGTATAATAGCTGTTGGGGGACTGTCTTTCATCACAAATTTGTGATGATGCTTCCTGGAAAACAGAAAAACATGATTTAAGTTTTCATTACGTAATAAAGAACATGATAAATAATCATCTGTTACAGAGATCTAAAATCAAACATGCTATAACCAGCATACTAAGTTCATACCAGTGAAAAAAATTCTTTAATGATAATAAACTACCTTATAAGCAGAAATAAATAAATTTTGTTCAACAATAGCATCAGATATTCGTCGAAGTGCTACGGGTACAGAAACATTTGGATGAGTCAAAACAACGTCAGCAAAAGTCATCCAATAATTTTTATTCAATGGTTCAAATCCTTTCGTAACACCGTGTAATTTTTGTAAGAAATTTGTATACATTCCTTCAACAATATTCATATCTTTTTGAGTAATAGCCCATAACCAAAGAGAATTTAATGCATTTAAATGTCGTTTTCCAATAGCTAATGATGCATCGTTGATTTTTTCATTAAATTCATCATAAATATTGAAGATATTCATTAACGTTTCATCTTTATCAACATCTCGACCTTCTCGTTGACTAATTGGCAAATCTTTTAGAACAATTAAATCATGCCGTAATTTATCAATCACTGAAAAAGTATCTTTAACTGCCCAAGACGAAGAAACAAAAAACAGTAATAAAATCCACAGTTTCGCCATATTTTTTTTTTTCTTTGTCTTTTACACTGTTGACCCAGTTCATGTAAATTGGTATTGATAAATACCATAAATATTAATTAATATTAAGAGGAGAATTATGGCACTAACATAGACTAATTTATTATTATTAACAACAATCACCATAGACAATATCACAGGTAATATTTTCGAAAGTATCCAAGAAATAACTTATTGTTAATTTACGTGTTCATACACGCATGCACAATCACCAACTATGTATGTATACGCAAAACCTTGGGAGCCTGGGTGTGCGCATATGGATTTAATGGAAAATGTGGAGGTGGTTAGAACATTGCCCGATGCGTAACTCTGTAGAAATTTCCGCGTTTGTTTAATAAGAATAAGATCTATTTCCTTTGTTTACTTTTTAATTCAATTCCAAGGTAAATGAACGATTAATCACTAAGTAAACATTTAAACTTTTGATTCAAGTTTATAAATTAAATGTAATTTAAAGTTTTTGGAAACTATTTAATCCTTTTAGTGGTTAATCCGTCAGAGTATATATTAAATCACCCCACTGTCACAAGTAGTTTATTATCCACTCAATTTAAAAGGAACAGCTGGGTATTGATTTCAATATCAAATATTTAACATTATAGTGAGAAAAAAAAACAATGTAATTAATATTGACGATAACAAATAACTGTTTACACAAAAAAATTTACAACCATTGACTATACAGACGAAACATGTAACGTGATCAACTTTGATCTGAACTTGGTGTGAATGTTTGATGATGTTGTTTCGGTTTTTACTGCTCCCCACTTATTAACAACTGAAAAGTATGTACAACTCCAACATTTCTTTGCGTCTTTCACACACAGCCATTGTTAATTTCCTCTTTACCACTATATGTATACATATACGACCCCACTCATTGCACTTCTCTTTATTTAATCTCCATTTGAGTTCACACTTTCAATTACAGGCGATTCGTATGCTACCTATATCAGCAAACTGATATAAACTCACAATACCTTCTAAAGATACAACAAAATTAAATATTGGAGTACAAAAACACTTGTAATAATTTGAATTAAATACATTATTTTGTTGAATTACACGTACATCATCACCATTAAAAACTAACGAATTTTCAAGGATAAACAAATATGTTTTCTATTATCTGCTAACATGAAATGTTTTCATGATTGTTATGAATAGAAGTTTACACAATCAACTCCTTAGAAAAACGTTACTAATGCAAAATAACACATGAGATTAAATAATAATGTCATTGAATAATATAAAAATGTTACAAACTATGTGCTAATTTATATTCAATGAATTTATAAGTTTTTTCATTTGCTAAAAGTAAGGTATTTGAGATAAAAAAATAAAAAATCGATTATTTACCTTGCTTAATTCTGCAAGTTGCATAAAAAGACTTCTGTCAGAGCAAACTAGCCGATTAATTGATGCCAATAAATCCGGTAAGGCTCCTAAAGCCGGAGATACACATGTCCGTGCGAATTCCAGTCTTGTGTAATTTTCATATTTATTTTGAGATTTGGAGTATTCCAAAAAATTATTGTAGATGTCATCTACACGACCTAGATATTTATTTAAATTTTCAAGATTTCTATTCAGTTGTTCTCGTAGTGGTAGATCCCGTATCAGCACATCAACAATTTCAGTCATTCTTTCATTAATCTTTTCTTCAAAATTCATGATGCGATGATTCAAGAGCCGTATTGAATTGAGCATTTTTTTTTCCATTCTTCTGACAAAGGGAAAGTCTAATTCACTATTATCTTTATCACTTCCTTTTACAAATTCCAAAGACTCCAAAGTACCCTTGAATATTTCATTACCGAATTGAAGGACTTCTCTAATATCACTAAAGTCCATGGAAAATGAAGCAATGTTTGATAGGGTGAGTAATAAACATCCAAAAATTATTAAAAATCGAGCCATCTTTTTTGAAAAAGTTAAATTTAAGAGATTGCGTTTCTTTCAGATATACTTAAACCGTTAGTAAGTTTGTCATTGATGAGAACAATGAACTTTTTAGATTCTCTCTCTTCATAAAAGATAAACTTTAAAACTGGATTTCTGATTTATTATGCTACTCCATGGGTGTAAAGTGAAAAACCGAAAATGAGGCAGATGTTGTACTGTATCCTGACACCTGGCAACGAAAAATGCTTACCACTCACAACAAAAATCTTAACTATAGGACTCTAATACTTGCTCAACAGACCCTGTATACGGACATGAGCTTGACTTGTGAATAATAAATAAAACCTTATGGAATGAAGAAGATAGAGTATGATTGATTGCAGTGACCAATCAGAGTCTTTAAAACTCTGCAGCGGGGAATATCTATGTACATTTTCTTGCGAATATAATATACGAATAACATCCAAACATTTTAGCAAAAAGATTTAAAGTAAAAAGTCTTCTGAAGAAAAAAAAATATTAATTTTATCAATATTCTAATATAAGAATGAAATTAAATATTATAATATATTTTTTATTCTAGAATTTTTTCTGTATATCAAATAAAAAAAGGAAAGAAAGAAAAAAATTTTCCTCCACTATCGATAAAGTAGAACAACTTTGAAAAAAAAAAATTAGTCAGATATATAGTAATAACAATAATTTGTTCAAAATAATGTAGAATATAAAAATACTATGAAAAATGTACTAGATAATATTATGGAATCATAATTATTATTGGGAAAAAAAAAATTTTGTTTGAAGGAAATTAAATTATTTGTTGGTTATGGTGGCATTGCTGAGTTTAAAAGTTTCCATCAAATTTTTTTATTGATTGGTAGCAATGTTTAAAATAGAGGGAAAACAGCCGTTACAAACAGAAAACAGATGAATAAAGAGTATCGTAGGCATTCATAACAATTTTGTGTATAATAAAAAGTTCTATTGATATTCAACCAATTGTTTGGTTTATTTTATTATTTAAAAAACATTAATATTAGTCGAATTAACGCTTAATAAGTGAAAAATTAAATTGATAACAGATTTCCATCGGTAAGTAATTTAATATATATAATTTTTATGGTTATCTCGTTTAGGCGCGAAATTTTTTTTTTGTACACAATAAAAAAAAAAAATGTAAATAAATTTGTTATAATCAATTAAATATTAGGAACTTATGAAAATTCATTATAGGATTCTCTTTTCGATCAATCAATATTACGTAAAGTGATAATGTCAATGGATAGTGGGCTCGGTGAATGTACTCCTAAAAGGGTTCAGAAGAGGCTGTTTAGTCAAAATGTAAGTTGCAGTAAGAAAAATTTATTTCAAACTGAAAAATTTACCAAACGAAATGGAGAATCATCAGGTGAAGAATCAGATTTGGGTCCAATGTCGCCTTTGCAAAGATCTGATAATAGTGGCAGTGAATCTTCCCCAGGAAGACAGTATGACTCACCTTTTACAACCCCTGATAATTCGCCACAGGTCAAATACCTTACCTGGGATCGACTAAGAGTTTCGTCTAACCTAAAAAAGTCAGGTCTTTCACCTTTTAGTTCTTTAAAAAGAATAACTAAAGAAGCACGATCCACTCCACGAAGGAGAATATTTTCAAACTCTCCAAAGTCAAATCCTATAACACCAAATAAAAAAAATCCAGATCAAGAAAATTTTATTCCTAGTACTCCGAAACAAACAGGACTTGAAATGAATGATGATATAGTACCAGAGACTCCACAGAAATCAGAAACACCACAAAAAGATAATTTTTCGGAGCGCAGATTAATAACTCCACTTGGTTCTGTTTGTAAACAAATTGTTATACCACCTTTGCATCGACGAAAATCAATCTGTACTACTGAATCAACTGAAGAATCATCTCCAGAGCCGAGAGACAATTCAAATAAAAGACATGCTAATGAATTTTTACATCACACTGGTACAAAAATATCAAAGATTGATGATGACTATTTTATTCCTAAAGCTAGAGCATCATTATTTCAAGAAGATAAAAACAAATCTCCACAATTCGCACCTCTAAGTACTAAATCATTTTATAAAAATAATAATAGTGATAGAAGGGTATCTTTTGGCTTTGGATGGAAGGCTGTTGGAAATGAAAAAGAAAGAAAAAAAAGACACAGTTTACCTTCTAAACCACATAGACATTCTACTGGTTCTACCAAACGATCCAAGTTTGGTTTAATAAACGCAGGTGTAAAGCATGGTATTAAACGTCCTAAACCAAAACGTCAAAATCAAAATGAATCATTTGAGAAAAAATATAAACCTCCAAATGATAATAGTTCAATAAATAATCAAAGTAATAATGAACTCAAAGAAAATGATATACCTATGGAAACATCCAATATTCTAAACCCATCCTCCTATTCCTCAAAGGCTAAGGAGACTCAACCGATTGTAGCAGATCCCAATAAAAAATTCTTCAAATATAAACGAACTACTGAACTATCTCATCAAGCAAACATAACAGTCAACGACAAAATTAAATTAAAGGTTTCAGGTGGTAAGATCATTCGTCAGCAAAAGAAAGACCAAGTAAAAGAACCTGCAAGTAAAAAACCAAAATTGGATCCAGTTGTTTTCGATACAACAGATTTAAATGTCGATGATCAAGATCTTAAAGATACAGTAAATGATAAGGATGTAGCAAATCTTTTGAAAATTTTGGAAGATGACTGGGCTGATGATGATTACGATATTATGGAACCAGTAACAATTACAATCACTCGATCTCCATTAAAGGCAGCATCACTTAAAAATGATAGTATTCCTATGTCTCCTGCAAGTGTTTTAAGTACTATGACTTCATCAATGAATATTGAAGATCAAAATAGTTTAAAAAATTTTACAAATAAATTAGAATCAATTGAAAGCCAAGAAAATTCAAATAAAGTTGATGATGAAAATAGTAAAAAACTATTTCCAATATTTGATAAAGGTTATTCAAGCAACTTGAGTACTTCTGAGTAAGTTTTATTTAATATTAACTTTTTATCTTTAATTATCATCAATTATTATTATTAACATTTTAATTTTTTTCTTTTTTTGTAGAAATATTGAGAAAAAGGGAAATCGTGGTATTAAACGATCTCATGCATGGCAACTATCAGTCAAAACCAATGGTGATAGCACCCAATATCAGCTAGATGTAGGACAAAAACGTTTTGGTACTATACAATGCTCGGAATGTAATGTTATTTATCAAATCGGTGAGCCGGAAGATGAGAATGCTCATTTAGTTTTCCACAATAATGTAAGAAAATTAAGATTCAATGTAAGTATTTTTTGTACTATAAAATTAAGTAATTTTGATTTGTTAAATCATGTTCATTCCTTATATTTATCAGAAAAAAAATTATTTTTGTAGGGATGGAAAAACGAGCACGTCGTCTATGAAAATCCATTCACTCGCAGCCGTGTAATTACAGTCGAGCCAACTGACCCTAAACACTGGTGGAACAAAGTTGACGAAATTCTCACTATTGTTGATCAAGATTTAGGATTAGATAATATAAATTTAACTGATCATCAAGGCAAAAGAGTAAGTCTATTCAATTTTTTTCTATAACTTGCCATTGATTATTCATTGATAAGTTTCAATGATTATGCTATATTCCAGGTGTACCTGTATATACAAGATAAAAATATTATTGGTATTCTTGTAGCAGAATCTATAAAAACTGCTCACCGTATGATACCTGAATTATTTGATTTAAATTGCTGTGAAGAAGATGAAACTACAGCCAAATGTGGAGTGTATGTTATTTGGGCAGCACTAAGTCATCGTAAACGAGGAATTGCTAGAAAACTCATGGATATACTTCGGTAAATGACTAGTATTATTAGTCAATTATATTTCATTCTTTGGTGTAAATATTGATTAAAATTTTTTATTTCTATTAGATCTCACTTTTATTATGGATACATTATGAGTATAGATGATATTGCTTTTTCTATACCAACACCAAGTGGCAGAATTTTTGCTGAAAAATACGTGGGAAATCGACGCTTCAAAGTCTACAGTTAGTCAAAACATTTATTCAATTTAATCAAATTAAAACATTTTTTTATTATCTTTTGTGGACGTCATTTATTGATTATTTTTTTTTTACCCTTACAAAAAAAAATTTTCTTTTAATTTTTCTCTGTCAGTGATTTGAATTAAAATAAATATCTTTCCGTTTTTCACAAATGTAATATGCTTGTTTTTTATATAACAATAAACTATATTACTTTTATTTCAATCCAGTACAATTAAAAATTATATAAGAAATTAAAATAAGATAATTAATTTTATATTTTTAGAATGTAATGTAATTAAAAAAGTTGTTGATAAACATTTTTAAATGAAAGAAATTTTCATTTATTAAAAAAGTCTCTATTTAATACATCGGAATTCGATATAAATAGATTAATTTACTAGATATGATAAAATCCACAAAAATGTTTAATTGGGAAAAGACATTGTAAATCAGTCTTCTATTTCTAATACAACAGTTGTTTTTGATAACGATGTTTAGAAAACGTCAGATTTAAAAATAATAGTTAAGTAAGAAAGAATTTACCCTATTGTAAACTTTTATTTTTACATATGGAAAATTGTTATACAATTTTTATGATAAAAATTGAATATTTACATCGGAGTGATTATGTTTCCTTTTAACTCATAAGTCGAAAACCTTAGCGCCGTTTGGAACGATTTTCCTTGTTGAATCAAAACCAGCCATTAAAATCTGCTACTTACTTGAATAGAAGACTGCAAAAAATTGTTACAATGAAAATATATTATATAAAAACAATAATAAAAAAATATACAAATATTAAAAATTAACTGATATTAAAACTAGTAACAAATAAAGCGTGTTTAAGCTAAATAAAAGATATATATGTAAAAATTACAACTAGACACGTAATTCCACGAATAATCGAAAAATTTTTACGTGTATTTTCATCAACGATGAATAATTAATTGTTCATATTCAGATGTTAACGTTGATGCTATTCGCTAGATAAACATAAAGAAAATGTAATTTTGTATATTTTTAAACTATAAACATTAAAAAATTACCTATATGGATATGCTTGGGCTTTATTTCTGAATATGGATAGAAGAAAACTGAAGAACACAGCAACCAATCCTAATCCTATCACAGCAAAAATTCTGCGTTTTTTAACATCACCTTTGCGAGCTGCTGCTTCTGTCATTAGAATCATACCTAAAACTACAGCTCCATCTGATAAATATAATTAAGGTATATCTATCTTTTTTTAAAGAATGATTAATTTGGTTTCTCTAGCCTTTTCTGATTGAAAACTACCAATTTTCAATTATATATTTATATTTAATTAAAGGATACTCAAAAACATAACAATATAACTCTCTAGAACAAATTGTCCTTGAGATGATCCATGTATGTAAGCTACATTTCCATTTGGTGCTTTATGAATGAATGGAGGACCTCTAATGTGATTCCACATTTGTCCAGAAATCATAGTGAGGGTGAAAAACTATGAAATAAAAATTAAATTTTTGATAAATACCTTTTATTACATTACATAATATTTATCTTACCATTGCTCCAAGACCCCATATAGTTTTGTTGTAGATAAAGTCTAGATTGTTTCTTCTTACATACAAGAACACTCCTATCAAGAACAATAACATGATAACTGCCACAGTACCGGAATAGCTTGGAGGTCGGAATACTCGAATCTGCACGAAAATATTATAATCTTTTAAAATAATATTAATTAAATATAAATTATCATTAAAACTCTCTTTTTTTATCAGTTTTTTTCAGTTCATATTGTTATGCAAAAGAGTACTGTTTGTATGCTGATTTGTTGTTAAAAAAATTGCTATAGTAACCTGAATGTTTTGCAGTTCGTTTGAATCTTTAATAATATAAAGTTGGCTCTTTTTTATAAAATTAATTATTAGTATTTATATATTGAGAATTTTCATTACCTGAATATCTGTTCGTTCATAAATCCATTTTGCAATTGTTTCTGCATTAAGTCCAACCCTTTGAATATCCATAGTATCTGCTTTTTTGGGTTTTCCTTTTGGTGGAAAATGCATGAATATTGGAGCAGTGCTTAGTTTCATCTAACAAATGGAATAATTTTTGAATGAACTCTATTTTTATTCAAAATAATATAAAATATGTATTATTATAATTTACCAATTGAAAAACGTCATAAGCATCATCAAAATCAACTATGGCAAAGAAAAGTTTGTTGGAGTATGCCGGTGAATAGCGAAAAGAGTTAGCGACGATAATAAATTCATCATATGCAAGTCTGAAAACAACAGTTAAAATACAAATTGATTGAATACATATTTACCTAAGATGTTGATTTTTTTAACTAAATTCATACCGGCATATCTGACATTGTCTTTGGGGTGTCATAGCAGTAAACATGACAATTACAGAGTAATTTCTAGGTGTTGCTTTGACATATTCCTTAAATTTTCCAAGATTAAATTTTAAAGCAGATGTTGTGGCAACCATAGAAGATAGCTGCTGGACACGATCGGCTAATGAGCTTGAGCCCTTAAAAATGAAAAATAATAAATAATTAAAAAATTCACATTTTGATAAATATAATATAATAAAAACTTGGAAAAAATATTTTTTCCTTACTTACAGTTTTAGATTGGTATTGACATTTAATGTCACTAACATTAATAAAAACAATAAAAAATGCAAATAAAACCCACTTCATTTTTTCGGTAATATAAGAGAACTAGTGTTTATAAAAAAAAACCTATGATTACTTTATAAATAATCGAATGAATAATTGCATATAATTAAAAAACCCTCAAACGATTGAATTTTGTTAGAAATCAATAAATGACGTGGCCATTAATAGGTTATGTATCTTGCCAACCAGCATTGTTGCTTATCTATTACCTACTGAGTCTGTTTATCAAAAAAAAATCATTATGTCTTTGTTTTTCTTATTGTTTATATGTGCAATATCTCAGAAGGTAAGATACAGGTGGTTACAAAATTATAGAAATTACTTTTATCGACTGTTTTCGCGGAAAAACAAAAATATTGAAATTTAAATGTTCATGTTTAAAGAGAATAGTAATGACGAGTAAAAAATTTTTTAATAAAAACAAATTTATATCAAAACTTTATATATTTTTAAATACATAACAAAATAAAGACATCCTATAAAACATTATATAAGAAATGGAATGAGTATTTTACGATGTTTATCGCAATCTTTGTATGTTTTTTTGTACCATTGATCATCTAAAAATGCAGTTCCAATCTAAAAGAAATAATATAATCATATTATTTATCAATTTAATTCTAAAAGTTCATACAATATTGAGATAATATCATCCTATTTACCTGATTCGCTAAAACCCATATAGTGACATAATGAAAAGATGAACTGTTCCACAATATCAATGAAAGGGTTGTATACGTTACAATCTCAGTAAACTGAAGAGGCGATGATATATAATTGTAAAGACGACCCTGAGGCTTTTTATATGAAATTGTAACAACATTTCCATTTTTATCCTTACGAAGATTCGCCAAAATGTAGTTTGTTTGCAGTTGCTCACGAGAGGCCATAATAAATATACAAACACAAATTAACTGAAAATAAGTTATTCTCCTCCAGTCAAAGTCATTCCTGTTGCCTGCACATGGTAGACAAATAACATTTATTATTATTCACCTTAAAAAATATTTGTTAAGTTTAAGAAAAATTTATACTTGAAATAAAACCATGTGATTCTCCAATAATGCAAGTCACAACACCGATGTAATGAATAAATCCAATAATGTAGTGACTGAGATTTATTTTTGCGTTACTGAAGACATTGACAAAATGAGTTTCATAAAATCTCTTCCAGCAATGACCAGTTGTTAAAAACAATGCAATCATTGTTGCTTCTGATGAAACTACAAACAGGCAAATTATTCAGTAAATTTTTATAATTATTTTAATAGCCAAAAATGTAAGATTATTTACCAAGTGCACTTCGGGAAGGACCTAATAAAATATCAAGAATTTTATAAACAATTGCCGGCACTTCACTATTGAACAAGTATCGATTTATAGTTATTATCAAAATGATGGATAATAATGGAGCAGAGAATGCATAGAAATGCTTGAAATATCTAAAAACATGAAATTTCATTATATTATTTATTCATTTTTATTCATTGGTAAAGTGAAATCGTAGCATTTTTCATGTGACCCAGAAACACACATTAGATTTTTCGACATACTGAGATAGTTTATATCACACTTTCTTTTATATATTGTATATTTTTTTAATCAAAAATTTACTAATTGCCACCTTAGATCGTAATGTTTACCGTTAAGATTTGCGATTGTAAAGTAATTACCTCTTAGGGACTTCGAATAGCTTCATTATTTTATGATCAGTTTTTTCTGCATATTTACCATAGCGAAATGCTCGCCTGATAAAAAGTGGTATATAATCTTCAATAAGTTTTAAAGAAACAGAAATAATTGCAGTATACATGGCTGCTAGTGCAAATATTATTTTTATAAAATTAAATTCCATATTAGTTATTAGCACCTACAGGTAATTAAACCGACTACATCCACCACGTACTTAACGTAACTGATATATTTCAAGTCCTTCACTTTAAATAGGAATAAAGAATTGAACTGATAATCAAACACTTTACAATGCAAAAAACTGACTGCAATGTTACCATTGAATATCTTTCACTGCATTTTAAGTTCCCATTCATGAATTGATGGTGGGAGCAAGAGCTTATGAGGTTTTGAGGTTATAATTTTTTCAAAGTCTTTTGCTCTCTGAAATTCGATGGAAATTATTATAGTTCTACGTTAATTTGTAAATAATTAGAAAGAATAAATATATTTTCTTTTTTTAAATTTTTTTCTTTAATGTTGAAAAACTTTTTAAATACTAACTTATAGATTTAAGATTTTTATTCACTCACTTTTAATTTATAATAAAAACAAGATAATAACTTCAATTGATTCTCCAGTTGAATAATTCCATAATAAATATTTAACTATTTTAATTCATTATGAATTGTTTAATTCTTACATATTTGAAAATATCTCACTCAACTCGTCATTACTGTCCACAAGCAGTATAAATAATAATAATGCGCATGTATGTGGCTAATACTGATGAGTCAATTTTGAATTATTAATATGAGAGAATATTTTTATTGAAGGAGGAAATAATTTACAAAAAATGGTAATTTATAAAAGACATGGAAAAATTATTTTACGATTTTCAGGATAATTTGCAAAAGTTTTTTTATACCATTCATGTTGTATTATTCCATTACAAATCTAAAAAAGGTTAAATTAGATTAAACTCACAATTGTAATATCTTTTTTAAATTACAACAAACATGAAATTCAGATATATTTACTTACTTGGTTGATAACAACCCACCCTGTTATAAAGTAAATGGTCGTAGCTTCCCATAAGATTGCTGCAAACATCAAATACACCACAATTTCAGTTAACTGCAATGGAGATGATACATATTCAAAGAGTCGACCTTTGGGAATCTTGTACGATTCCGAAATAACCTTTCCTTCTTTATTTTTACGAAGATTTGCCAAGATTTTATTTGTTTTAAACTGCTCATAATCAGCTATTAAAAATATGATAGTACAAGTAATATAATACCATGTGTGTGCATTTGAATTAAAAGTTCCTTGAGTACCTGGAAATAAATTTAAAAATTTAACGATAGAGGAGTTAAAATATAAAGATAATTAATATTACCTCTAACAAATCCATATGATTCTCCAACAATACTTAACAACAATGCAGTATAATGCATAAATGCTATGATGTAAATGAGAATACTCATCTTTGCTTTGCTGAAAACATTAATAAAGCAACTTTCATAAAGTCTTTTCCAAGTATGAACAGCGACAAGAAAAAGAGCAAGTGTAGTTGCTTCTGGAGATGCTGTGGAAAAAGATTATCTATATAGAAATTCATGAACTTATCAAAAAAAAAATATGAATTTGTTACTTATATTACCACTTGCTTGTCTGCAGGAACCTAGAGCAAAGTCCAATATTAAAAGAAGAACTTCAGGTAATTGATAACATGTGGAGTATGCATAGATTACCAATATTAACAGCATTGTTGCAGTTGGAGCAGTGTATATGTAAAAATGTCGAAAATATCTAAATTCAATATGAATTATTTAGGTAAGATGTCAATTTACATGTTCAATAAATAAAGCAAGAGACTGACATGAATTTTTTTACAATTGTGAATGTTAAGTTTATATTTTTTTTATTCCTTTTTTAAAGGAAATAAGGTGAATTTTTTTCTAAAAGTATATATATTTACAACTTATGCCTGTTTTACTAAAAAATTCTAAGCATTACCTTTTAGGAAGTTTAAAATGTTTATTAAGATATTCACGTTTTTCTACAACTTTTCCATATCGAGATATTCCATGGAGAAAATTTGGTATTTTTTTGGGATCAATAAAGACTGTAGCAAAACTGGTTGAAGTTATGCCAACAGTAAAAAGAATTATGGAAATTTGAATTAAATTAAAACTCATGATGGATACTGATCAAAATTTCAGTACAACTGAAAAAATGTTGATGCGGAAGTCTAACTTTTAAATTTCCACCACCATCTAGGTGCGGAAGTTAATTTATATTATGAAATGTTCAACTTGTAGACATAATAATTTCACTAGTCAGTCAAATTGCCATTGAAATTTATGAATTTATTCAAAGAGTATATTGTTAAATTGCGTAAATAGTTAAGGAAACTCTAGGCCACTTTGCTTCAAAGAATTTTATGAAAATAATTAATAAAGCTTAAAAATTATTGAGTATTTTGTTTTCTTTAATTAAATCATTTCATTTTTATTATATACCAATTATTTACATATTGTACATTTACAGGGTGTTGATATTTCTTCAATATCTACTATTAAATAGAATATTAGAGAACATGTATAAGATTATATTCTTTTCAATATGCGGAGCATGAAAATAAATTTGGATAGAAAAAATGCAATATAAATATACTAATTTTCATATCTCTTATTTTTTTTTTCAAATTTTCACATGATAATTATGCAACAAAAAAAAATTGAAAATGACAATCATTTAACTTAATTTAAATAAATGTTCTTTGCACATGCGCCTAGATGAACCAATCAAATGACAAGTATTCAGCAATGGCCGTTTAGAGTTGTGAAAGGTTATAATATATTTTGATAACTAACCTTAGATTATAAAAATGTACATACTTCATAAATCGAATTACATTACAGTTGTTATGATTAATTACTTTATTTAAAACTAAATATCATTACTTGAATAATAGTTTTACTATTATTATTAATTTATTTCAATAAAAATTATGAATTTTTTGTTAGATATAATTAGAAGTGCTTTTATCAAAATGCTTGAATTAATTTGGTTTGGAAAGCGTAAGATTTCAAGTTCATTAAGTATTTATATAAAAACAAACACTGGAAGTACATTAACTATTGACTTGGACCCGAAATGGGATATTAAAAATGTTAAAGAAATAGTTGCTCCTCAGATGGGAATGTCACCTGATGAAATTAAAATAATTTTTGCAGGAAAAGAACTACACAACTCGACAATAATTGAAGTAAAAGCTTATTAATTTATTCTATTTTAAATGTTTCCTATTTTTTATTCCTATATTTTATTCTAATTAATTCTATAAATTATGCGTTTCAGGAATGTGATTTAGGACAACAAAGTATTTTACATGCAGTCAAAGTTCCTCTTAGAAGACGTCAAGTTGGACCTGATTCAACTCAAACTATTAATGAACGATTATCAGAATCTTCTGAATTCGATGATACTGGTGGTGGTGGTGGTGGTAAACCACTCAATGAAACTCTCACTGATTTGTCTCTGAATGAAATTACTACGTTAGATTCGAATGGTGGTCAAAAACAACAAGAGAAACGGGCTCATTTTTTTGTATTCTGTTCAAATCCATGTAAATCAATTGAAGTTGGAAAATTGAGAGTCAGATGTGCCTTATGTGGTAGTGGAGCAGTAACAGTAGATCGCGATCCACAATCATGGCCTGATGTAATACAGCCAAATCGAATTACTGTCCACTGTGAAAATGATCTTTGTCAAACGAATAATATTTCAGAAAATTCAGAATCTCAAGTGCCTTATGCCCAGTTTTATTTTAAATGCGCTAAACATCCTCGTCAAGGTGAAAAAGATGAAGCAGTACCACTATACCTTATTCGACCGAATCTTAGAAAAGTTCCATGTTTAGCATGTACAGACATCAGGTAACGTATTGTTGTTATTATTATTTCCAAGAATGAAATTATTTAAATGGTTAAATTAGTTTGATTTCATTAGGGAGACAGTGTTGGTATTCCCTTGTGAAGCTGCTCATGTTACGTGCCTAGAATGCTTTAAAGAATACTGTTCTATACGACTATGTGAACGTCAATTTGAATTTGATGAAAATACAGGATATTACACACTTCCGTGTCCTGCTGGATGTCCGAATTCATACATCCAAGAGATACATCATTTTCGAATATTAAAACCAGCACAGGTGATAAAGTCTAAAATAGTTAATAAAAAACAAAAATAAGATATTGACAATATTTTAGTATGAACAATATCAACGTTTTGGAGCTGAAGAGTATGTTTTGAGAGCTGGTGGACTCTTATGTCCTCAACCTGATTGCGGTATGGGAATAATTCCAGTAGATCCGAAAGATGGATTTAATGAAGAAGAATGTAAAAAGATTCAGTGCATTGGTGGTTGTGGATTTGTATTTTGTAGAAGATGTTTAAATGGATATCATCTTGGTGAATGTGATAGTCAGCAACCTACCACTTCTAATGTTCAGTCATGGTCTGGTGGATATGCAGTGGATCCGAATCGAGCTAAAGATGTAAAATTGATTATTGTAGATTATTTTAATTTTCAATCATTTAATATTAACACATGATTGTAGGCAAAATGGGATGATGTTAATACAAAGGCTATTAAAAAATTGACGAAGCCGTGTCCTCAGTGTAGAACACCAACTGAACGTGATGGTATGCTAAAAGTTTATAGATTAATATTTGTATTTAAATAAAAGTTTTTTAATTTATTTAAAAATATAATTAATTATTTATAGGAGGATGTATGCATATGGTGTGTACACGTGCAAGATGTAACTTTCAGTGGTGTTGGATTTGTCAAACAGCTTGGTCTCGTGAATGTATGGGTAACCATTGGTTTGGATAATTATTATAACTAATTAAATAAACATGTACAGGTGAAACAAAATGTAAATATACATATGTATATAATTACTATTTGTTTATTAATTAATTATCTCAATTAAAATATTTTAATAACAAATTTTTTCGTTTATATATTGATATAATATAATAAAATTCATTGTCTATGATTATTGCTTTAAGTACTGTATTTACAAGTCTATGTTTAACTACATCTCCAATATATTTAAAACATCAACATTATCTTTAACATTTTTAACGGACGGAATTCGTTGTTTTTTAAATAACAATTTTATCCTTATTATCATTTTATTTAAAAGATTAACGAAATCTTCCTTCAAGTTGTTTTGACATTACGTCAAATACTAGTGTTTTGCGTGACTGTAGGAGGAGTAAGTGGTGTCCACCCACTTTGTGGTTCACCAATTGTTGGGTCTCTTTGATGGGAAGTGTGACGATGATCGATTACTGTGGTCACATACCGCCTGTTTATTTCGACTCGGGTATCATTACTATCTTGACTACTACTATCTTGATATCCTCCTATAGTGTGATGTCCTTTTGATGGATCATATTGATCTGTTGTAGTTGGTGATGGATCCGGTTGAGAAGGGAGTTGGAGTAATTGTGCCGGATTTTCTGAATGATTAACAGATTGTGGATATCCATGATCATACTCATGCCCAGTAGTAATTCCAGATTGATTATCTATTTCATTAGGAGATTGTTGAAGAACTTGGAGTGCAGGTGCACCCCGTGAATAAGGGGGTATTTGATGATGTAAATGAAGGTTTAAATTAAGATAAGATTGTTGTTGAACCTGATCAGACATTGGAGGTGAATGCAGCCAATTAGAAGACTCTATTGTATGCTCATGAGAGGTGGAATTACAAGGTAAAGGAGCTTGAGGAATGTAAAAGGTACAGGCTGTTGTTGGAATGGCTGCACCATTTCCCGGTCTCCCCAAAGAAACATGGGAGTAAGAGGGTGCTGGAGATGAAGATGTTGGTGAAGGTAACGGAGATGCTGGCCATTCTTGAGGTAATGATGGATTCAATCCAGGTAAAGGTTCCGGACTTCTTGGAGGCCAATTACTTGTCACGTATGCCGCTGAATGGAGGAATGGTACTGATGTGAAAGGATCAACATTTTCTTCTGAACAAAAAAAAATTATTATTCATATATTTATCAAAACTATTAAAGTTCATTCTAACTCTGATACCTTCTTGTAAATATTTATGTCGAATAGTATAAGGTGATGTTCTACAAGAACTTTTATGTGTTCCAGATGATATTGTACACGTATTGGTAAGATTTCCAGTAGAATTAGAGACTTGATTTTGAGCCATAGCAATTGCCGACGGTGATGTGTACTCATAACTCATTGCTGGTTGAGGAAGAAACCAAGCACTAGTATCTATTTCAAAAATCCAACATAATCGTCAAACAAGTTAATCTGATGGTTAAACATTTTTTCATTAAATATAAATATGTATAATTTTTTATCATCAAAAATATCTAACATTTTCCAAGTTAAAGGTACCGATGCTCGATATTTTAAACCTATTAGCTGACTAAATATATCTGAGGATAGCAGATAATGTTTTTACACTGATTTTTCTATCTATGGGTAAACTATTCGTGCTCGGTTGACCATTCTTGTTCTAATACTTTCCAAGTGTTACAATGTAATATTTGAAATTTAGATCAAAGATAAACCCAAAGATAAAATTGCCTTAAAATTTACTTTATTTCCTCCTTTACAAAGGGTCATTCGTCACGGTTTTAAAAGTAGATTTTTTTTATGTAGTTTCGAACATAAATTCAAAGGTTATAAATGAAATAAATAAAAATTATATTTACATTGTGGATAAGTTTGTTGATCTGCAGGTCTTTCTTTAGCATCCAAAAATGCTTTAGCAAATGGATTGTACTTGATCTTTAAACCAGTAACTTCTTCATTTTGATAGGCTGTTACAGCTATAAACTGAGTTTCTGGAAACCTGTAGGTAAGAACCTAAAATAGGAGGTTCATAAAAAATATCAAGAATATCAAATTTTATTGATAATCCAATTATCAACTGTATCTATTAAATAAAAAATCTTTGTAGAATTTTAACACTTACGGTTCTTTGCTCTTCTGCACCAACACGAACCAAGTGAACTCGGGGTTCATATTTATGTAAAGAATTTAACATTATTTGACCATTGCCGTTAGATTTATTAGTTAACTTTACTTTTGCAAATGACACTGCCTCTTTCATCCAATGAGCACCAAAGTTTGGACTTTCTGGGTGAATATAAATTGGATTTGGAGGTGCTACTTCTGCTTTTCCTCCTGGTACCCATTCTCCGTTCACATATTTCCATCTATTAATTTAACATCACCATATTTTTATAAATAACACATTATTCAATAAATATTAATAATTATTATTTCATTATATTAGGTTTATTCTAATGGATGTTTTCATGTTTTAAAATTAATTTGCCTTATAGATGATCATTAAAAGATATTGTAATTAAACATCTATATTGATTTGAAAAATTTTTTAGTATATAAAAAAGATATATCAAATTGTCAATTAGTGTTATTTATTTTTATTGAAGTTAACGAATGTAAACTTTGTAAGTTGAGTTTTCGTAGACTTGCTGGTATGATCATTGAATTAATTAAAACATTTATTATATAAAAATAAATTTTAACTATTTTTAATGCGCATTATGATGTTATTAATAAACGAAATATATTTTACCTATGAGGATCAATCTGGACGAACTCAAGAAGCAAGGTGTACATTGCCGCCGGTTCGAGACCTCTTGCAACAACTTTTACGACTGGAAACATTCGTCTGCAAACCGAAATTACACCGCATTAATAACTCCAACTCATTTAAGTCATAAATAGACTTAAAACTTTTTTTATGACCATTCAACAGCTTCACAAAAATATTTAATAGCCAGTAAAATGAGATATTAGTCACTAATGCGTTATCAAACTTATCCCAATGACCCACCTTCCATTCTTCGTGACGATCATTTCATTAGTAATAGTCTGAAATCTTGTCCACAACTCTCGATCTTCCAATGACAGTGAAAGTGTTTGACCAGAAGATGAACAATGTCTAACTGATGTACGATCCTGTCTATCATCATGATTATCTTCATTACTTCTGTGTTTAGTATCACAGCACGTTGAAGATCTACTAGAGGAAGTATCAAGATCTAACGTCGAAGAGGCGTTAGATTGCATTTCTTATTCGTATATTTTTCCTTCCACTTTATTTTTCCACACCTTATTGATAAATTTTCAACAAATAAAAATGTTCGGTGTGTCTCGGTGTTATTTCTTTGATGAATTTATCAATTAGAAACGTGATTTAATCGTTGCCTGCAGGGTTTACGCCAAGACACTAATACTTGACTAAACAAAGTAATTACTACTCTGTCACTCACTTGGTATCGGTGCGAACAAGTTGCATGAGGCGACAGCTTCTTCGCTTGAGTTAGATGTTAACCCAAGAGAGAAAGCAAGTGTTGAAGATGCGCTTGTAACACTTGGCCGCGATATTTCACACTACCTGGCGAACAATTCAGGACTCCCTGACGCTGACAGCCTACGTGTCATTACTGAATCAGCCGCCCACTCTTTTACCTTACCCAAGTGATAATTACCATTCTATTAGGATCATTTAGGGCTCTGGCATGGCCGACCTGCTTATTCATTGGTCTTTACCTGCTGGAACTAAATCAAACAGTCGTATTGGACGAAAGATCGTTTTCTTATTTACAATGACACGCCTTCTTTGGTACTACTTCACCAATCTTTACAGAGTTTTAACTCACAACTACTCAATTTCATCGTTGACTTTGATAAAATAACTAAGAAATCATCCAGGAAGTTGGAATTCACGCCCATTATCTAGTGTAAAGAACACTTTTTTATCACGACATTCGAAAGAAATCCAATAACTTTGGCATCAAGATATTCTACTGATTTTACCATAATATAATTTCTTCAGTGATCTCCTGATTGTACAGTTTTGTAAGGTGACTCTAAAAAGATTTATCCATCCAAAAAATCTTTTTTCTTTATAATAAGCTTTATTCATGAGCTTGATATTAAGTGTAATGTAGTTCGCGATGGTGTTTCATGTTGATATATATTTTTTATTTTTAATTATTGCCAATAATTTTTATGATATCAATGGTTTTGTGGGAATAACAATCAGCAATTAATGATATTGTTTTTGGTGTAGTTAAAAAAATGATGTTGATATTGGTAAGTTAAGTTTAAGAATAGATTAAATTGCATGCAAGCAATGCAGTGACCACCGAATTGAAAGACTGTTTCTAAATAAATGGAAAAAACCAACATGTAACAAAGTGAATCCGAATATCTTGGATATGTTTGACTGGGTGTCCGGTTGTTTGCGATCATTCTTTTTTTCGTTTCGGCTTTATACTACTAATATTTGTTCATATAATTCAACGAAAATTTCGAAACTGTATATACATTAGTCTTGGATATATTTTTTACTTAATTTTATTATCAAACAAAAAGAAGAGGAATTAATTAGAATCATTTATTTATTTTTAAATATATGTATTTATTTTAAGAAACAAAATTTATTATTTTTTTTTTTTTAAATTATTCAAGTTTTTATACAAAGTGATGAGCAAGCAAAGAAAACACATTTTATCTGTGCATCAATAGGATAAAGTTGTCGACAATATGCGGCTAAAATAGTCATAGATGCCATAAAAATTCTTGGGTTAATCAATGTTTAACGTTACGCGTTACCCGAGAATTTTACAACACCTGACCCGATGCCTGTCGGTCTTATGATAGATCTGATGCCTCTACTACTGCGATGCGTAATATTGTGATGATAATGGGTGGCCAGCTTCTATTGGGATTTATTTCATTATATTTGAGCTGTGCCGCTAGATTGTATAAATCTTATTGTGAATATAAAAACCTCTATTTTTTTAATTACACTATTTTTTCTTTTTGATTGTGCAGACTTTTCACTTTTGTACATCAACAAAACATTGATAAATATTTTATGTTCAGTCTTCAAACAGATATGAAAAATAAATCTATAGTTATTTAAGAAACTATAGAACAATATTTGAGAACAAGTTATAAAAAAGGATATTAAACTAATCAGTTGAACGATTGTTTTTATCATCATTAGTTGTGCTATCATCATCTTCATCACCTTCTGTATTACTGGTGGAAGAAATAGCTTTTGTTGAATCTTGACTAGCTCTAGTTGTACTTCGAGTTAGATGTACATTTTGATCAATACTAGGATTTATACTGGAAAAATCAAAATTCCTTTTAAAATGAAAAATATATGATTCTTTATGGTTGGGAGGCCTAGAGTCGTCATGAACCACAAACTTGGGTATTTCCATTCTCAGCACTGAAAGATCTTGATGCATTATTGGATTAGGACGAATCCAGTCAGGATTTCTAGGGCGTGGGACGTCCACTAATGTCACATAATTCTAAAAAACAAAAAAAGCATCTAATAAGATATATAAATAAATAATTCAAATCATCATAACCTTAATTATATTGCTTGATTGGTTAATATTAGATACAAATTTTTTTTAAGAACATTTGAAATAATTGAAACAATAAGAAAAAATATTATACATTCAGTCAATAATATGATAGAAAATATTTCTTTTGTGACATTGGATTTGATAATAATTTTGGTACACACTATTGTAGTTATCTCACGTGTAGTTAGTTTATTTAGTTTAACGATAAGTTAAGTGTTAGAAACTAATCTTTAAGTATATTTTTCAACATTTTCATCAACATCATTGTCAATTGTTTCTACTCGAAAAATTTAATTTAATTTACAAAATTGAATATTATTATTATATTTACTAAACTAAAGATTACTCTGAATCAGTTATGAAATCCTAAATAGAGTCATCCAATGTTGAATGTAATACAATTTAATACCAGGATATAATTGAAAATAAGTTAACACACGTTAAACAACCAAAACAAATAATTAAACAAAATATTTAAAATTACTTATAGAAACCATCATGAAACAAAGTTAGCTCTACATGAAATAAAAAAGTATGTAAAAAATCTCACCGATGAAGGATTAGAAATATTAGCTACAGGAATGCCAATACCAGGTGCTATCCAGTAATATTCATTAGGAATAATAATTTCTTCAGCTGTTGGTGTTTGATTGATGGACGTTTTAATACACGAATTATCAGGAGATGCAGGAATTGGGATGACGGATACAGGAATGTAACCCTCGGGTATTAACTAGAGAGAAACGACAAAATACTTTTTATTTTCGATTGATATTATATAAATGTTTATTTTGATATTTGTCATAATCGTTCTACTTGTAATAACACATAAAGAACGTTGACGGAGTGACTGATGCTTTCTACTAATTATTTTCTGGACTGTTAAGTTCATTTTGATGATGAAATAGGTTGTATTATTTTGAATATGTATCATAATAATAATCATAATGATTTATTATTATTTTTTTTTTTTCTTAATATTTGGAACATTTTAATTATCAATTAATTTAGTGCATTTTTAAAGTAATAAATCATATGATCTTAATCAATGAGTTAATTAATTTTATTAAACATGATTTTTGTTTTATAGATTTATTATTCTGAAAATTTTGATGTGGCACGGAAATTAAAATCTTTTCTAGTAAAATGAATATTCAATTGTGCTTGTTGACATTATGTCATATTTTAATATATGTAATTTAGAAAGATTCATTGCCACAATAATACCTCAAAATGAGATAAATCTCGTATTCTAATGATCTATGGAAGAACTCTTGATAACCGCTCAAACTCTAATCTAATCCTTGTTCCAAATCAGACGTCTCATATAATTTCTCACTTATCTACATGAATAAATACGTGTCGTGCTCCTCACTATTCAATGTTCAGAATAATTAACAAATCATTTTGAACATGGAAGAGTTGTTAACATTAAAAAGATTTACAATTTTAAATTAGTTTAACAGCACCAATTATTATATTCATAATTTATCGGCGCGATAAATTATTGATATTTATGGGACACTTCAGGTAGTCAATAAGCTCCACCTCTATAGACTTAGTTATTCCAAAGATTATTTAATTTTTAGTAATCAATAGTTTAAATAATCATATTCTCAGACGTAATTGATCCTTTTTACTATTTTTATCTTGAGTTAATTTTTCCCTGTTTGTGTACATCTATTAATTACTAACACGAGGTCATGTTTATAAATCGAAGTAGAAACTATTTAGAGAAGTTAGTTATGTTAATTACTATCAAAAGCGATACTTGTTTAATTGTACTTTGATATTAGTAAGCGACTGATATGATGTAAAATGTTTGTTCTTTTCTTTATAAAGCTATGATATTTTTCTTAGTAAGAAAAAAAAAATATCAATAGTACTTTCAGTTTTCTACAAATATCACAAAAATTGTAAAAGTTTTTTTTTGACTTATTTTAGTTTACATTCTATCCAAAAACTTTTGCTTTCATATTTCTTTTTTACTCATCTATTAATTTATTGGATGAATAAATTTAAATAAAAATTATTCACTGATTTGGTTTAATTTGTAAAAGTATAATAAATAAAAAATACATTTATTCTAATCAATTAAGATATATAAACTAACTAGAATATTATTCTAATATTTGGCAAAGGTACTAATAATTTTATAAAATTCCATCGCCTTGCTAATTACAATGTAAAACCAACAATAAATTTATATAATAATTAATTAACTTCTAATTGTTTATACATTATTAATAAAAATAAATTGATATAATAGACTTGAAAAAGATGCTTCTAAATTGCAAAGTTTTGGCACATGTCCTCGTGTTAATTGATGGAATTTTTGACACTCGAAATACTTTTTCTTATTTTAAAACGTGGTGAAGCGACAGACGGGAATTAAAAATTTGGTCCCATTCGATGATGATTTCAGAAATAAAATATCAAAAGAAAAAAAAAAAAAATTGTCTTTCATATCGATGTTATTGACATGATACATCTAACATAGGGAATCTGATTTTAACCCACATTTCTGTTATATGCACGCAACATATATGTATTAATATTCATTCTAAGATTTTCCTAATTTTTCTTATTTCGTATATATATATATATATATATATATATATATATATATATATTTATAATTTTCATATGATCTTTTTAGCTATATTTTTTTTATCACATATTTAATTCTTTGATAATAAATATTGATAACCTATCAACAATATTCAATCGTTAACATGTATAATGCATCGATTGCTTAAATTTGTAATTTTGATTTTCTCATTAAATATACACATTACATGCATCATCCAAGATTTATTATTTTTCACAAGATAATTTTTTTATCAAGTTATTTGTTAGGGCAAATTTTTATACAATCTACTTTCAATATTCAATTAAATAGTAGAATTATTTTTTTTTCATCTCAAACAACAAATAACCCAATTAAATTAGATATGCTGTTAGAAGTTTTGCGACACATATTTGGCAATTCACTTTTGTTTTTCAATCTTTGATTATCATTTATTTATAATTAGTCACATTGATGACTTTGTTATTTATTCAATATGTTATTTAACCATTTGCTTAATAAAAAATCACATGTAATGAATTTCACTTGACAAAGAAATGCCTTATGGCAATTATTAATCATTCATATACATATATATATATGTTTTATATTGTTATCGATTTTAAATTACTATCACTCATTTATCTAGTCTAACTTAATGGTTATATAGCTGTATACATATATATTTATATATTGATTGCTGTCCGAGAAAGATATTTTTTCTGTAACCAGCAATATTTTTCAGGCTCTATCAAAAAAAAATTTTTTTTTTTTTCGAATCACTAACATCTATACATTAAGATGAGACATGACGAAATTTTACTTATAGATCCGCGCTTTTAATCGTCGTTTTCTACGCATTGCCAATTTATTTTTGTTTTGATTGTCTCTAATTTATTGATTCAAGAAATAAACATCTAAGCTACAATCGTGAAAAACATTTAATTTGATTATTTTTTATACTAATTTTAAAATAAATTTTTCAAAATTTACAAAGAATCTTTTCCTTTATGATTTGTAATGCAATATCAAGATTTTAATATTGGTTATAATTTTAATAATGTTTAAGTCATGTTTGATAATGAGATGAACGAGATCAAGAATTGTAAATCACTTAAATATTCAAGGTACATGAATATTAATTTTATTCAAATAAACATAAATAGAAAAAGTTATTCTGACTTGAAAATGGCATAAAGTAGAATTCGAAGATTAAAATTTTTACAATAGCAGTGTACTAGAATCTTCAAACAATCGAACGGACAGACAATATACTTTAAACTATGACGAGAATAATAAAATTGACAATTTTGTCCCATTTTTTTTTTTAATTCTCGTTCGAATAATTCTTTTATAAATGCATTTCTCTTCTTAATTATCATAAATACTTAGTTTTATCCAGTCCATCGAAAGGCACAATTTTGATAACCAATTGAAATTCACCTTAATTTTTTTACTAACATATCATTTTCTTTTTCTTTTATTACTATCCGCCGAACTTCGATAATCCTCAAAGATTCACGTGAGGACGCGGACAAGTCGGTAAGACGAAAACACTTGTTCTTACAAACTTTATTTTTTTTCCTAAATAATTGTCTCTTGTCTCACATATATTCTTCTTTTTAATAAACTATACGTAGTATCATATGTACGTATATCACCTAATAACTGAAACTCATTGTCTTCTACTTTTCTATAAGAGTTTGACAACTCTAAATTTGATATTACTTTTTACAAATCATGAAACTCGAAGATACATCACTTTTATCACCGATTCTCACACAATATGCAAAAATGCATTTAAAAACAGTATTAGAGGAATTCAAATGTATATTTACTGCATTAATAAATGACTCATTCATATTTTGAATTCATTTTAACTTTCTTCAACATCAAAAGGATTACGAATATTTTGATTAAATAGTTTAAATTCTTGGTATTCATTTGACTGGAAAATTGTATATCATACAAGGCCATTAGTAATATGATTATTTATTGAAATCCTATCAATAGTTTTACCCATCAGAATAAAGTTAGAGTATTTTTTATTTACTAGTAAATTTTTTTTTTGATTTTATATCTTAGGTAGCAAGAATCAATTGTATTTTTTTATGTTCCTCTAATTCTGTCTTCAAAAGATAGATTAAAATACAACTTGCATTATAATCAAGAAGAAATTTGATGCGGAAATGATTAAATTTGACTACCTATAGCACTTACGTATGGACTATGCCACCTACGTATCGTGCTTCTGACACTTTCATAATGAAAATTCGTTAAATTAGTTAAACCACTTAAATTGTCTACTGTCTCAATAACACTTTCATCATTACCAATTATATCTTCAGTGCTACATGACGAAGACTCAACAAGATCTTGATGATCAACTGACACAGTCGAACTATTTGTTGTATCGATACTAGAATTTCGGTTTCTACTTACGCCACCACTTTCTCCAATTATATTTGCAAAGTATTGAGATCTGGAAAATTTTCCGATTTCCGTTGAACCAAAAGCTTGATGAAAACCCGGCAATGGTTGTTTAGATGGTGTTTGTCTTGATGGAGATTCATCTTCTTGGTATTCTTTAATTTCTTCATTAGGCTTTGACGGTTCTTTCGCTCGAGGTTCTGAGTCCCGAGATAGAGTTGCTAAATTAGACATCCCTGGATCAATAGGAATTTGTGGTTCCCATCTTGAAGCATCTTCTGCACATTTCTCATTCTCCTGCTGATAAAAAAATAAACATAAAATTTGTTTTCTAATGAAAACAATTGATCGAACATAATTATAATACTTTGACTCTTTTCGATAAGTATAAAATCAATAGAACAATATTGCATGACGTCAAACATTTTAATACAATTCTATTATGTATTGATGATCTCTTTAAAATCGCATTAGAATTCTTACAATAACTCAATAGCCTATTAATATTTAAAGGAAATATTTTTTAATAGCATAAAATAAAATACAACCGTTTCAAGAATTCTATAATATCTATAAATGAAAGGAACTAATTACTTGATAGCTATGCTGTGAGTATCCTGACTGTAATCGATGTCCAACGTCAACTTTATTAGTCATATAATTTATGGGCATTTCTTCGGGAAAATTACAGTGTCGTTCATGTTGTTCTTGGAGAAAAGCCATCTGTCTTGGACCTCTAATTGCTGAATTCTGAGCAGTCATCGTAACTAAAGTATATAGTAATAAATATAATTGATTGAAATTTAATAAATTGATAAGACTATAAAAATAAAGGATTTAAATAGAATCTTACACAATGGAACTCCGCAAAATTGATTCCACGGTCCATGACCATGGGTATTGATACTCTGCATACCATGACGATTAGCGATCTTTGACATAGAGCCACTTCTTGGATGATAAACCGTTGGAGTACTCTAAAAAAATTCAAAAGAATAAATATAAAAAAAGAAAGAAAAAGAGTAAAAAAGAAATAATGTCAATGCAATCGATCATGTACTTACTTGGTATGGATGCCACTTCTGAGCATCTGAAAACTCTCCAATGCCACTACAATAATCGTTGCTCTCGAGGCCGCCAATACTTGTGTCGCTAGTCACTTGCGTAGACGCTCCGCGAACAGTAAATTCACCGGGGTAACACGCCGTCGCGGAAGCTGCAGGAAAAGCACCGGCGCACTCAGCTTGCTTTCTCAAAACCTCTTTGGATTTATCGAACGTTCGCTGATGGGTCTGCATGACCTGGAATCGATAATCTAATATTAAACCTCCTACCGTTCAAATGGAATGTTAGTGATAAGAAACACTAGACTGGTATTTTTTCCAAATCCTTTTTCGTTAAAAGCTTATGTTTATCATTTTTTACACTTCCTAAACTAAATTGAAAGTGAGATTAAAGTTTGTTATCTATGGAGGGAACTTGTTTAATAATTTTAAAATTTTTCTGTTGAATAGAGGCAAAAAAATTTCAAGTTAAATAAACAATAAATATTTATTATTATTGATTGTACTAAATATAAATAAATATTTTGCATAATTTTTATGTTTATTACTCTTGTTTAAGTTTTTTTTTCTTGCCAATTTAAAACACAATTTACTTAAAAGACTTGATCCTCAATATGTTATTTTGACTGAAAACAAATTTTATGAATAAATTAAAAACAATACTGACCCTGTGAGAGAGCATTGGCTTAATGTGACTTGATGATGGCGTATGGCCGATTGGAAACCAAGAATTGATCATCCTATCGGAGTTGTAGGAAGAAGTACCAGGTAATGAAGAAACACTTGAAGTTGATGCTGGTGAAGTGCAGGGCATTGGTTGATTTATAAAATTTGACGAACTGGCGATTCCGTTACCAACATTTGTTCCATTAGTATCATTTGCGCCAGTTGTCGACGCATTCCCGCTCGTCGATGTAACTGCTGATTGAAGTATAGATTGTCTCGACAATTCACGACTCTGTTCACGCATTGCTTTCCGAAGTCTTGCTTCCTTAGGATTATATACGTAGTCTGAAAATAATTCAATGAGTTAACGATCGATTTCAGTATAATCTACACTACTGATGAAAGAGAGAAGGAGAAAAATATTATACATGAACGATATAATTATGTAGAAATTCATTTAGATAACTTAGTTCTAATTTGGAAAATATTCCAAGTATTTAGAACATTAGTATCATGCAAAAAAAAACAAAAAAATAGATTACAAGGCTTTTAAGGTGTTTGATGATATTCATGATGACTTGATTAATTATGTCCTGATAATTTGTTAGTCATTTAACTATTGGAGATAATCTTAATTCAGAAATATAAATTACCATAAAACCAATGAATATTTATAGAGAATTTTCTGCTATACTTATCAAGGTATCAAAGAATTTTCAAAGACTTCATTTATACAAATATCGATTTCAGATTTGCCGCAAATTATCACAAACTCTTTCAAAACCGAGACTAAATACATACTGAACTATTTAAACATTTGCCAGACTTCTAGATTTCAACAGTATAAGTAACTTGGTAAAACAATTAAATTGGATTAGCCTGTTTAATTTATCCCACTTGACTCACGACTTGATGAATGAAAACAAGATAGAAATAACATACATTTGTATTTAATTAGTCGATTAAAATTGTAAGGATCCTTCAAGTGTCTTACAGATAAACAATCTTTACTGTTTATATCACTAACTAACACGCAAAAGAATGAGTAAATTTGATAGTAGCATGTTGGCATGTACTACCTGTCGGATAAGCAGAATGGAGTCTGGAATATTGGACATTTGTTTCGATCGCATCAGAAATCGGTGGTGTGCTGTAAGCAGGATAACTGGTGGTCATGTTGTCATAACAAAAATGATGTTGTTGTTGATAGAAATGACTGTGGCCTGGGTACGGTTGTACGTAGTTACAACAATTCATCTTTTTTATAATTAATAACAATAAACAGTTGAAGCAATTCCTAGTCTATCAGACACGTTATATCAATTGACACCGGAAACAGTTCTCAGCTTTCAACACGCACTTATCAATGGAAGATATAAGAATGCTGATCACTATATAGTGTAAGTATATTTTTTGAAAACTAATCACTCAAGTGTCAACAATGTGTGAGGAAGACGTTGGTAAATTAATCCATCGATTCCGATAAGATATAAAGAATGACGGAATAATGATTTTTTGATGATTGTACATGATCACTTGGATGTTGTGCATTGGCGCGAAACTTGACGGATTGACCGAAATCTACTGGTAGACTTGATGTATCATCGATCTCCCGAGCCATCTAAACAGATGCTGTGCGCGGGGTCAACGCGTTGATGGGATCAACGACGGTAGGTGTCTAAGGGATTAACCCCAGTCGCCACATGAATCCTCTGAACTCGAAGGAGCATGTTGGAGGGTGTTGGCCTATACTTAGTCCTGAGACATAGAGAATAAGTGATGTCGTTGGCCTGAATCGATCACAAGATGTCTCTTGTTTATTTATCCCTCCCCACTCTTATAAACACTGCACACGTGGAAGTTGTACGGAATGTCTTGTTTTACTGCACACGTTCTTCTTCTTCTCTCTCTCTCTCTCTTTCTCCTTCTATCTATTTCTATTATCACTTAGTCTTGTTTATCCAATCTACCTCCTTTACAATTCAAACTTGTGACTGTTGATGAGATCAATGTCGGAGATCGTAGCCACAATATCGACATACTGTGGTCAATGACATCTTCTGGTAACACGTCCACATGAGGTGACGGTTCGCCTCAACTGTCGTCAATGACGAGTTACAGCGCGCACCTTCGCCTCCGTCGTACAATAACGACGAAGACGATGAGGACGTTGGTAATTTTCCTGACATTTCAGTGGCTTCTCTCTCCAGCGCGCGCTACGTCTGATCGTCGCGACGCATGCACACCGGTGGCGCGTCAGATCCCCCTTCTTCCTTCTTCTCTACTAATCAGTCGACTCGCTCGATCTTTCTCACTCGATTGAGAACAGATGCTCGGACCTACAACGCCTGCTGGAAAGCCACTCTCTTACTCAGCGTGACAATGCGTCGGTAGAACCGCGTGCTCTATATCTCCCAACATTACTATGTCCCCGTGTTATTGGCGTGGAGCAAAAAATACTGAGCTCGACAGCGCCGTCGCGTTTCTTGTTCGATGAAACTCCTCATGTATTAACCTAGCACCTATACTACTAGTATCCACTAACCCTAACCTCCCTCTCTCTTTTTGATTATAAGATTGCCTGTTGTGTAATGTTTATCTTTTTCTTTTATTATTAAGACACAACATACATACAAATAAAAATTAAATCAACTTGGTTATTTAACGCAACTCAAAATTATCTCAATGTCAACAAAATATTCAAATAGGGTAATTTTTATCAATATAATAGAAATATACATAAATATGATATATTATTTGTAAGAGTTAAACATAAAAATCGATACTGATTCTCAAAGATCAGATTTTTAGGGCACCTGGACCCTCGAGCACTGTAGTTACTTTTTATTTTTTCAACTTATCATCATCAGCATCTCCAATAAATGGCCTTTTCTTCAGCAGACATATTAGCATCTTTTGTATGATAGTTGCGATGCTAACCCATTCGTTCTGAATTTAATCTACGTGTGAAATAAATTTACACGAAAACTACACCTGAAGTTTAGAATGCAGAGGTAACGTGTTACCGCGCTCGCGCTTTATCGTACCCACCAACATCGAACGCCCTGTTGTTGGTCAGGAGAGAGAGGAGAGAAGTAGCATGACCGTACAGTCGCGTCGCAATCAATACCTCTGGTACCCGAACCCCGTCACTCACCCGACAACCTCTGCGAGAATATTTCCCCTCTACTCTTTTCTATCTCTTTTTCCCTAGCGAATCTTCTCCCCTCTGCCCCCACTAAATCTTCCGCGACACTCTCTCACTTCCCCGACCCCTCGGCCTTTCGTCTCACCTATCAGTAACTTATCCACCCTTGCCGTTCGATCTCGTCTATTCTTACCCTTCGCAACAAATTTGTTGAAAATCCGTGCATGCATTTCCGACTCTTATGAATTTTATTTTGTTTAAGATATTTTACCTACGAAACAAATTACACCACGAATATTTGTTGTCAACTTTGCATGGCTAAAATCTAAAAAAAGATACGCTAAAAGAAATTCTAATTTAAAGCTTTGCATGAAGAAACTTCAAAATATTGTCATCAAATATTTGTTGGAGCGAGATAAAAATATTTTACTTCAATTTGGTTGATAAGTTATTGAGGTTGACTGATGGCAAATCAAAATGGAAATTTAGCCAATTTTACTAGAGAGATTGATGAAAAAAATTGCATAGCAATTTTTTTTTATTTTTTACTTTCATTAATAAACATTATTTTTCATATCGTGACTGTCACTCTTTTTCAAGGAGAACCCTAGAAGCTTATATTACAGCAGTAGTTCATGTCACTGTACTTCTATATAATTTTCTTAATTAATACAAAAAACACTGTTTTAAATTATTTTTAATATTTATAAGAATAATTTTCTCATTTTTTTAAAATCAATTTAAGAAATTTATAAATTACTTTAAATGAATTTATCATGACTACATTACTATAGAGTCATAAAATAAAAATCAAACTTGTAAATGACTAGGGCCATTCTTTTTACTTCCTTCAATTTTATTTCATTAAATAAATTCTTTCCCCCTTATAATGATTTTAAATAGCAATTGATAAAGTTGAGCTAGTTTAAAAAATTATTTTGAATAAAAAAATGACAATCAAATAATTTATAAAACATTCAGACATAAAGTCGTTAATCCCCAACACATTTTATCAGCCTTGATGAAGGGTTTCAAAAGATTTTGGCTTGAGGTATTATTGAAGCGTACGACTAAGCTGATATATAACAAGCTCTTTTCCTTTTTACTCGATTTTTCGTCGAATGTGGCTCTGGTGTTGATTGCCTTGATCACTGATCCACGAGAGATTTCTCAAGTGACAACAGATGAAACGCTCAGTTACACTTGCGCGCTTCTCATATAGATATACTATATTCACGCGTGATTATCCTGCAATCATGCTTTAGATCCGGTGCTTGGAGAGAATCCAAACGTTTTTCCAAGATAGACGATAGACTACAGTTATTTCCTATTGAGCTTTTTTAAATGTTAAGCGAATGAGTTTCTGTACCTATCGATTTTTTTCACTGTGCGCACGTTTGAAAATATACCCAGATATAACGCATGACGCTGAATCTAGGCACGGCTCCGGCTTGTCGAACGACCCAATTGTCTTTGAATACTTTTTCAAGAGAAGCCTCTCTAATAATGTGAAAGCTTTCAACAGTATGGTTTAATAATAATTTTTTTTTTCCTTCTATTTTTAACCCAATAAATATTTGATTTCTTTGATATTTCAATTCTACTCTCCATCAACTTGACAAAAAAAAAACTTAAACTATCTTCATTATTTACATTTTTTTCTATTAATTACTTTAACTTAATCATAAACTTTAACTTAAAGTTAAAAATATCAAATAAATATTAAATATTTAATAGAGAAAAAAAAAATAATTTATAAAACATGTATACTACTTTTAAAATGGTGATTGATATATTATTCTCACCAGGATATTTTCTTTTATGTTCAGCATCGACTTGTCTTGCTAAGGAAAAATATTTCTCTTTTACATCCTTGCCCATATTTTTCCACAGGACACCCAATCTACAAATGGATAACGTTCAGGATAATAGGGAAAAAGATAGGATAATGATGAAGGAATTGATGAATTGAGTTAATGATGAAATGAATAAATAAATAAAAGAGGAAAACTAGCCTGACACTTATGTCCTTATTAGATTCTCTAGGATTTTCAAGGGCAAGTTTTTTTCGCCATTCATTAGCAAAAAGCATAAATGCATTTGCAGGCCGTGGGATTTTAGCTTTACCAAGCGTACTATTGGCACACTTCCCGCCAAGGTTCGTTGCGCTTGCGTTAGTAAATCGTTGTCGTTGCAACTGCATTTGCAGAATGTTGCTGGGCAACTCGCGTTTGCGTGGTGGTTTTGATTCAATACAAATTTGCTGATTTCTCTGCTCACACTCAATTACCCTGTTGCTATTCTCGGTAGGGAAAACGATCAGTTGTTTCCGTGAAGATGAAGATGAGGAAGATGTATGGGATGATGGTGATGAGGAGTCAACTTCTCTTTCAGACTTTGTATACGATGAATTGCTAGATTTAACAGTTATCACATCTTCTCTCTTTTTTAATTTTCCAGTTGGATAATAATCATCTAATACAAAAATATTTTACAATTAATTACTTTTATTTGGTATTTATTTAAAAATAGTTAGAAATTAATAAAAAAAAAAAAAATTTCAAAACGCAACAGAAATAATTAGATAGCACTCACCTTTTCCTGAGAATAAGACAAATTGATAATGACTCATTATTGTGAACGTTGTTGATTAATGATGCCAATTAGGTAAAATAGTCGATAATAAAATTAACTGAATAATTATCAATTATCAATAATTATTGACAATCTATCAAATAAATGATCAGTGTTGAATAATGATTACACTTAAATATCCTTGATGACTTGTTCAATATTTAAAAAACTTTTAAACAATCTCTAATTACAACAAATAGTTGAAACTCCGTTGTCAAGAGGTCTGTGTTTAATGTCGAATGTCTCTTTTGTTTTTTCCTTGTGGAGCTGAAGCCACTACCTTTTTTTCATACTTTTTTTCTACATTCCGTTATACTTCCGATTGTTCGACAAAAGACTGCCGATTGCGGTAGTTTTGATGCTGCTATATTCAAACCTATTTTTAACTACATGACAGTTCTATCACACTTTTGTGGTTATCGTTAAATTTTTTTTTACAATCAATTTCACTCATAAAACTTCACAAGCTGATATTGATTTTTGGAATTAAATTTAAAAAAAATAAATACATGCAGAACAATCTATCATTGATGATTGATTTACTTACAATTACAAATTTATGAGAGATGTGAATTCATTATCAATATCAGATGAATTTCAAATTAAAATTTGCTTCATTACGTCAGTTTGCCATTTTATGTACTTAATTTGATAAACATTCCACTTTATAAATTTTAGTTTACACAATTAATTATTTTAGTTTGACTTTAAATTAATTATAAAATTTTCCAAATCTATTTACTAACCAACACTCTTTGGAGTAGACCTCCCAGACAATTAATTGTTATTAATTAACCTAAAATTTTTACAGCACACCTCTTATCGTATGTGAATAGAATTTTAACACTCACAAGAGGCTCATAATTGTAATTAATCATCACAGAAAGGATAAAGTATAATAATTTTAACCTAAAAATATTGATTTGATATCTTTAATCATTGTTGTAGACAACTTTTAATCTGTATAACAATAGTGAAGCAAAATGAGAAAAATATTTCCTCACAAAATGTTCAGTTTCCGTCGTCTAGCGATACATTATAATTCCGAAAGACTAAGGGATGAGAATATTCAAGAAGTTTTTGCTCTGATAGCTGAAGCATACGAAGTGAAGTCCTTTCGGATCCTCTCAAGCGGGCTATCTATGACCAGTACGGCGAGACAGGTTTGAAAAGTAAAGTTACAGGATCAAATGACCATATACCGTCTTATGTATTCCACAAGGAACTACTACAAACTTTTAAGTATCTCTTGAACCTTCTCAACCGTATTTTTATCAAAATATCAACACTTTAAAGTTTATATTGTATACTCCCGACATGATAATTGATTTGTAAATATGGTTTTAGACAATTTTTTGGCGTGTCCAATTCTGTCAATGACATTCTATGTATTATTAATGATCCAGAAATAATGGATTTAGTTGCTAAGGGAAAAGAAATTGTCATTAATGATAAACCAATTAAAAAAACTCTACAATTATCATTAAAAGAAGTAAGTCTATTGGCTTTTTATTTTTATTTCATTTAGATTTAATTACCTCCATGTCCAAGACTTTGTAACCTCAATAAAAAATATGCATAAAGCGTGTATAATGTCCATAATCAAACTTTACCCGTTTTGTATATATTTTTTAAACATTTTATGTGTGTGACAAATCTATATGTTGTTTATGATATATGTATAATCACGAATAGGATTAGCATGTAAAAAATGTTTACAATAACAACACTTGAATTTTCAGTGGAATTTTTTTTTAATATTTATAACTTTTTGCTAAAAAATTGTATCTATGGTAAATGTTTACAAATGAAAAAAATTCCCTGGTGTAACTTATAAAACTTATGAAATATTGACATTAAAAAAATTTAATTTACTTGCTGCGTACCGTGAAGGCAACTAGAAAATTTTCATCTCGATACATTTTAAGGTTACATTATTTACAAACTTCACACTATGCTAATATTTAGTGATGGTTAATTTTAGATTTTTTATGGAGGAATGAAGAAAATAAAAATTCGAAAACTCATATTTGCCGATGCTGAGAAATCACACACATTTTTGAAAGAGAAGATTCTTACGGTACCTATAAAACCAGGTCTTCCAACAGGAACGGAAATAATATTTACGGAGGAAGGTGATCAAAGACCGAATAGGATACCTGGTATTTTTATTACTCTTTTTTTTTTTTTTAACTAACAAAAAAAAGATTTTCTAAAAATTTAGATCAGTGTTCCGAGTCACCTTTGATATCTCATGGGCATAACCCCTTTTTTAAAATTTTTATTATAATATTTTACATTCAAATTTACATATATCGTTTTTTTTTTTTTCAAATTGCAGCTGATATCATATTTACTACTGAAGACAAAACTCATGAAATATACAAGAGAGAAGGTGATAATCTATTGATGACCGTTGATATTGTATTGAAAGATGCTCTACTTGGAACAATCGTTACTGTGCATACTTTAGACGATAGAACATTTCGTGTACCCATCACTTCGATTACCACGTAAGTGACGTTTGATATGAAACATAAAATGATGTATAACACAAAAATCCAATCAATGAAGTAGATATCAATAACTTTATAATTCTCTAAGGTGAAGTGAAAATTTTTTTATTTGATCATTTTCACATTTTATCTGAACTATTTCACCATAGAGTAGAGCCTCTAAACATTTTTTTGGCTTGTGATATAATTGATTTTTAGTTTAATAAAACATAGAAAAACTATTTAAGAAAAATTTTTTAGTAATTTATGATAGTAACAAATAAAAACTGAGAAAAAATGTATTAAATTGCAGGCCAGACTATCGGAAATACATTCCGGGTGAAGGACTGCCTTTTTTACAAAATCCAAATGAACGCGGTGACCTTATAATAAATTTTAAAATAGACTTTCCAATTTATTTGTCAGTCGCCAGCAAAAATTATATGAAAAAAGCATTCGATAACCCAGTAAAAGATGTAACCAATAAAATCGTCTAAATAATCAAATCAAAGCTGGTTTAATTATTTTTTGAAATATTCATTCACTTTATTTAAAAAAAAAAAAAAACGTTTACTAATAATTCAACAACGCCAATTTAAAATGTTTGATAACAAAGGAATTGTATAACGACTGCCGGTACAGTAGAATTTGCGGGTTATTAATGGTAATTTAGGAATAAACCTTATCTGAGAATTTGTACAGTCGAAAGGATGAAAACAACAAGTGATACAGCACAAGGAATTGTTTGTAATGTATTGTACGATTGTTTATGTATCGGATATAAATAAAATTAAACATTCATTGGAAAAAAAAAAAAAAAGAACAACAACTTCCAGATGTATACAGTAGTTTTTTGGTTTCAATGTTAAACACAAGTTTCATCAAGATATAAATATTATCTGGCATCTGGTATAAATGTAGTGTTTTATCTGAACCAATGTGTAATCATCTTGGTAGAATCATATGACTCTTTCGCACGTGACTTTATTTACAGTTGATTTTATAAATTGTGAATATGTATGGGACAGTTTCCTGTGCGGTAGTAGACCGTAAATCCATGTTAATCGCGAGATGTAGGAATTGTAATTGATCTATGTTAACTTATGATGCCTTTGTTTAACAAGTTTTTATCCACGAAGACAAATAATAACAAAAATAATACGCGTAAAGAGTCATTAAATATTGACTTTGAAGTTGCTAATAGGTAAGGAAGATGTATAATTTATTAATTATATTATTAACTCATTTAATTGATGTAAAGTTTTTTATCTTTTACTTGAATAATTTTACGCAGTAATACTATATTTATAAGCCAATGCTTACGATCTCTTTAAACACCACACTCATTGACATCTACATCTGAATGAATGTTCATTTCATTGACATTTTATTAAAATAAAAATATGTATATAGCAACACACATATTTATACATTCACATATCTTGAATGTCTGTAACACTATATTTAACTATTAATCATATTTAATTAATTACAAATATCTTTTAAACATCCAAAAATTTTTTATTGTATTAATTTATTTTTTTTTCTTTCAATTAGAAAAAAATTACATTTTGAAGCTGAACAAGTGAGAATTTTATTATTTCGAGAGTGTGAGTGGCGTGGAAAGAGACTATTATTTGATTCTGTATCTCTTTCAAAGCAAACTTTATCTAATTCTGATCAAAATGTCAAGAAAACATGTACAGAAAGTAATTCATGTCCTAGGAATGGAAATGGATTACCTTTGGCGGTTTGTATCGATACTTTCTAAATGCATTTTTATATATGTGAATAAGTCCTGTAATGATTATTGTCAATAAATATTATTACAGAGTGAAAAAGATCCTTGTGATAACATAAGTCTTCTGAGTGAAATGATATTTGGCACAGTTGCTATGACATATAGAGGTCCTCTTTTTAAAGTTCATCTACTAGATGACCCAAGATGTATCATGTGTACAAAAGTTTTTCCTGCTTCTGATCATAATCCACACAAACAAAGGTATTTTTTTATTATTTAATATATATTTCTTTAACTCAAGAAATACATAAAGTGAATTTAAATCTTTTTTTTAGTAATGGAGTAACTTCAACTGAAACAACAAAAACATCTACGAATTTTGACTCCAATTCTAGTAATGGAAGTAGTCGAAATACTCGTAAGAATAAACTTCTGTATTTTAATCAAAAATATTCATTTTATATAGAAAAAAATTTCAAATGATTGTAAATGATATTTCTAGTTTCCTCTCCAAGTTCTGGTAATTTTTCTGGAAGTAGTTTGAGGAAGAGTTCGACATGTTCCAGTACTTGTAGTGGGTGGGACATAGATGTTCTTCATCCAGGCAGTAAGTTAATTAAAATATTATTTTTTAAAAAATTAATTTCCTTTTTTATCTTTCATTATATTTATTTTTTTTTTTCAAACCAGGCTCTCAATCTTTGGAGATAAATTCTAATTCATCCTCAGGGTTTAGTAGTTTTTCAAGTTTTCGTCGTCGATGGCTACGAGCAATGTCAACATCTCTAAGTTTAACGGATTCCGATGAAATATTTGGATTTCAACCGTACGGTGATACTTCTGGAAACATTTGTGATTTTAATACTCGACGTCATAAAACCCGATTAGGTTTAGCTCTTTTAATTAAGTTAACTCCTGGTCAAGAACGGTAAATTTTTATTTTTGAAATATCCATTTACATCACTTGAACTTCTTTAACTTCTATTTATGATTGAAATTCATGCCATTTTTTTATAGACAGATGGAGACTCAATTGTTGGAGCATGTAGCGCATCTTGAAGCGATATTAAATCGTTTGTGTTATACATGTATGGAACGAAATGGAAAAAAAACTGATGAAGATAAAAAAGGATTACTAATTCGATTGCATTATATTGCTTACCGTTGCACTATGTGGCTACTTCGATTATTTATGCCTTCAGGAAATAATGGTAGTCCTTCAATATGGCACCAAGTTTTACTCAACTCATCTATTTGCATAGATACCCGAATAAAAATGTTGTACTGTAGCTTTCAGCAAATGTGTCAATTATTGAATAATTTCGATACAAAGTCCACTAATTTGTAAGTTATTTTTTAACTTAAATTAATTTGTTTTTTAATCAGTGAATTATTAAATTTCTGTTTTTTTTGTATAGCTTCATTAGTACGGTAATTACGGCTGTTTTAACTTACCATCTTGGATGGGTGAATACAATAATGTCTCCGCGTGATAAAACATGGGTAAATTTAATTTTACAAAATACATATAAAAAATTTAATTATTTAAATGATGGAATAATCACTTTTTTTTTTTTTTAATTACCAGATAGAAAACATCAAAACAAAATTTTCTTATAATCCATTTTGGGCTCAATTAGGAGATTTGTATGGTGCATTAGGAAATCCAGCGAAATTCGTTCACACAGTTATTGTCGGAAGTTCAGAAAAAGTGACGTTAATTAATACAATATTAACATTTTTAACGTATTTTATACGAAGTGCAATTGTGACAAAGCATTATGAAGAACGTGATTCCCCAGAGACAGGAGTACAGGAAGCAATTAATATTTTAAAGCAGATTAAGAAAAAGCACAGTTCAACTACAAATACTTTAAAAAATATTAGATTTACTCCACGTAATAATGATCATTGTGAGTCGTCTAGTAGTCGATTAAATATTGAATCTACTAGTGGACTGAGTAGATCGCCTAAAAATCTATCAGATGTAAAGTCAATGAATTCAAGTGGTCAGAGTGAAAAAAAAGAAAAGGCTACATTGAACATTCCAAAACTGAGAAAAATAAGTAGTTTAAATTCAAATCTTGATTCTCATCCTTCAAATTTACAAAAAACTGAATCAAAATTATCTTTAGAATTGCAACCACGTCGAAATGACTTGAGTGATTTTTCAATATGTTCAAATGGTTTAGAAAAAAATAGTACATCAAGTTCAGTGAAAATTATAGTCAGTGAAATCGCTTCTCAGGAGTTTGAAGGTGAAAAAAATGTTCCACGAGTATCAGTCTTTGATGATTTAGAGTTGAAAGACGAATTGAGAGACTCTCAATCATTATCATTAACTCCGAAGCTTCCTATTTTAGAGGATCGCAGAGGAAGTACATTAGATGAAACAGATGTCTATTTTTCACAAGTGGAATATACTGACGACAAACGAAATCAAGTTTTTTTCACTTTAGGAGGAGAAGAAAAACCACCTGTAGCGGATCGATTACCTCAAGATAATAATTGTCAATGTTCATTTGCATTTAATCGTGTCCCGAGTACGTCAGCTCAATTGCCTGAAGGAGTGTTAAGAAAAATTCTTCAAAGAAATTTTCCGGAATCATCGAAAAGTATACAAAGGCCACCATCATCTTCTTTCAGTAAAGAACGACCTTTTGGCCTATGTCCAAAATGCAATGGTAATGGTAATTACGAAGGTAGTAAATTATTGTTAGAAACACCCACCAATGCTACAGAAGTTTTAAGAACTTGCGGAAGTTCAATGACTACTCGAGGTGCTCGACCACGATGTATTGATAGTCTAGAAGAATTACTTGAAGTAAATGAAGTCATTGAATTGCCGATGCCACGATCAAAAAATTCAACTGACCCATCAGTGAATCTGAATCAAGTATCAGGTTTTACTGATACTCTTATACGAAAAACAGTTACTGAAACAGCAGATGGAAATCATTTGTTCTATGATTCAGGGTATACGACAGGTCTAGTTATTCAGGGTTTAAAAAAGAAGAATAATAAAGGAAAAGATATAAAAATTAATGAAGAAAAATACGATAGTGGAAATAATGATGAAGAAAAGAATAATTTAATCAAAGAGTTGAGAGAAGAAGTTAGTATAAATGCTCGGTATCCAATCGTTGATCATACGGTTTCAGAGTCAGTTTGTATACTAGCAGATGTAGATAACTGGCAAGTTGGAATTATTTCAAATAATATGCCTCTACAAAGTCAGTTACTTCCTGTTGGAATGTCTCGATTAGTTTCTGATATGTTAGAAGCATTCGTTTATTTGTGGACAAAATACAGATCTCCTGTTCATGTAAGTTGATTATTAACAAATAATTGATTATTTCTTTATTAAAATATCTCTGTTTAATTTATTATTCAATTATTATTTATAGTGCCTCAACATCTTGGAAACCAAATTGAGAGAGATATGGCTCAGAAGTGAGACACTAGCGAAAATGTTAATGTCTGTCGACGTCTGTGAGATGAGCTTAGCTAATTTAACAAGTACGTTGGATCTTGATGCCGCTGACATACCACTTCTACTTGCTGTTGCTACTACTCACTCGCCACAAATAGCTCAACGATTTGGTTTCACACTTACTTAAGCACAATGTAATTGAAATGTGTAAATGTCCGTTGTAAGTAATATTAATTGTTTAAACTATTGTCGCTGTGAGGATATATTTTTGTAGTGAAGGCTAGTAATAATTATTGGCTATGGACTCATGACATTATAATTTGAGTATGAAAGCTAATTAATTATGTATTTAACTAAAATGTGTGATAGATAATATAAATTTTTATGATCGATTTATTAAATAAAAAAATTTATGTTTGATAAATATATTGATATGTTTGAGTTTATAATATATAGTTATAGAATATAAAATCGATAAATTAATAATGGTACATATAGTGATTTCATAAACATATTTATGTAATATAAATATCTTTAATGAATATTATTATATAATTGAATAGAAGTAATATTTAATATCTAATATGAATTGTTAATAAATCAATTGAAAATAGTTTTTTAAAGATTTTGTCTTTTTATTAGAATTTTATCTTTTTATGTTTAATAAGAAGCGACTTGAACTTTCATTTTTCATTGATGTAATTATTATTTTACATTAAGAGCCTTTTATATAATTTTCCATTTCTTAAAATAACTTTTCTATAAATTAAATAATGATTAGATATCACATTATTATTGAAAGAATTGAAAGTATGTAGTTAGATATAAATCAATAGTAAAAGTTAAATTATTTGAATTGTTTATTCATGCTGAAAATGCCTTATATGTTCATATAACTTACTTTTGTCTAAAAAAAATCGGAAAGTACATTAAATTAGGCTTAACTTCATACATATGAACATGAAGTTATAGATCTAAATTTTCTTTAGGGTTAGAGAAGTTTGTGAATATTTTTTCTCCTTTAACAAAAATTTTTTTTATTATGGAAATCATTTCACCTTCTCAGTAAGAAGTCATTAGTTTTCGTAACTTGATATATATGAATTTTTTTTAGAGAGCTCATTATTATTATTATTATTATTATTATTATTATTATTTTGAATATTCAATAAGATTGACGTAATTTAGTAAAATCATATTTATTTCTAGAATACAAAGAACAATTGTTTCATCTCCAATTATTACAATAAAGAATACAATATGTGTAAGTAAATCGAGTTAAAATAATTAATAATGATAATAAAATTTAAAATTCTCTTTTTATACTTATTATTGTAGCTAGGTCATAAGAAATCATGTAATTGTTGTTGTTGTTCTAATTCACAACCGGCATGTTTCGTACGTAAAAAAAGATCAATTATTTCTTTTTTTATAGCTCAGTTAATTGATTATATTTAAATGAATTTTTTTTTCCAGAAATATGTGCAACCAGAAGTTCCAAAATCATTTAAACCAATACGTGTAAAAATTTCATATTTATATACTGATAAAACTTTTAATCTTGATATATTAGTAAGATATTTATTTGATATAAAAATGTAGAGTTATCGCAAAAATAATGTTTCCATGGACACAAATACAACTTACAAGTTGTCTTATTGGGAAGGTTCGAGATTTCTCACCAAAATAAAATCAATTAAGAAAGATGACTCCTTAACAGTTGGTGATGGTGAAATTAATGACGATACTATCTACAAAGTAAGTATTAATAGCTAAATATAAACTATCATAAAGTAGTTTACTCAATAAAAAAAGATTTATAAATTAGCCAATTTCTTTCTAATAATCTTGAATAGATATTAATATTTTTAGCATTCTTGGAGACAAATATATTGCTCTTATGACTTTTCTAGAAGTAATTATCAAATCTAATTGAGTAACATTAGCTCTAGATTCATTACAGAGCTATCAAACATTGAATCGAATCGGATTCAATTACATCTTATGAAAATTAGTAATCTCAGACTATTTTGCATCAGATCCTCATGACATAACACTTAATTTTATCTGATTTAATTAAATTTAAACAGTTATCTTGTAATATTGCAATGAATCATACTGGATTTAATTGTCTACATTAATTATTGCATTAGAGTTAACTAGATTTAATTAATTTCCCTGTAACTTAGTGTCTGATTCAAAGAAAATCAATTTATCAATTACATCCAACATTTATTATCTCAAAATTAATTTCTAAATATTTAATTTCTGTTACATTATAATTTATATTTTTTATTTTGAATTTTATTATCAGTTAAGTTTCTTCGGAAATTGGAATGTAATTAAGGAAATTCCAAAAATAAAAAGGAAAGCTAGACAGTGGTTAGGGAGAGGGCCAATGCAGGATGTTACCACTAATAACGATGCTTATACATGGAAATATATATCTCGATCAAAGCCTTCTAAAAGATCCAACAACATCTACTGTTCTCGTGCTCCACTGACTGGTAGTTGATCAAGCTAAAAATCAATAAAAAAATTTGATATAAAAAAAAACTTGTAGCAACATGGCTAATATTTAATTCAACTTTGATATTTTCCTCATGTTGGTTTAATGATTCTACATTTCTTAATTCAATTATAGATGATACTACTTACAAGTTAAGTTATATTGATTCAATCGGTCACATGCCAGTGCCACAATCTTTTAAGCCCCAAAATGTATACAGCAAGAATGACGTTCCAATGGAAGAATGCACTACTTATAAACTTAGTTACTGGCCTTACGAAATACCATCAAAGGTATCAATACACGGATAAAATTTTATAATAATTTTTAGTTATTTATTTACAGTAAATATTAATATTTATAATACAAATTTACTACAAAATTTTATCCTTGCAAGAATATGTATTTATTTGAAAACATATTAAGTACATATTTATTTGAAAAAATTTTCATTAATTTTTTTTTATATTTTATCAAATTATTTTTATTTGATCGGTAAAAGTTCTGGTTTCTCCACCTAACAAAGTTATTCTCAATCATTTTAAATTCAATAATAATTGGATTTTATTCTCAAGTGAGAAAATAACTATCACATTGCTCCAATATTAAAAATAAATTTATCTTAATACAAGTAAATTGTATTTTATAGTCGGAGAAATTAAGTCAAGATAACTATTAAAAATTAAGACTGACAGTTCTTAATTGTTTTTTTTATATTAATTTTTTTTTCTCCAGGAAATAATTCCATGGAATCAAAAAATCGAGTATCAGGTACCATCAACTTCTATTGAAGATTATACAACATATAACTTAAGTTACTGGCCGAATAATGAACCTGTCCGAAAGCCAATTAATCACGTTCTTAAGCAAACAGAAAATATACTGAATGTGAGTGACAATTTTGACGATAACACTACGTACAATTTAAGTTACTTCAGCTGTGGAGAAAACACTCAAAGAAGACCAATAAAACCAGTAGTTCAACCAATGGCCTTTTTTTCGTGTCCTTTGTCGGATGATACAATCAACCGAGTAAATTTAACTGTTTTTATTTGTTTACTCAAGCTTTTATTTATTGCTTCAACAATTAATTATTTTTGTAATGATGATGCATTTCGTTACGCAAATTTAGTTAAGTTACTTAGGAAATTGGAATGTTAAATCAGAAAAACCTTACATTCCGAGTTCTTGCAAAAATCGATGGTTTGGACGAGGACCAATACAAAGTGTAACTACCCAACAACAAGATTTCACTTGGAAATTCCAAGAAGTCGAATCTGCTGTTTCCAAACCCAAAGACAATTTCGGCTTTTCATCTTCTCCTCTTGAATGTACGTTTTTTTTTTTATCATTTAAATTTGCTATGACTTATAAAGGATTAGAAAGAGGTTCTTTCACTGTAGGACATAAGAATCTTATTCTTGTTTTAATTGATATAATAATATTAACAAACTTAAAGTTGTTGTTAATAAATATCAATCTAACTACCAATAAAAAATTAAAATTCTCAATCTATCATAATGAGTATCTATCAAATATAAAATTACTTTCACTCGTTCTTTTATATCTATTCTAGTTATCATTGTACTTTTATTTCAACGATTTTAATGATAAATTGATGTACAAGAACCTTATGTTTTAACATTTCTCCAATAAACAATAATTTATAATATATCATTAAATAATCATTGATTATCTTCCTTTAGTGTATTGTTTAAATGTTTCTTTTAGCTTCTACAACTCATAAATTATCGTACTTTCCGAATGATTTCAAAGACTTGATAAAAAACAAGTCTTTTAAACCTCCAATGTCACGCGTGTACCAGCCTCCTGATGTTCCTTTCAATGGAGAAACAACGATGCAACTGAGTTATCAACCTGTAGAGGCTGTCATACCTCAAGGAAAACCGTGGGCCACTGGTTCAGGGTATCACCCACCTTTTATTCCTATGGAGGATAACACCATATACAATCAGAGGTTTTTTTTTTTCCTTAGAAATAATTTATTGTCGTAATGATGTAATCGTATGATGAATGGTAAAATAGTTGGATTAAAGAAGATAATACATTAAATTTATTCAACTGAACTTTCAGTTACATACCACCTGGTACTCTTGAGCCTGTATCATGCGACAAATCCCATCCTCCATTGTCAAACATGTGTCAAGGTAAGAATTTTATGTTAAATTTGATCTTTCGAAAATTATCTGATTATTGAAATAATTACAGCTACGTGTACACCTTCTTCACATTCGTTGTCATCTATGAGCAAACTGTGTTGTACTCGTGAGTATTTTCTCAGACAAATCAAAGTATCCACTATGCAATTATGTGCCAGTACATATAATAATATTATTTGTTTCCAGATTGTCCGTCGTAATGTCAAATTTTCTTTCTCATCTGATAACTTTTTAGAATTTATTATTTTTTTTTTTTTTTATAACTAGTTATTTTATCTCCATTTTTGGAGTAATTTATTTGATTACTGTAACCATCAAAAACAAATAAACATGACATGTTTTTTATAATCAAAAAAAAAAAAATACTGAAATATTGTCATGTTTTAATATCAATTATTAAAATCACTGTTATACATATGAATCCATGTCGAATATATTATTGTTGAATGAAGAATTTCTTTGAGGGTGAAGGATGATTTATATATAAAACAAAAAAAAAAATTGATTTTTTAATGGATTTTGTGAGAAAGCGAAGTTGAAGATGTGAATAGCTAGTACACTCTGAGCTTGTGCAATCAAAAGGAAGAATGAAAAAACAATTCTTGACATCAACGATCTCTACTTTATCTTGAAGCATCTTTTGGTAATGTTATTATCGAATAATCGCTGGTGTAGGATCAAACCTTCAGAACATATTGGAATCGATGGATCACTCATTTATTCCAGCTTCTGGGATTCCTTAGATCCACATTTGCGAAGGCCATGTGAAAGTAACGGTTGCTTCCTCACACTTACCTCGAGGCACACCGTTACGAAATATCACATTACATTACATATTACAGACTCACCGACGAATGTAACAAACTTTTGCGGAAAGGTGGTTATAATTTATAATCGATCTGGACATTATATTAATTTTATAATTATACTTTATTTTTTCTGGTATCATCGATAATCAATTCATTAAATGAAACTTTATCTCTTCATTTACGAAAAGGAAAAGGAGTCACTTCATTAATCATTCTAGAAATGATTACTTCAATTTTCACTAAGTCGTTCAATGCTCTTTAAAGCATCTAATCAGAAATTTTACAGTGCAAAGTATTTTCTTAAATTTTAATCTTTAAATTTGATAATAAAAAATCTATTAAAGAGGTAAATTGAATGATACATTGTTATACTTATTGGTTATGTTTCCAAATATTGAAAAATAGTGACGAAAAGATGTAATCATTATATTGGAGGTTAGGACATAAAAAATACAATTTATGACATAAATTAAGAAAAATTTGATTTCTAACGAAAGTAACCAAGTAAAATTTACCTTATTACATATTTCATCATCAACTCAATAAAAAAATAAGCATGGTCTAATGAAAAAGCATAACATTTATATTTTTTTAAATTCAATTGCGACATATTTTATAACTAATAGATATCTATAATAATTTTTCTTATTGTATGAGATTTAAAATACTTTTAAATACAACAACTTTCAAATGATAATGATAATAATCATAATTATTATGACAAAGGTCTCCTGAATATTAATATACTTTTCTTTATTATTACTGCAGAAATTTTTTATTCAACATACTTGTAAGACTTTTTTTAGTGCAAACTTATCAAAAAAGGATTGAATTAATTTTTCAGCTTTTTCTTTGCCAAAGTACTCCGAAAAAAACTGGTATTCAAGTTAATTTATGTGTCAAAATGCTTTTATTAATAAAATTTCAATTTTTTTCATAGTTAATTGATCTCCATTATCTTTAATTATTATAATTATAGTAAAATATATTATTTGTCTGTATGTTAAATTTTAAATAATCAATAATTGATTGAAACATAAATTTTCATATATCATATGCAGACTATTTTATACTTCAATTTGAAGAAAATGGTAGAAAAATTAACAAAACTGATTGGCAATTACATGAAATTGTGCCGGAAGATAAGATATTTGATAAAGTAATTGCTCAACTACGTAGAACACAAATGTTAATCTTCATCATGAATCTTGGTGACTTCGCAATGTATGTTTTTATTCAATAACAGAAAATCTGTACATCTTTCGAACAATTTACTTACATTTCTCATAAAAAAAAAAATATATATCCCTTAATTTGTCTACAGTTTGTTTACATTTCTATTGCTTTCATCAACATCACTGGAGTATTCATTATAACTTTGACAGAAATTAATGGCTCCAATGAATTACTTTTTTCTCATCAGTTAAAAGCTAATTAATTCATTTCTACCATAAGTAATGGCTAAAATTTTTCATATAATCATCTAACCTTTTAGAATCATAATAAGAAAGTTTATCGAAAGTGGATCCATCTAAATGACTTCCGAGTCTTTGAATACATTTTTTCTTTTATTAGACTGTGACTTTTAATCAACCTAATCCTATTTGGTATCAAAGTATCATCATCAACCTAACAAAGTGTCAGACTCTTCAGTAATCGAAACACCTCTAAGGCATCATTTATTTCATTGTTTAGTTTCTTAGCAATGCTGAACATTACAATTATGTGTCAAAGATGATACAGAGGCGTTTACTCATCTGTAAGTTGGTTGCATTCAAAGAAGAGCACACATAGGCGTCGACCTGTGTAATCCATATATACTTACCTTCATAATTTATGAATCCCTCGAGTAGGGATAAAGTGAGAGTTCGTATAAAAGCTGATTTCTTTCCTCTCGCTAGAACACAGTTCAGTGTGCTTCTTCACTGTTTGCTTAAGCATCTTCATACGTTTTTCCAACCGGTCACTTATTCAATTTGTGAAAGAACAAGTCTAAGGATACACCATGAGACTCTTTGTAAGTACTATTTTTCATTAAATATTTTTTATCTTAATAGTATTACAATTATTACCACCCCTTCATTATAGTTGATAATAATTTCAAGCAGTTGATGATTTATAAGTTTCTTTATGATGATTCAATGATAATTAACTAGATGTTGGGATGGTTAAAAATTTTGTACTAATCATTTTTTAACCAAACGATTAAATATTATGCAAACGAGATCACGATGTTGATCTAATGATGATGGATAACCAAGAATAATAACAGTAGCTGAAGAAAGTGAGAGTTACAAGATGTAAGATGATGTATCTCATAACGATAGTGACAAGAAAATATGTAAGATTATGATAAGTAGTATATTATACACGGGATAGTAATGTGTGATGAGCTTTCAATTCTTTAGCAGGATGATCTTAAATTGTGTAGGCGAAAGAGTGCCAACATAATACTTGTCAGTTGATAAAATATGTACATAGTTAAGGAATTCTGTAGTATGCATATAAGACCCAATAAATCGGAGATGGGTTGGGCTGCTCTGCCGGCATACTGTTACAACTATGAACCGACAGGTTAGCAGGTCATGAGTTAAATGACCTATGCTGGCATTTAGTTTTCACTTTCACTCATCTCCGGTGTACCCTAGGTAAATACACTAGTCAAACTCTACCAGGAAGTTGGTAGGAGTAGAGTCATCTTGGGGTATTCTGAATGCCATATCAGGATTGCATAAGGTAAGAAGGCTAGAAGGACTTTCTTATGTCAACAGCAGTTCCTTTTATTGCCGGGAATGAAATTATTATCAAACATTCAATCGTTCAAGTCGTTATCATTTGAATTAAATGGTTGTTCATCACTTTACCTTGAAACATAATCATCTCACTTTCTCTTTTTATTTACGATCGACTTTTTTTCATTATTAAAAAAATTTTTCCACTTTCGATTTTGTAATTGAATGGAGATGTATCATTAAAATATCAAATTATGTCATCTGTTATTGTTAAATAAATTATAATTTATATTTTAAATAATAATATAGAACTATAAATGTAATTAAACATAAAAAAGTTTACTAAAGAAAAAAAGGAACACAAGATATATTTTCCTATAATAACAGTCACGCTCTAACTGACGTGATTGGACGCCAACTAACTTCCCCAAACAGGTGTCGTACAAACAAATTTACTGTCAATTTTACAGTTATCAAGATGAAGAATAATTTTTAGATCAGGATAAAAATGAAATAATAAATTAATTAATTAATTAACTAACTTCAATTACAAAAAAATATGATATTTTTCTTTTTAGGTATTGTTAACAATTGTGGGAGTTGCAGTAGCACAAAACCAATTCCAGGGACGACAGAATCAACAACAATACCAGGAGGAAGAGCGTAGGCCGCAGGGTAACGACAGACAATTCTCTACCACCACCTTCATTCCCATACTCCAATGGAATAAGGAACAAGAGCATGATGGAACATATAGAACATCGTAAGAATAAAATGGGTGTGCTTAATAATTTTGCCATTCCCCATAAAAACATCCTTGAACTATAGCCGACACTCCCAAGTATATATCACGAGATATTTCCCCTAGTGGTTGCTCTTTGCTTTTATTGCTGTCTTGTATCCATGTCAAGCAGAATCATACTGTTTCTCTTTCAGCTACGAGACTGGCAATAACATAATCGCTGAAGAGAGCGGATACATCAAGACTTTCGGAGAAGGTGAAGACAAAGTTGAAGGGCTTGTTCAACAGGGTAGCTACTCTTATACCAGCCCCGAGGGACAGATTATCACTGTTCACTATACTGCTGATGAAACTGGCTTCCATGCACAAGGTGATCACATTCCTACTCCTCCACCTGTCAGTGAAGAAATCCAAAAAGGACTTGATCTTATTTATGCTGGAATTAGAAAGCAAGAGGTAAATTATCATTACTTTTTCTTTTTATATCAAACAAATATTCTATTAATAGCTTTAAAGATTTTGTTATAGTGTTGAAAAAGATTGGTAAAATCTTTATCAATGCAATTAATTTTAGTTTTTTATAAAATTAATTATTATTATAAGTTTTAGAATAATAATTAATAATTTATAAAATATTTTAAAATATAAATAATTTTATAACAGGAAGCTGCAGCCCGTGAAACAGCTCTCAAGTCTCAACAACCACTGAACCAACAAATCGATAGGCAAGATGATAGAAAATTCCGCTTGTAAATCGTTCATTTGTCAAGTCAAAATCTCCGTAATTTATTCATAATATTATATATTACGAAGAGTAATGACTATCAAGTATATTATTGTATACAACATTTTATCATATGTATTTTTATAATTTCTAAATCTTGTTATTTTTCATCATGTTTGTTTTTTATCGACCATGGTGATCGATAGTACTGAATAATACTCTATAATCGGATGTATCAATGTCAATATAAACATTTATTATATTTTGTCATGTATTACTCTTTTAGTAGTATTTACACATTAAAAAAATATGCATCTTTAATTCATTCAATATCCATTACATAGAGTGCCAATTGATTGAATTTGAAATAAAAAACATTAAAATTTTGTATTTTTAAGTTTATACAGATACTTACCAGTAGGAAAAACATGTTTTGCATCTTTATAAAACATAAAGTTTTTCTTTTAATAATATAAACATTTAATTAAAAATAGAAAACTGTATGAATTATTTCCATTTACAGTCTCTTACTCTATCTCTACTTTTTTATGGGTAGAATAATAAATAAAACATTTTTTAAATTTATAATAAAAGAATTAGACATCGATGTCAGTTTATAAAAGCGTTTATTCACTTTATGTCTCAATATAAAGTTAATATACTTCAAGTAATTTTATTAATTATACATAAAATCGCGCACGAGCGTAAAGAAATCTTCACTTTTATTCTGATAATAGTAGAATACGCACAAAAGCGTGAACACATTCAATGGAATTATTTTTCGAGATCCTAACTTTATTTCTTCACGATAACTATATTAATTATCTCATATCATGAGATCGCGATTATTTATAGTAGGTCAGAAAAAACATATTATTATATGTAAATATGATTTTTTGATTATAAAGTTTAAGGATGCATGTGGAGAAAAAGAGGTAGTAGATTTAATTCAGAAGCAAAAGATAATAATTATAAATTTTTCAATTCAATTTCAATAATTATTCTGAAATGAATAATTAAAAAGAAATTCGATCGTTCATTACAAAAAGTATACACTCATTATCAAAAAAATAATTAAACATACCCTGAATGTAAGTCTTTTTATCAAAGAAATAATTTTTTATCTCAAAAAAGTGGATGGTTATTATTAAAACCATCTAGTTTAATTACAGGTACTTAATTGTGTTGCTCTGAGGCCAAAGTGCATTAAAATGTTATCTTAAAAGTATTAATAACTTATAAAATTATTGTTTATTAGCCATAACCATGTAAATGGAAAAAATTCCAATAAATTCACCAAAACTTGAATGAACTGTGATCATCAGAGCAATAACAGCACCATTTTATTAAATAATTAATAATCATTAATTAATATTAATAAAAAAATTAATAACAGCTAATTATTAATTTTTAAATAATGTTCCATAGTTCATTGTCACAAAGTTAATTAATATTATCACACTTTCATTCATTCATTTGCACATAAAGTTTGAAATAATGAAAAGAAAAATTCAAAAACACTTTTTAGAACCGTTCTATACAAATAGATAAATTAATAATATATTTTTTATCAGAACTTTTTGCGTTATAAATTCAATAACACATTTTTATTCAAGTGGATGCACGTGTAAAATAAATCATCCTTTTATGTACGTGGTTGGAATATAATCAACACAATTATTTTTCTTATTTGTACGTTGCTAAATATTTTACAATGAATATTGTACAGCATTTTTGTATGCTTTTTGCATAGGAAAAAATAATCATACGCAATAAATAATCAAATATGGATAAAACTATGACGATAATCTTACTTGGAGACAAATTTAAACAATTTTTAAACATTTACTTGACACGTATATCTTTTTTAAGTATCAGCATCTTTAATCCAACATTGAATGATGTAAAATGAAATGTAAAAAAGATAACTATTAATATGAAGTAAGTGTAGGTAGTTTGTTAAATCCGGTTGTAAACTGTCGACTTCCCACGTTATTAAATATGTCATAATCTTGATCCACTTATTTTACCGTTACACTCAGCTTTACGTCAATTCTATCTTTGGGTCTGTCAGTTTTAAGAAATAACATCAAGACAATTTCAAGCACCTTATCTGTTAACCTTCAACATTGCATTGTAAAGCATATATGACAAAATATAGTTAAAAAAAAATTAGACAATTATGAGATTGATGAAATTGTTATAAAGATAAATAATGATTATGTGAACTTGAAGCTAAAAAAAGGTCTTACAAGCTATGCATTCATACGATTGTCTTACGTACACGTAAAACCATCGACTGGCACGTCGAATGAACTTATTATTATTTTATAAGGCATTTAGGACGGAAAGGAAGCTTTTGACTGAAATTCACGTAAATGGCTTCCTGTGATATATTTTCAATTCGTCTTAGGTGGCACTGGATCATAAGGAGTAGCATCAAATCCTACGTATCGATTATTCTTTTTATGAAAAAATCCATCTTGTCCATCAGCTTTGTAATAAACCACTCGCCTGATCCCAAAAGGATCAATATAACCAAATGAGCCAATACTTTTATCAGGTTGCTGCTCTTCTTCATGATAATGGGTTTTTAAATAATATTGAAACCCATCAGATGTCGTATGAGTTCCATCATAGGGTGGAAAATCATAATCTCTGGAACCTTGTGCAATACGAGCTTTTCGACTATTCGGACTGTTCACAAAGAAAACAGGATTATTTCCACTTGTCTGACTATCTGACCTTTCATTTGGAAGATTAGGTCGCCGCGACCTGATTTGTCTAGTATTGTTAAATTTTTCTGAAGCAAGAGCTGCTCTATATCGTCTACTATCATGCCTATAAACACCGTAAGAAGATTCTGGAGTCACTTTTATAGATTCAGGTTGATTAAATTGACTTGCTGCAATCGTTGATTGAACTGGTGAAGCAAATGGATAAGGCTTCCGGTAATAAGGACGTCTAAAGCCTGATCGTCGAGGATAATTTGGTTTAATATATCCAGCAATTGGTTTTGGTATTCCGTTGGTGATAGCAATAGGTGCTATAGTTGTTGAAAAATAACTCGGTTTTGGATATGGTGTTGTTGATGATGAACTATATCTTTTCGTAGAATCTAATGGTGAAAATTCTTGCAGAGGTTTTATTGTGTTGGACTCAATACTATTGCTTGATATTTCAGGTAAGGAAGATTGTCTGAAAATCGGTAATTAGATTAACCATGAGAAAATATAGAAAATTAATAAGTTTAATTTCTATCAATTTCTAATGGTAACAACTGAATAATAAAGTGGATAGTTATAATAGTAAACCTAAATGGATTTGGAGGTCGCCTGGGAGTTGTTAAAATTCCACTTGTTGGTGGTACTCGTTTGCTTGCAGCAACTGCATCCTCAATAGGTCTGTCTTTGCCAACAAAGATCATTTTGGACCTGTAATAGAAAAAACGTGAAAATAAAAAATTATACTTAATGAACAAAATTAGTATGACTATGGGCCTTTGTTCATCACAGTTATGGATAATTTAAGAGACTAATAATAAATAATAATCAAAGATTGTAGTCTTCCTACGGACGTAAACATAGATTATTTCACAATTGTTCTATCATATTACTGTCATTATAATACAAGTTTGTGGTAAACGTGGTCACTCTTGTCATGATCTTAATAACCGATCATAAAATGAAACTTTGGACAAAAAGCAGATATACTTACTTAAGTATTCTGAAGCCTTCACGATCTGCAATGTAATCTTTAATTCTTAAATACCCTAGAGGATCAAGCCATCCTTCAGTTCCTATAACAGTACCATCTTCAAGTCTTTTTTCCTTTCGAAATTGGCCATTAAGTGTTTGAAATCGAAAATATCTCTCTGGACCTTCATCAGTTTGGATATGATATTGGGTGTTAGGGTCAACATTCCACCCACTTCTTTGTGCTTCGATCTCATCTGGCGTTAGACCGAATACCGAAATCTAAAATCAATTACATTTAATTATAACACCACAAGTATAAAAATCTACATTGGTTACACAAGTTTTATTCATGAATAATAAAAACGGTTTTAAATTAAAAAATACATGATTATGCAAATAAGACAGATCATGGACATATCATGAAAAAAAAGTCTCAGAACTTTTATTTGATATATCATTTTTATTAAATTCAATGTTAGAGCCATTGCTAATCAATCAGATGCAAAAATGACATATGCTGGATTTTATGATGCATGACATCTTTATTTAATAATCATAAAATATGTCTATTGATATCAATAAAGTTTTTCAATAAATATTTTCATTGAGATCAAGTACATTTGATGATATGATGCTAAGAGAAATGATTAAGTATAAGTAAAACGACGACAGTTTGTAGGTGTGTGATGATTATTCGAATCTCAGTAGGCGTAAAATACCTCGAAACTAGATGCATTCACCTTGAGGACGGTCATGTTAAATCGTTACGTCCTTTACCTGTCGTGAAGGCTTAGTTAGATAATGTAATGTAATGTTTGAAGATTTTATAATAAGAGGTGCTTATGTACTCATTAATTAAACAAACAACCTTTTTCTCGATTATGATTTCACGAAGAATAATTATGAATAGAAATTGGTCTGAAATTATGTTAATGTCCCATTAAAGTGATGTTGTAGTCATCAAAATGGCAAGATTGTCATGAAATTAAACAATTTTTTATTTTATTTTAATTAAAAGCCAGTAGGAAATTGTGTGGTGTTTTCTTGTAGTAAATTTATTTTATGTTTACTGATTTCATTTCAGCATTAATAACAATTTTTTTTAAACATTTGAATATTTTTTCTACCCCTATAACGTCGTCACAGTTTGAAAAAAATCAATTAATGTTGAATTTCTCGTAGGCGTTAATAGGTTAAGTTGATGCAGAATAAAATCTAGATGATTTCTCTCCATATATTGGTCATAGTAATTATTTTTCTCCATTTATTTCACGTAACATCTTTTATCGTAATGATGAAAGATTTTGGCTGATTCATGAGTAATAAAAAATATACAAATAAAGTAAGAAGTGGTTAAATATTTTTTTCTTCGTTAGTGCCAACACGACAACAGCAATAACATTGAGTAAGAGACGAACACACGTTACTGATCTCTAGCTCCTTATTTACGCGAGCGGCATGCGTGGGATTGGGAAAGTTCCTTTGGCCTCTCCGGTCCATATTAAGAGATCTCATATCACGCTTGTTGACTCTCAAAGGCACAATAATATATTAGCAACACTGCAGACTCTTTATTCGCGCTCTCTGACCCTTAATCTTTTGTTCATGTATTTCATCAAATAAACACTATATTATTGATCTTTATCGCTGCAAATAATTTCAAGGAATACAAGGAAGTACGGAGATATTTTTGTCTAGTTAAGATCACAATTTCTTGTGTCTTTATTTTTATGTGACTAAGGATACCGTTTCTTACTTCTCCATAGAGTCACTACGACGCTGTATATATGCATATAGTAAATTTGTCCTTCCTACGTACAATCATTAAAATACTATTTGAATGACGGAAGCAGTAGAAATAGATAATTTTTTATGCTTCAGATTAAAAAGGTATTTTATTGTTTTATGTAAAAATAAGGCATTATTGAGAATACTTTATATATTAATTAAATGTCTTATTGTAGGTTAAGTACTTTGTTTATAGTGGCTTGCATTATTTTAAATCGTCAACAAAATATGAAAGATAATCAAAGTGAATTAAATTTGAAAAAAATTTAAGTTAATTTTGAATTGATAGTATGTATTTTACTATTATGTAATTAAAATAAATGAATTGATTTTCCAGAGTTATTTTTAGAGATTACTAATCATGCAAGCTTTCTATTTAAGCAAATGCTTGTAATAATATACATTGTTTAGTATTTTCGATACTTAAAGTTTTTTAGGTAATCGAAATGAACGAATTTTCATATAAAGAGTGAAAAATTTAATAATACTTTTACACATATAAATAAATTTTTTTTGTACAGATTAAGAACCAAGAATATATTTCCTGGTCATTAGCCTTCATCTCATCATTATTTTATCCTTTCAAGATGTCATTTAGTGAGACAAAAAATTAATTTTTCAGCGTATTGACGCCAGCGTGGGTGTACAAATATCTTGAACACTTCCCACAGTCATTCTCCAGGCCTGGAAGCCTTTTCCAGGCTCTGCTAAAGAAGTTATTGCGGTTCAGATAATGCTACTTCCAGGACACTTATAAACATTACTTTCACAAAAAAATATCAAACACTTCACTTGAAGAATCTTCTCTAAGTGAGTGTTGCTAATAAGACGCTAAAAGTCGGTCGAGATGGACAACTGAAAAATATCAAGATCATAGACACGCTTTCATTTAATTTTCTGTCATCATTTTATTTAATGTAGGTATATTTGTACACTTAATTTCTTACTCCTACTCTCAAGCAATAAATCAAAAAATATCAACTAAATATTAATAAATATTGGCTGATTGTATCAGTATAATATCAAGTTTTGCTGCAAATGTCATCAGAATTAGCATTTTGATTTATTGGAGTATCTTTCTAGACAAAGAGAGTAATGTCATTTCTAAAGAAGAATGTGATTATGAATTGGTTAAAAGGCTCGAAGATTTTCATAAAAATTGAAAATAAAGTTAAGGGAGAATGAAATTATTGATAGACTTGGAGATGTTTTTAAAAATGAAGATTATTTCAAATTAATAACAATCTGTCATCTTGAATAACTTTGTACTGTTAATTTTGACGTCACTTTTATTGACGTTAAATTAATTATTGCATTGAACTTTACATAACACGTGAAGAAATAATTGTAGAATATCCAACTGAATCTAAAAATATTCTGCTAACCTTTAGTTCTACGTTGATTAATATGTTATGAGACATTTTTAAGTATCTACTTTCTTCCTATATAATTAAAAAAAAAAAAAGTAGTAACCAATTTATCTTCGATTATGTTTATGAATGAATAGGCGCCGGAAAGTCATTTAGCTTCTGGTTATGCAAATTTTTTGAATCAGAATATAAATGACGTCGGAATGTTTGACAGAATCTATAGATTAATATGAATTTCAGCATCAGAAAATAATTTTAGCTTGCATGAGTTAATTCTTGTTTAGAGTGAGAGCGAAAGGAAGAAAGTAATTTATATTCTTTAAACTTTCAATTTTTCATAGTATAGATCCACCAATGAGTTTTACATTGTCTGCCATGCTCATATGATTAATTAGTTTACTTTATGTACAAGCATGAAAAATGTTTGCATGTAAGTCGAGTATATATGACGAAGTGCTCGAGATTGGCTCAAGGCCATTTGTTGATTTTGTATTCAATAGAGTGCGAGAAGATCGATCAACCAATAAATTGTTTTTTAACCATCAATTGTTGTCATACTTGATATTCACATCAATACACTTGATGGAATACAATTTATCTATTATGACCTTGTTCATGGTGAATTTTATTCTTACATCCAATTTATGCACATCAGTTGTAATAATTAGCATTATAACACGAATTTTTAGTCAATTATTCAGATTAATGACTTAATTTTTATTAAAATCTCTTCCTTGTGTCTTATTAAAATTTTTTTTTCAGTGTTCCAACATCTCTAGTAATGGTTTAAAAGATTAGAAGAGTAAATGAACAATTTTCAGCATGCTTCTGTGAAGAATAATATTGTACACAACAGTGGCTAGAAGGCTTACCAAGAAGAGTTAGTAAGTTAGCTTGTAATCCGCCCCTACAACAACGTGTGATTTTTCTTGCATCTACGAAAAACCATTACCAGATGTACACAAAAAAGCTTCAACTACTTATTACGTTTCTAGTGAAATTGCTGTCAGAGGTAAAACAATTACCAGGTTAAGGTGAATGCCGAGGTGGAATACCAATTTAACTTCTTCACTTCTCAACGACAATATCGTCTTCTCATCATTTTGTTCTATTCTCATCGTCATTTACAAACTCAATAATTATTTATTATTTATCTAGTAGCAATGCAATATCTAATCACTTATTTCTTTCACACATTTCTTATACGTATAGGTATCTAATATTATATCAATGATAATAACTACATACGCAATGTAATTGCTGGTTAATATTCTTATTTCAATCAAAATTTTCATCATAAACTAATCAGCTTTCTATGGTTTTATCATTTACGTCATTATCTCACTATTACAGCTTGTTATATCATACATTAATTCTTACTGGATTGTGTTTAATGTTAGGTAGCTCTTGTTAATTGTTTAACAATTATAGACTACATTTTAACATAAAAATAGTTAATGATGACAAGAATAAAGTCGATTTTTGTGATTGTAGATCATTCATATAATTATTTTAAGAATGTAATTAATATTTTTTGAGACTTTTAAAAATGCACAGAAAAAGAAGAGTAACTAAGTGAATATTTTTTTTTCAACTGTAAAGTTTGATAAAATTAAGTGATTATTTAAAAGTGTAATTTGCTTGTAATTAAATATGTAAAGTCATTGAGTGTATCAAGCATAAAGCATCATTGTCAATTGTAATTACCATCTCTTATACTGCGCTAAAAGCACACACGATTTTTTATTTTGAATATAATCGAAGGTATAAGAAAATTTAGCCCCTTTGAAGGGAGTTTTTTTTTTTGTTAAACTCTTTGGAGAGTGAAAAAAACTAAAGGGACCGATTTTTAGTAGATTGAATTGATACTGAGTAACTCTGACTCAGCATGCAATAAGTGGACATATATACATTTAAAACCCACTCTCGATTGCAATGGTCTAACCGTAATTGGAAGTGAGCGAGTCGTTTTACATATGTGCTAATGTGTGTTGAATGTATAGTCTGTATGTTATAGTACATTTGCGATTGGTCCTCTTGATGTTGCAGCATTATAACATCGTCGACCTCTAAACATAAGTATGCACTCAACATTTTACCCCGTGCTCAGATTCACGAGCGTGATTTACGATCCCGAATCGTCACGCCGCAGATTCATAACAGAAAGAACTTGAAAAAGAAACAAGCCCCTTCGGGGAGGCACGCGACGACGAACGAGAGAATAAAATTCATTGTCGAGGTCAGTTACTGGTCAGTCAAGAATTGCTTGATATGTTTGCATTTAATTCACATTCCTGGTCAGAGGTAAGCTTCTAAGACCTTGGAATAATATAGAGAAAAATTACAGATAAACTTAATGTCAAGGTCTAGTTCATATACTCAATTCTGACTTGTACTGTATGCTTGCTTTTATTACTGGGGAAAGTTGGATAGATTCGACCGATTGCCAAGTTGAACCACCTCCATAACTTGAATAGCATACACAACAAAAAAATTCAATTGCTTCAATAGTTATAGAGGCATGTTTTTTTTTGTTCAACAACACTTTCAGTCAAGTACTTAAATAGTCTAGTTATGTTAGAGCATTACAAAGTGATTTAAAATAATGTTATTTGAAAATTTATGATAATTAATTTTACATTAGGAAATTATTTTTATTAAAATTACATCAAAAAAAATATTTTTATTAAAAGCAGTCTTGTAATCGGTGTAATTTAATATCTTTTTAAAATTATTCTGCATAATACTTATCTTCTGACCAATAAAAAAAGACTTATTTTAACATGACTATTGGGTTTTCAAATAAAGCAATAGTTTTTACGTGTTGAGAGGAAACAATAATGGTCTACCAAAAGAGTAGTGTTATAAAACACCAGTATAAACTGTCATGCTGGAGTTACAACCAGTCATCTTGTGTTAAGGGTTCTTAAAGATAGTAACGATCCAAGATTCGTTTTGCTCAAGCTCGAAACTCATTTATGAGCCACACGTTTACTTGGCAATGAGACTCTTGTAATTTTGTGGTTCACTAGATTTAAGACGTCATAAAAATAAATCTGTCAATCTAGAAAATTGAAGGCAACTAGACCTTGCAATTTGAACTCTGTTCAATTATTATTTACTATTTTTTGAAATTTATTTTTTTATTTCGACAAATGTTAGTTATTTAATTTTTATTATTTCCTAATAGACTGTGAAAATGTTGAAAACTCACTTTCTTTTACTTAATGAATCAAAACACTGACTTTAATTATGTAAACAAGAAAAAATTTAATAATGAATTACGAATAGTCATTATTAATGACATGATAAATTTAAAGTACTCAAAACTAATTAATGAATTTCATTATCAAATTATTCTTTTGAATTGGTATAATATTATGTCACAAAAAATTTCTATAATATTTCTTTATTATTAAAAAGCTGTATGATTAAATTTATAAATAAATTATGGATAGATTTATTTATTTCACTAATTATTTATAAAAGTTTCATTATTTATTAATTTAAAAAATTTTACACAATAAGTGTGCAAATTTTTAGCATTTTTTCATTACTACAGCATTCTTGTAGAATATAATTATAGAAATACAATATATTATATGATTCTGTCCAATACAGAAAAAATATTAAAAAACTTACAAATTGAATGACTGGTTTTTGAAGGGAAGATAAATGAATAAACAATCTGAGGAATCATCAAGTGGAATTTTTAACAATATATTACTGTTAATTTTTTTTGTTGTAATCTTTAATCCACTAGCTCAGTTACTGTCCTTTTGTGTACAGACAAATCCTAATAGATATTTTTTACAGTTAAATCCATTGTCACAGAAGATCAAATATTTATCAATAAAGAACTTGGAGAATGGGCTCAGATATGCGGCTTGAAAATTTCATTAAATTTAAATTGACAGTAATGATGATTTTTTAACTATTAATATTGTATTCAAAAAAAAGTCAATGTACGCTAAGGAGAAAATTTTTGCTATAAAAAAAAAAGTTTATTTAATTAATGAAAAGAATTTGAAATATTTGCAAGAAAATATTTCATTGAATTTATTTTTATTTATTTATTTATTTAAATATTGATTGAGATTACAACAAATCTATGATAGGATATATGAATAAATTTTCTTTTTTTTTTGTTTTCCTCAAAATATGACTTATGAGGTCTTTTTTAAGTTTTTTACTAAAAAAATTTTATCCATGTATGTCAATTAAAAATTTTGATTTTATTAGTCGAAAATAAATATTACTTCTTTACAGTCAATTGTTTTCTCATTGTAGTGAGAATTCATTATTTTAATAATATCCCTCTGCCTTGAATGATTATTTGCTTTTTAGGATTTGCATTTTTTTTTCGATATTTGATGCAAATCAACATCTGTTGAATTCCCAGCGTACCTAAACGGTCCGAGAGGTGAGATCAGCGTGACAATGGTATTTGATCCCTTCAAAGAACGTTCGCGTACGTGTGCATATATCCGTGAAGTTTGAACTCAATATAATTCCTATAATCATTATCATACTATGTTCTCGACCAATTATTATCTTTACGGTTCATTAAAAAAGTTAACAGGCATTCAAAGGTATTATTGTTTTTGAATTAAAATAATATATAGTTCGTTGTTATTTATATACTAAAGCCATGATTGTTGTTATTAATTACATGATTATAATTTGTATGTATGAAAATTCATTGACTTTGACTTTTCAACGCGAGCACAACACAAGCGTTGGTGTGATGTATAAGAGAGTAGAAGTGTGGCGTGACTAATTATAAAAGACAATGTCTCGTTACAATAACTATCTCAATAGTAAGAAGACAAAAGATAATTTTACTTTCTGGAATTGAGTATAATATTTTTTTATATTTATTTTAATATTTTACACTTAAAAAAGTTAAACTTATTCATCAAGCTAACATGTAAAATAACAATAAAAAAGTGAAATTAAAAAATTAAAAACATATAAAAAATAATGTAGTGAAAGAAAAAATTTTTAAAATAACTTTTTACTACTCTGATAAGTTTTATAATTGCAATTTGATTAATTTATTTAACAAATAAGTTATAATTTTAAATAAATAAAGAATAACCTTATTATCACTTTTTTTGATTAAAAAAAAAATAGCCTAACATTGAATTAAAAATAAATTTTCTTTTTTCGTGAATCCTTTCCATTTCTATGCTGGTGCAGTAATTAAGTCAAAAATAGTACAAAATATAATCACCAAACAAAATTATTAATTTTCAAAAAAATTTCTTACCCTAATTAAATAAATGACAATAATAGGTATCCACACAGTCAACATGTCGAGACTTACACAGATAAGAAAATTTTTTTTTTTTCTAATAAATTAATCGCATTTTCACTAAGCAATGTGATTGCTTTCTTTTTTATGTCGCAAACTCGTTCTATTTGATTTTGATGTGAATTTCTCTTTTGTATACGAGGGTCACGAGGAAGTCTAACACGTGAGAAAAAAGAGATGGGCGAGAGAGTAAAATCACTAGTAGCACGAGGAGAGGATGCGATACCGAGAGAGACTGAGGTACGACAACGTTTCCTTGCTATCACTTGGCTCGGTTGCCTCCACCTTCACGCGAGCATAACAGGCGTGCTCGATCCGCTTTTCTGCGAGCAGAGGGGCAGCCCAAAGCTTGGTGTCCTCAACTATCAACCCACACTGTGCTTATAAACAACTAAGAAGTTAAGAGGAAGGTGCAATGACGCCACTCAAGAAGACGAAGAAGTCATGATGTTCGTTGTCCTCGCTGATGAAGCGTGTCTTTGGCCATCAGTGGGAGTTCAAGGTGACTATTTGTACCATAACCATCAGCTCGTATTGTATTTATAATTTATTTCGTCATGAATTATTTGTTTTTGTTGGTGAAAATTGATGCTAAAAATGATTTTTTCATTATTGATTAAATTGATTAAAAAATCAAATTGTAAAGGTTGATAATAAAGGACAATTATTTTTATTCCTTAAAGTAATTTGTAAATTAGCAAACTCTTACATGACAAAAGTATTCGTTTGTTGTTATTGATTGCATTTAAATAAACTATACAATCAATAATTTGACTCCATTATTATTATGCTTATGATTGAATTAAAGCCTCTCCTCTTTCATTTCTTGCATATCTACTGATGGACAATTTAGTATAAATTTTTTCATGACGTCACCATAATTTGCACGTGATGTTCATAATTACAGGTAAGGGGCTTTTGAAAGAGCATCATTCTATAACCAAGCACCGAATAATAAGCATCACTGAGATTCATTTGAATATTTTACTCTTTACATTGTATTAAAAGGGTGTGGATAAGTGAAAACGTCCTTCTTCCCATGTCATAAATTCCAATAATTGTATTAGCAATTTACATCACGTTTATTTTTTATTCTTTTTTATTCCCTTCTTTTATAGACAAAACATTCATTCATAACATCATTTTTATTTCTAATTTACAGATCTAGTTCAGAAAGTATTCGAAGAATCAATGAGTAAACAGTAGAAAGTAAGTCACTCAATATAGACAGCTCAACAGCTGATGTGCAATATCTTGTCTGACTTGATCTAATGTTGATCTAGTTAGTATCTGTATGTTTATTGTATTTTATGTATTTCATACAACATTATTTTTCCTCATCCATTTTAATCTTATTTCAGATTATCTTCTTAATGAGGTGTTTACCGACTACTAGCATAAATTATGTCAAATTAATATGTGATGACGATGTCAAAAATTACTAATGATCTAACATACTTTGTGGAATAAATTAGATACGTGAGATACTTTGAAATTCTTACAAGGTAATTCATTGGACTAATCTATGCATGATGCATCAAAGAATTACAAGGATTCTTCTCTATTTTATTGAACAACTGTTTTTTAATTGCGTTCTTTGCATGCAAATGTTTTATTAAAAAAAATAATTTCTCAATAATAATAATTTAAAGCTTTGATTATATTTATTTTAATTCAAATAGATTTTTTTTATATAAAAATGTTTCTAGGAATAAATATTGATGAGATTGAAATGTACTTAAAAAGTAATTAAACGTAAACAATTAGAGCAACAAATGGAATCATTATCGTCGATAAAATGCAATGAATCTTACACAATGATCTAGAAAACCTTTAGAAGAAACAAATTCTAAGAAATAAAATTTCTCTACAAGTTTCCGGGGAAACCCATTGATGTTCTCTTATTCAAACTATGACTAATTGTGAGTAATTAACAAAGTTAATTTAAAATTAAATCATGTCATCAAAAATAAGAGTAAGAAATATTTCTTACTATTTTAATTCATCAACTAAATTAATTAAAACTTGTACAAATTAATAAGGATCATTTTTAAATATCCAATGTATTTATAGAGTATATTTTGCTGATTAAAAAGTAATTAATCAAACCAATTGAGTGATGAAAGTGCGTAGAGTAGAGGATTAAATGTTTCAAAAGAGTTTTAATCATTCATAGAACAAAAGCGGAAGTTTACGGGAAATCTTAAAGATTATACAGGAAAAAGGGATTTGCGATGTTATCCGCTAGATTTGCAAGACGCGTGGGAGTGTGCTCGATTCTCGTTGCATTTTATTTTGTTCTTAAAACAAAGGCTACGACGCTGTAAGCGAAAACCCACGAGTTGACTTGTATATAGGTAATTGTACACGTACGATGTCAGATCATAAAATCCCTAGCAAGTCGTTTTCTGGGATACATATGTAAACATCAATACTTATTTTACAATTCAACTATTTAAAAAGGACATCATGAATAATAAGAAAAACAACAGAAGGTAATATTTTATTAATTTATTATTATTTTTAATCATTTACTTTTACTCATTTTCATGAAAAATTTAAACGCATGTGCGTCTGGTTTATTCTGTGCAAGTATTTTCACCTTCGTTTGCTATACACTTACACTAAATTGCTTTCACTTTTATGAGCGGCAGCCTGATGCTGAGAATAACGAGAGGCGCCGGATCCAGGTATTACATTGAGATATAGTGGGGTTGACTTTGAGAGAAGATTGCGGTTTCGAAGCTTTGATTTTACTGCGACACTACACCCTCCGGGGATCAAGTTAATCAAGAAATGCTTAACATTCACCTACGTTATTCGTTTCAAAGTATCCATTTTTTTCTTTTTTATTTACTATTAAAAAGATTATTGAATTTAAGTAGAGAAAGTAACGTGGTCAGACGCTAGACCTTTTATTTAGGAATTTTTTAAAAAACTCTCCAAATAAAAATTAAAATGATAAATAGATTAAAACAGAAACTTTTTAAAATCTCCATTCTTACATGATTTATTATTCTACATATTAAATTTTATTTTTAAATCAACTAATTAATCGTATTAGATTGTTAATGTTTGTTGTTTAAGAATAATTAGTAGTTTTCGGATTCTTTTATTCTATCTGATCATTATCCTCAGACTATTGAAATCCATGTAATGATTATTTTATCTCATAATTACATATTTATACTGATAAATCTATTTATCGATATAAATGAAAAATTATTCTCAGATGATGAAACTAATTGTGAGAATAAAATATCCTTTAATATTTTCTATTAGTATTATTATTCTTGTTGTTGTTAATTAATGTATATATTGATTATTTATTTTAATTGTATATCCTCCCTCTACAGGCTCACCACTTCCTACCTACCCAATAAACTATTACACACATAAATAGTCTATCGGGTTGTGTCTGCAGCCGACTTACGCCCTAAACCATTGTATCGCATTTGCACGAACATACAGGGAAACTGCAGAAAACCTGTATCGATACAATCGGCTCTCCGAACAGATCTCCTCCCGCTTACGGTGGCCCGAGAAAAACCATATAAATGATTTTGTCGCGTCAAGGCTGACGCTGTACCTATTAGGCCACCGTGTCGATTGTTGTTAATTAATGTATAATTACTCATTTAACTTCAGAGCTAAGCAATAAGGGAAATAATTTATGACAGGAAAATTACGATAAATCCAAACAGTAAGTTTTATCATTTCTGTTGTAATTAATATTATTCATCTCTGGTTGTATCATAAATTGTTTATAATTGTCATTAATTTTTAATTTCAGTGATAAATTGATTTTCAAGAAAATAAGATAAAAATTTTCACACCGATAATATCATAATTATCTTCGAATTTGATGTGGTTATTGTTCTAGCTTTGATTTAATCGATCAAAGCTTTCTATTGGACGAAAACTGATCCTAAATATATAAAAGTAAAGATTTGATCAAGCTTAGCTAAATTAATTTAATATTTCATTTAGTTAATGAATTTTTGAATTATTTATTCAAAAAAAAAATTGAGTAAAATGTGTAAGTAAATGCACTTCTATGTTTAATAATAGCTCTGTTGTGTTTTATTTGGTGAACAATTATTACATCACGTGAAAATAAAAATAAGAGTAACAACATGATAGGTACTTTCTGAAACAAGCAAAATATTTATTAAGTTATCCTAATCGGTGAAGTTCATTTCACTATAATCAAACATACTGGTCATAGCTATTATTAAACACTGTTTATTCTCACAGAACCTTTCTCTCGATATTCCGTCACAAGTAACAGGATATTTTACTCTAATCAATACCTTTTAATGCTTTTCTTTCATTCATACATTGACCGTATTTTAATCACTTACAAAATAATATTTTTTATAAAAAATAGAAAAATTATTCTTATTAAATCATTATAAAAAATGTTTCAATATCAAATTTAACAAATATTACCAGTTTAATATTTTTTGTGATTTTCAAAAAACTTTTTCTAAAAATTTTAGTTTTTTAAATTTGTATTAATGCTGAATTTTTATTAGATTTTTAGACTAGAATAAGTAATATAAAAAATTTAATCAATATGATTAAATTTAATGTCTCATCTTATTTAAAAAAAATCGTTGTTTCATAATTGCTTTGACATTTAAATTCTGCTTAATGAAATCTGTACTCTACTGACATAAACTTTTAACCTTATTTGAATCACTGACAATCACATACCAAAAACTATACGTGTTACATTTTGACACTTCAATTCTTTCAAATCGATTAACTACCAAGTAATTAAATTCATATCATGTTCTTTCAATACTCTGTTCTTATTTTAATAAGAGAGCACAAACCTAAACGAAAATGAGTTAAATTGTTAATTTACAAGTCGACACCAAAACAGAAATAAATAAACCTCATTCACTACTTTATACTTTATACTTTTTTTCCATTTATTTTCCACGAGTTAAAAATGACATGGTAGTTGTTATTCATTCAGAAAAAAACAGATTACATCCTCTGAGATTGTACAATATCCATAAATATTTTTTTTAATAGCGATGAATAAATTCAATATAATAAAATAATGACACTCAATGCTGATTTATTATTGATAAATATATTATAATTTGCTATGAAATTCTTGAGTCTACATGATCGTAATAATAAAAGGCTTGGCATTAGTAACATCCGTTGATTGGGTTTATTACTACAACATTGTGTAGAGTAACAAGGAACATGTTCTTCCTTAGCTTTTGCGCAAGGACGTGAGAACAAATTACTTCTTTCAATGTACCATTTATTTATATCGACGGAAATTTCTTATAAATTATTATTGTTTCTCATTCCGAAAAGAAAAAATTTCAATTACTTATTCATGAAAGTTGTCATTAGAATCTATTTGAAAATAGTTCAGTCATTTACTTACCAACAACGAAATAGCAACATATGAATACATTCTGATGATTAAATTTCAAACACAACACATAAAAAAAAAAAATTTAATTTATTTTCAAGTGTCTAATATTAATAAATTATTTAGTCTTCTAGTTTTGTCATAATTCGTTAGATATTTTTGCACCACCTGAGTCGGAATAACTCAAGTACTGGTCATGAAAAAATGTGAGCTTGTCAACTGGTGTATAAATCGTTTCTGAAGCACTGAACAAACTAGTGTTATTAAAAAGCTGGACTATAAAGCTGATTCTTTACGGAGGCAGCATATGTAGAGTTAGCAGGAGGGCCCAACTGGCCTCACGCCTTCGCAAATCTCCTTTTTAGTTTTAGTGAAAAATACATTTCAGGGATGTCTCTTTTTTGGCATTGTACATTGACAGTTGACTCATGAGGACGTCTTAATTTCGATACGAAAAGATAATATAACTTTATTTAATGAAAAAAAATCTATCACGTGATTTATCAGCTATGAAGTAATTTTCGACTCAAGTCGACACTTAAAACAAAATTAAAAGGAAATAAAAAAATTAATTTGACCTATCAAGTATAATAAGTTTAAACTAACTTTGCAACAGTGATTGGCATAAAAAATTTTCAGTTATACATATAATTTGTAATTTCATCTTAAATATGATCAATTATATAATTAATTAATAATTTTGTCCAATAATACTACGAAAAAAAAAATATTAATGTCAAACTCTGTTTTGCATTGAGATTTATAGTGTACTGAATAACTGTAACATTATTCACATCTCTATGATGATTACGTACTGTTAATCAAAGTATTTCCCTCATTAATTTTCGATGAGGCGTAAGATATACTATAATAAAAATTTTCAATTCAATGTCATTCAAATGCTTATTAATCCATTCTATTAGATTATGAAATCCTCGATACACTTGACATCGATATTATATAGATTTCGATGATACATTCATGAAATATTAATGAAATGTTTTGTTTATACAGTAATAATAGAATCGGAAATTTTTAAAATTCACTAAAAGTAAACAATGCTTTTTAATAATTCATTCTTATATATTAATAAATAATTTGAGAAATTATCAAAGTACATATACATATAGCTGTACATTTATTTTATGTACTTGAATTTAATATTTTCAATGATTTCAAGTGGTTGTAACAATGTATTAAGAAGGATGTGTTGAAAGTATTACGAGAATAATGTATATCATCTAACAAATGTATAGAGCAATAATAATTATAATTTAAAATCATATATTCAAAGTGCTGCGGTACAAAATAAAAGGATAAAAAAAAAACAACGACTATCCTCAATGTTTTATTTTACAAAACGCACCTTCCAACTCCTCGTATGTTGCGTCAAAATAATGAGGACGATATTGCATCAGATAAAGACTCATTCAATTCTTGTAATTTAATTTTTCTTTTAAAGTTAATTAATTTTTTTATCAAGCTCAAAGTAAAAAATATTAAAATAATACTAATTATCATGTCAAAATAGTTTTTCGACCACGTTAATTTATGTGCATACGATTTTTATCCTACGAAGGATCAACAAGGAAACGTACTCACATAAATATATCGAAGCCAAGGTGATCGTCTTTCTCAGTTGAGTCGAAACCATATCACTTTCAACGACTATCAGTAAGAGAAAGCGCCCAGAGTACTTTCGACACGATCGATCGTCGAAAAATGTATTAAACAAATATTATTCATCTAGCGAATATTTACAATATTATTTACTCTATAGATGTTTCCTTCTGCTTTTTTTTTAGGTCCTTCATTGAAAGTATGACATAAATGGTAAGCAGGAAATGGTCCCAATTATATATCATCATTCAAAATATGGCAATGACTAATCATCATAGTAATATTCCATTGAGTCCAACAAAAAAAATCGCCTTCGCGAAATTTAGTCCGTTGAACTTTAACTCGTGAAATGAATTTTTAGAAGCGTTGCAGTAAACAAGAATAAAAAAGTAACGGTTTTGAAGAAAAGTAGGTTAATTCAAAAAGTTGCTGATATTTTTTTGAAATTTATGAGGGTAAGTTCAAGATTCCCATAGCGTTATTTGAATATTAAGGTAAAGTACATATATAAGGTCATGACTTTATCAAAAAGTGTTACCAAGATTGTTTTGACAACATGAAGCACCTTACCTTTTAAGACGATGGTTATTTTATCCACTCGTTAATGCCTGGTTATTATCTATAAGGATCTTGCTGACGTCTGTGAAAGAAGATCATCAGACCACTGGAACTTTGCGTGATCTGTCTTCTGATTTGGGTGTCTACAGCCAGGAATGTTGGTGTATTATCATGTTGAAGAACATTTATCTCTTTCATAACCTGGCACGACAAATCTTGGGAAAATATAATAAATCACTTGTGTTAACGAACACCATATAAAAGCATCAAATATATAACACAAATGAATTAATTGTTTGAAAAATAAAAAATAATTAATTAACTGCATACCTTGGATTTTACGAATCCCGTTAATTTTGTAAAATAATTCGTTAAACTGTATCCCTTTACTTATCTAAAGATAAATGAAGAAACTTCATGCTCTTTTGCCGATGAAACACTATCATTTTTATACTTTCGTAGTATAAATTACAAGGTAGATTAGGATTGTCAGATGGTGATTAGTTGCATGTTAATTTTATAACATAACTGTGAAATTAATTTGGAAATAGATTATTCATTTATTGTAATAAAATTTGTCTCTATTTCAGCAAATACTCAGCAAGATTCAAAAAAAGTTCCTCTTCAGTATGTTTACTGCATACAATCCATCAAAGAAATCTTATCAATTCAAGTCATTCAGCTTCTTTCGAAGTATCCATGAGCTACTACAATTATACTTATAAGTATAATTGTATTAGTAGTGAGCATTCACCCGACGTGAAAGTGATAATTTCTCCGTGTGATAATACTGTTAATTAAATTATTAATTGATCAAATGTCAAAGTCATTGTATAAATAATTTTTTTAATGTTTCACTGCAATATTTTTTATTGTATAATCCCTGTCTTAAGATGCAGTTGGCAAATAACCAGTTTATTTAGCTGGTCGTTAAATTATGCTGGACTTGAACCAAACAATAAATATCGTAATGTATACATATATCAATAATGAATGTCACCATGAATTCTAGAATTACACATTTCCGTTATAAACCAAAAAATTTATATAAAATGTAACTAACTCCAATAATCCTGAAACTATTGATAATTCAGGAGCTTTGCAGCACATTGAAATGATTACTATTAATAATCCATTAATTGAATATTTTTCTTATTCTTCAACCGATCGTCCTTATCTCATTGTTACACAAATTTTTTCCTGTAGATATTTCTTTATTTTATCTATTTGCTTGTCAAGCACTAATGCGTAAGAATTTTTATACCATATATAGAGTTATATAAAATCCTAATTAAATATTAATTACTCATTCTTAGAGTATTGACAAATGATCGTCTAATCTGTGATGCATCTAATGCTTTCTAAACATATTATTTATCTAAACTCCTCATTAAACTGATATTAATTTCCAAAGGGCGATCTTGCTGACACCTGTTGAAGATGATTGCTAACTGTAGATCATGAAACCACTGAATCTTTTGATACAAACGTGTTATTCAATGAAGTAAAGAATGTTGGTGCATTACCACGCTTCAAAAGTCTGTTGAAGACCTCCCACAAAGTATCATTGATTAATGTTATAAATCATTTTTGTTATTACTGACAACTCAGAAGTTCTGTGTATCCATTTATTACGCAAGTCGTTTAATCATTTACATATATGTATAATAAAAAATATATATAATAGTAAATCTTATATGTTAATAAGCTCTCTCATTGATTCCATACATTTTATTGTATTCATTTATTGAAAAAAGTCAAAAATTCCCGCTACATGGATGAAAGAATTTGAGATATTTGAGTCAAAAGCTCATTTAAGTTATTTTTTGGTTCCAAGCCAACCATCTTGATGCTTTCATTCCAAAGTTTACGAGCTAGCTCAGGATCCTTTGATTTGGTTGATGGTGCAGCAACACTGCATTCTCTAAAAAAACAGAAGAAAAATTTATGTATCAATGAATATCATGTTCTATTGTTTGTTTAATTGTTTTTTACAAAAAATATTATTTACTTGTAATATAAGCCTGTTTCAGATTCAGCCTTCTCATCTGTGGCACAGTGAATAGTCGTTTGTGCTCCAAGTTCTGGAGTTTTTCTGAACGGTACAGAAACAATTCTTGCAATAAATCGAGCTCCAGGAAAAACAGTCTCATTTAAATGTCGGCCTAATTCAGTAGCAATCAGTCCTGGATGAAGAGAGTATGTAGTGATCCCGTCAATTTTGGCTTCTGTAATTAATCATAACAGTATTAATCAATTAATCTTGTCAACATTATTATGTGTAATCCTACCTTCCAACTGACGAGCTAATTCTTTAGTAAATAATATATTAGCCAGTTTACTTCGATTATAAGCCTTCATCGAAGAATATGACTGTTCCAAATTAATATCATCAAAGTCAATGTCAGCATCTAAAATTGAATTATCATCAAATAAATAAATAAAGCAATTTTAAAATAATCAAAACACGTACACATATGAGCTATTGATGAAACATTAATTATCCTTGCAGGAGTTGATTTCATCAATTTCGGTAGCAATAATAGAGTAAGCAAAAAATGACCAAGATGATTTGCTTGAAGCTGAATTTCATATCCATCTTCTGTTTTAGCAAATGGACACATCATGACTCCTGCATTATTGATAAGAATATGGATATTCGGTTCAGTGCTGTTTAAAGTTTGTGCACATTTTCTGACACTGGCAAAACTACACAGATCTAAATGGCAAATACTCAATTCACCTGGTTCTCCACTAAATTGTTCTCTTTCTGGTCTGAAAAAAAAAAATCAATAGCATCTTTCTCAAAAACTATTTTTAAAGTTGAAATATTTTATTTCAACAACAGTTGCCGTTAATCTATTTACTTATATTTTACAATAAATGAAGGAGAAATACAAAATAAGATAAAACATGGAAAGTGATATATACTTAGACGGTAGAGTAGTTTGTAATTCTTCAATAGCTTGCTTTGCTTTTTCAACATCCCTGCATGCAAGAACCACTCGTGCACCTGATACATTAATGAAAACATTTGTTAATAAATAATATTATTATCATAATACTTTATTACCATAAATATTTTATTTTATCACTATTGAAAGATTGATTCCAAGTTTAAATAAAAAACCGATCATCATTTAATCAATAATTTTTATCAATTATTTTATTTATTTTTGTTATTTATTATTTTAAATATGAAGAGTGTAGTTACATAATTTATGACTACAAAAATAGTTAATTTTACTTGATAACAATACATAATAGCTGAAAGGTAACCTACAGCTATTAGAATGTTTACAATTGATGTACAAATCCTACTGTTGACTAGTATTAATTAACAATAGAGATCAAAAGTTGAAACCTTTTAATGACTTGTCAAATTTTGGTTAAGACAGATATAATCTTAAAAATGATTAAGAAATGAAATATTATAAATGACCGTACACATAATATTTCGTAGGAAATATTTTCTAATATTGATATACAGGGTCTGACAATTCTTTTGATTAATGATAAGAAGAAAAAGTGTTTTCCCACCAATATTACCTCGTCTGTAAAGATCCTTCGCAGTTTCCTTTCCGATTCCAGTGTTAGCACCGGTAATAACAACAGTCTTACCAGCAAGACGTGCTTTACTCTGACAAGAACGACTAAATAGCCACATGATATGAATACAAAAAAAGTATTTAAAACGATAATATTTTTTGTAGCGTTATCGCAATACACATAACTTTCAAAAGTATGATTTACAGAGCCGTTAGTATTCTAGGCTTGAACATTTCTTCTGTGGATACATTGGAAGTTTTAGAGTACCGTTATTAAAATTTCTGAGTAGGAGGTAGGTAGTGAGATAGCCAACACACTGCAGCAGCTCTACTCCTTTATTTATAAAGTATTGTATAGTAGTGTTAGGAGAGAGAGAGAGAAAGAGGGAGGGACTGACAAAGAAGATACAGGAGTGGGGCAAAAATAAATAAGTAAGTTAATCGTCCTTATTTCTGTGGTTTAAATCAGTGATGAGCAACTTTCTTTGCAGCAGACCGCAACTTCACAAAGTTTTATTAGTGACCCACTTTAATGCTTGTGTCAAATACAATAGAGTTCGAGAACTGTGTTTAACCTTCATTTTGGTTATGTCATGATGCTACAGGTTCTTCTTCTTGCTTTGGATGTAAATAATTTAATGGAAAATTGATTTAAATGTAATCAATGATCAAAACTATTGTTTTATAAACAATAATTTTTAGTTTCAAAGGATGATTATTTTAGAAAATTTATTCTTGAAGAGACAGATAAAAAAGGTTATTGGTGAGATTTTTTCTAGGAAAATAACTCACATAGTTTAGAAAGTTGTTTGGTCGTCATTTATTCATTTGTTTGTTTAAATATCCAAATGATGTACGACTAATTTCTCTTTAAAAATGAACTAGTAACAATTAGTCACTAAACAATGAATATAAAGTGATTTTTGGCGATTAGTATGCTACTGTTTGGATAAGCGATGTAATTATCACTGGAAGTTAAGTATAAAATTACCATAAATGAAAATAAATGAAGTTCGTTTGATAAATTGATTTTAGACTTTCTTTCGTATGACTTTAAAAATAGTAAATCCTGTTCTCTTAATTAATGTTAATTAGACTGAATTCAGGTGTACATAATGAATTAATTATACAGCAGAAACATCATCTGTCTTAACAAATTAAATAAAAAATTTTATTACCTGAAAAAAAGGAAAAGATTGTTTTGCTATCACAGGAAGTATCATTGCAATGCTTACGGATATTCTTTCATGCATGTGCAATGCAGAATTTAAAAGTGGGAGAACATAAAGCCATCAAGTAGCCTCTGTGCCAACTGTTTATTGAAATAATTCTTGCATAATATCTGCGCATCTTGATATTTACAAAACAAGTAATTTATTAGTAAAAATTGAAGACAAATGAAAAAAAAACAATGATTCAATAATTGAATATGTTTAAAAAAAGAGTTATAACACTACATTGATAAATAAAAATGGTGAAATAAATCTCATATTCATGCTGGTACTTGAGAATTCGATGATTTCCATGTCAGCTAGACTTAAAGAGACAATAGAATATCAAAACAAGAATCTGAACTGTATACCTGGCGTTCATTTCTTGACCAACGTTGGATTTTTACTTGTGTACTATACCTAAACTTTTTAACCATAGGCTTCACCAAAATAGGAGTCACAGTTTTAATGTGGTCATCATAGTATGTGTATCTAAATAACATTGATTAGTTAATATTCGATAATTCAATGACTATTTGTGCAATATAAGTGATTATAAAAAATTACAAGTTTTAATTTTGTTACGAAAAATGTTCTCTTACCACATGTATGTGATCAGAACAACGACCTGTAGATATTCAACAACCGGTTTTACATCAAAACCTCGACCGTTCAAAGAGATCCCGGGACCAAAATCTTTACCATTGATTGGCACTCTCTACAAATATTTGCCTTTCATAGGTAAATAAAAATTTGTGCATTTATTATTATAAATAATATTATTATAAAATTAATTTTCTAAAAAAAATATTTTGCAAAAAATTACTCAAAAATTTTTAGCACATTTTTTATCAATGTTTTAGGTGAATACGATTTTAATAAATTACACAAAACTGGCGCCAAGAAGCTATCTCAATATGGGCCATTAGTTAGAGAAGAGATAGTTCCTGGGGTGAACACTGTCTGGGTTTTCCGTCCCGAAGATATAGCAGAGATATTTAAAGCTGAAATCGGCAAATATCCAGAAAGAAGAAGCCATTTAGCACTGCTAAAATATAGGAAAGATCGAAGTCATGTTTATAACACTGGTGGACTTTTACCAACGTAATCTTTTACCTATTATAGCGTTTTAATAACAAATGATCCTTTCGATTACTTATATGATCCGATTTGTATTTAAATACCTTGTAGAAATGGACCACAATGGTACAAACTACGGAAAGAATTCCAAAAAGCGCTCAGTAAACCGCAGAATATTACAAACTACATTGAGAAGATTGATAGTGTGATCAAACAATTTATTAAAGTCTGTGGAGAAAAAGAGCATGAAGATTTATTGCCATTATTATCTCGTTTATTTCTTGAAAGTAACTATGATTTATTTAATAAAAAAATTTTCTGTATTGTCTTAATTAATAATATTTAAAAATTTATTTCACCATTAGTTACTTGTTTGGTTGCTTTTGATGCTACAATAGATAGCTTTTCACCCGAAGAAATGCAAGAAAATTCAAGGAGTTCAAGATTGATTGATGCGGCATTGACGAGCAATAGTGTTATACTTAAATTAGACAACGGACCACAACTGTGGAGATTTTTTGAAACTCCAATGTATAAAAAACTATCTTCTAGTCAACAGTATATGGAAAAGTAATCAATTAAATATTATTTGATATTTTGCTTTAAATTCGAAGCTTTAAATAATCACGTATGTTTCAGATTTGCTGTGGAAATGGTGAATCTTAAAGTAAAACAAATGAAAGAACGATCTAACAAAGATAATGCATCTTTATTAGAACTTTACCTCCAAAACGGAGATGTAGATACGAAAGACGTTGTTGGAATGGCTTGTGATATGCTATTGGCAGGAATAGACACGGTACATGATTTAAAATTCTAATAGTAAATTTCCATAATTATATACAATGTACTAAATCCTTTGTTGACTGGTTAAATTTTATTTTTAGACAACATACAGTATTGCTTACGCATTGTATCATCTAGCAAGAAATATTGAGTCTCAAAAAAAACTACAGACGGAAGCAGCCACACTTCTACCAGATCAGAATGATCCAATTACATCAGCAACACTACGACATGCTACTTATGTGAAAGCTGTGATTAAAGAAACTTTTAGATTGAATCCAATATCGGTGGGAGTCGGAAGAATTTTGAAGGATGACCTTGTGTTAAATGGATATCATATACCTGCTGGAGTAAGATGACGTTACGTTTCATTGCATTTAATATTAATTCTCCTGTTGAGCAGATAATGTTAAAATATTTTTTTAGACAGTCGTAGTGACACAAAACCAAGTGATATGTCGCCTAACAGAATATTTTTTTAATCCAAATGCATTTATACCAGAGAGATGGCTGAGAGGTAATATAGAGAAGCCCAGTCAAGGAACACATCCTTACTTGGTTTTACCTTTTGGACATGGACCAAGATCTTGCATTGCAAGAAGACTAGCAGAACAAAACATTCAAATGTTGTTACTGAGGGTGAGTATCATAGAAAAAAGTATCAATTAATAACACAAGGCAGTTTAAATAAAATTATTTTCTCTATTTATAACAGATTTGCAGAAAATACAATTTTATTTGGAAAGGCAAAGAAATTGACAATGTTTCACTGTTAATCAATAAACCGGATTCACCGATAAATATAAAATTTACATCACTCAATTAATTTAAGCTTATTTCATTGCATCTATTTGAAGATTTATTATAAAATGTTAATGTATTAGTATGGTATAATGAATATAGAATGTTTTATAGCATCAACAACTATGACATTGTGATTATTAAACTTTAATCGTGTACATATTATATATTAACTTAGGAATAAATAGAAATATTAATTATTTTGTAGGAACAAGTGAAGCCAGAAGCTCATTCAGGTCATTCTTAGGCTCTGCGCCAATCAGTTTAACACTTACGTCCCAAAGCCGACGAGCTTTTTCAATGTTGTTTGATGCAGATGAAGATGAAGTTATACCACATTCCCTAAATTGAAGACAATTAAATTAATATATACATAGGATAGGCGATATAATTAATTAACGTTTAAAATACTTGTAATATAATCCTGTCTCAGTTCCTGCTTTTTTATCCGTAGCACAATGAATTGTAGTTTGTGCTCCAAGTTCTGGAGTTTTTATAAATGGAGCCAGAAGATTTTCAAAGCCAAATCGAGCTCCAGGAAACATAGTTTTGCTGAAATGTCGACCTAAATCAGTGGCTATTACTCCAGGGTGTAGAGAGTATGTAGTAATTCCTTCGATTTTAACTTCTAAAATAAATATAACAAATACTTTGAGCATTTTCAAGTTATGAAGCAACGTCACTTAGATGAAGATGTTGTCTACCTTCCAATCGACGTGCTAATTCTTTCGTGAATAATACATTAGCAAGTTTACTTTGTGCATAAGCTGTTCTTGCAGAATACGATCGTTCCGAATTAATATCATCAAAATTAATATCACCAACTGAAATGCCATTACATAAATAATTTATAAATATTAAATAATAAGGTGTTATTTAATAAATAATAAGTTGAATACTGTTATTGGAATATTTACAAACATGCGCTAAAGAAGAGACATTGATTATTCTTGCAGGTGTTGATTTAATGATTTTTGGAAGCAATAGAAGAGTAAACAAGAAATGACCAAGATGATTAGATTGAAATTGAGTTTCATATCCATCATCTGTTTTAGCGTATGGACACATCATGACGCCGGCATTGTTGATAAGAATATGAATATTGGCTTCAGTATCATTAAGGATCTGTGCACATTTTCTGACGCTAGCAAGGTTACATAGATCCAGATGGCAAACAGCCAATTCACCAGGGTCTCCATTAAACTGTGCTCTGTTAGGTCTGGAAAAAAAATAATACATATTTGAATATGCTAATGCTGCACAATTTCAATACTTGAATTATTATTTAATTCCATTTTTAATAAAACAGGTAAAATTACAATATAATTTTTTTTTTTTTTTTTAAATAAAATAAATAAATAATTTTTAAGATACTTCGTAGGCGGAGTAGTTTTGATCTCTTCTACTGCTTCTTCAGCTTTGGCAACATTTCTGCATGCAAGAATCACTCTGGCTCCTAGCACAAACATTCACTTATTATTAAACCAAGAAAAAATAGTGAATCCTTTCGTAATTATGAAATAAAAAAATTAAATGCAGTCTGCAATAAAATACTTCATCAAGGAGAGTTTTGAGCATTGATACTTATTTAGTTATGTAAATTATTCAAGAATTTTTAACCTTTATTATGATTATTATATACTAAAAAAGTATTATGACAATCCCAGGAATTTCACGAGAAAATGAGTAGATATAACTGACTTAACATGACCTTGAATGATAATAGAACTTTTCATTGACTTATTTTTTATTAAAGCTAAAAATGAACGTGAATATATACTTGATCATTCATAATTAGTGTTAAAAAAAAAATAACTTAGTTAATAAATAAAATTACCTTGCATTTATATTATTTACTTGTAGTTAATGATAAAAAGTGGCAAGAACTTGTACATTGTATTCCTTTTTTCATACTGACTTTTGATATTTGTTTTCTTCCAATTAATAGACACAAAAAAAATGATAAATTTATCATAAAATAAATTATTTTTCTTTTTTATTATGTACATAAAATCTATTTGATAATATTTATTTATCACTTGACATCAAAAAAATCGATTTAAATCTACTAGTAGTTTTTTTTTATTCACAATTTAATTTTAATTATTAGTTGACTTTAATGTATCAACTATGTATAATATTAAATTACTTAAAGCTTATAAAAACTTATTATTCTTTACGTAAGGTGTGAAAAAAACACTCAATTTTTTTTTTTTTAAATAACGTAGAAGTATTTTTCCAACATTACATTGTTGATAATGTGTATGTGACAAATCATTACTACTTAGTTAATGTTATTTGTGTAAGTGTGGTACTGTGATACTTTTTATTGAAATACGAAGCTTTTAATATTGCAATACTTATATTGACGTAGTTAAAAATTAATTTCAATAATAAGAACAAAGCATAAATTGAGTAATTTATTACAGCGGGAAATGGAGCAATCATAATCTATGAATCAAAGGAATTGAACTAATTAACTCATTTAATTTTCCTTAATTGTAAACCTTGAATACAATAATAGAAATAGATGCTTCAAAAAGAGCGATGACATAGATTTAAAATTTGAATATATTTAATGTAAGAGCATTGATGACTAACATCAAGTTTATTATTTTATTTTTAAAGTTTTATCATGACATTGTATAGTTCCTTACGATATCTTTGAATGAAATTTCTATCACGTACTCAATACATTTACACTTTTTTTATACGAATGTGCTATTAGATACTTTGCTGAATAATAAGATATTGATTATAGATCATCATAAAAAAATAAAATATATAAAAGTAATCTATTAGTTTTAAATTTTATGAAAATAATTATTTATTTTACTAATTTATTACCTCGTCTATAAAGATCTCTTGCAGTCTCTTTTCCAATTCCGGTATTTGCACCAGTTATCACAACGGTTTTTCCTACTAAACGTTCTTCACTTTGGCAAGAACGACTGAACAACCGCATGTTGAACGATAAAAAAACAAATAAGGACAACAATGTTTTAATGAGAGCGAGAACGAGTAAACTTAACTGTTTAGTATTTATTGATTTATAAACTTGTTGGAAGTCTCTGTTGTACATTTTATTCTTGATTATGCAGTTATTTTTCCCCTACTCATCAAAGTGTATGGTAATGGAAGGGAGTTGAAGCGTACAACTACTGAAAAGGTTCTTTCACGGTCAAGCAGGTAATTTGGGACAGGTAACAAAATTACTGTAACCCAACTGAGTGAAACTATTTGATAAAATGATTCTTCTTTTTTTTTAAATTAGTTTATTGATTCAGTTATTATTCTAAAGTAATTTATAATCAGTGTTTAATTCAAATATAGAAAAAGGATATTACTCATATTGCATAAATGAATGATGTTATTTTTGTGTATGAATATATTCTGATAAGAAAGCTTCAATTGTAGGTCATATACTTGGGGGTAGCAGAGAATTTAGCATAAGATTTGATGACTTTAGTTACAGCATCAAGGAAGTCTTTTTCAGTAGCAACCTTACGTCTCGCACGAATTGCGTACATGCCAGCTTCAGTACAAACAGAACGTATTTCTGCTCCAGTACTGTTTGGACATAAGCGAGCTAATAATTCAAATCTAATGTCTCGTTCAACACTCATAGAGCGAGCGTGGATTTTAAATATGTGAGTTCTTCCTTCTAAATCCGGTAAACCAAATTCAACTTTTCTGTCGAGACGTCCAGGACGCATCAAAGCTGGATCCAATGTGTCTGGTCTATTCGTAGCCATTAATACTTTAATATTTCCTCGAGGATCAAATCTAAAATTGTATAAGAATATATATTCATTTTATAATAATATAGTAAGTGTCAGTAAGATTATCAAAAAATAGAAATATTTTTTACCCATCAAGTTGATTAATAAGTTCCAACATGGTACGTTGCACTTCATTATCACCACCAGCTCCGTCATCAAATCTCGCACCTCCAATCGCATCAATTTCATCGAAAAATATCAAACATGCTTTTTTACTTCTTGCCATCTCAAATAATTCTCTCACCATTCTAGCTCCCTAGATTAAAAATAATTCGGATATTAATTCAAATTTTATAATGATTATTCATTAAAGCTTTATATATTTATTTTATCTTACCTCTCCAACATATTTTTGAACTAATTCAGAGCCAATGACACGGATAAAGCAAGCATCAGTTCTATTAGCAACAGCACGAGCACACAGCGTTTTTCCAGTTCCTGGAGGCCCAAATAATAATACTCCTTTAGGTGGTTCAATTCCCAAAGAGACAAATTTTTCAGGCTGTAAAAAATTTACATATGAGTACATCAATTATTTCATAGTTAAAATGCAATTGATGATGAAAAGTAAATATTTTAATAGAAATAATTACATGTAATAATGGTGTTTCAACAACTTCTCTGAGCTTCTCAATTTGATCTTTGCATCCACCAACATCACTGTACGTAACATCTGGTTTCTCTTCAACTTGCATCATTGTTACAGTTGAATCAATTTTAGGTGGTAAAGGAATATGAATTTGATATTTATTTCTATCTACACCAACTCTCATTCCTTCTTCAATATCAGTAGGAGCTACAGAATCGGCTAGGTCAACCACAAACTTAGCAAACTGTTTGACATTAATGATATATTTAGGATCATCAGAGTCAGCATTGATGATTTTGGTACATCGAGCCACTTGTAAAGGCTGTTCATTTTGAAGAGTAATTTTATCAGCAGCTAAATCCCAGAGTGCTGGAGGAGCTAATCCAGTATCAGATTCTTTTATACCAGTTAATTCATTAACTCTTTTTATTATTGTTTGAATGTCTTCTTCAACTGCTTTGATACTTTTAGTATATTGTCCTTGGCCCTGAAGGTTGTAACAATAAAATTTAGGCATAAACCATTGATAATATATTTTAACTACTTAATAATTCATTTAAACTTACGTATGTTTTCAATAATTGAATATCTCCTTCATCGAGAGCTAGAAATCAAGTTACGTCAAATAAAGTCATAAAAATATTGATACATGAAGAATTAAAAATATACCATGTTCTACTTACATTTTATTACTTTTTCTTCTTTCTCATCCTCCTTCACTTTTCTCATATCGTCTCCTAGATGGTCTGGCATTTTAAATTGTTTAATAAAATTATATTCAAAGTGATGAAAAAAGAAATACACACGACAAAGGTAGATTAAAAGGTTATGGTTCCCTTGAATTACAAGCAAAAATGAAAGTGGCGTTTGAGTACTCTGTTAATACTAAAAACGCGCGATAATTTAAATGGAGAAATCTTCACTCCAAAATTTTATTTTATTAACGAATATGTATAAATCATAATAAATTATGAATATTCTTAATTACATACGAGATTATTTATGAAAAATAGTTCTATTCTCATCAATACCCTCAATTAATCTTGAGTTATTTTATTATTAAGAAAGTTTAGGTACAAATTTGTTTATGTGAATGAAACGTCTTTTCAATAAATACGAAAAAAGATTTAAAATTAAATGTGAATTTTATTCATTTTTACAAAAATTTTTTATTCTTTCATTACAGTTGGAAAAAAAAAATTTCTATTTATGTCATGAATTCCTCGCTGAATTTTGACCAGGAACAGGAAGATGGCTGCTACTCGATCATCTGAAATATTTAATTGTATTCAGATTAGAAAAGATATCATTTAAGTATTATAATAATGAATGTAATGTCCACTCGTCAGTTTTCTTAACGCTTTATATGCACTCTGATAAATATATTCTCAAAAGGAGTGAAAACGTTAAGAATGGAAACTGATAAGAAGGTATTGCATATTATTGCACGCCAATGACTCAAGCGTCTCTTAAGAAAACCGAGACGGATCTAACGAACGTGCCTTAGTAAATTTAGTAAATAAAACAATACTTCACCTTAATATTTAAGCTACATCGTGTATTCATATGAACTTGTGAACTCAAATATTCATCTGGATAGTCGCATTAGTCATCGTTCTATTATCTAAAAAATTAAATTTACATAATTTATTATTAATATATACCTTTATTTTCAAATAATAATAATTTTAGAATTTATTTAATTTCAGTATCCTTTTGGCTAGACAACATCAAACTCTATTTCTTAAGAGCTTTTCAAAAATATTCAAGTATCATCATATTTATTTTTGATATGAAATTTTTTCGTATTAGTTATAATTTTTAAATAAACTTACAGTTATAGAATTTCAACCCATGATGTCCTTTTTTCATGAACTACTTATCCGATGCTCATGGATCGTCCATTTCTGTAAAATTTATATCTCTTTAAACAAAAATGATAATTTTATTCCATAAATTTATTATGTGTAGTAATTATTTCAGAGCAAATTAACAATCATGGAAGTTTTAGAAGATTCAGAAACTCTAGTCTGAAAAAGGTATCATCATTTTAGCAACACGTGGCTAGTTGAGAAAATGTATAAAAATGCAGTACATAAAGTTGAAATAATTTTTACCATATAATTATAAGTTATATTAAATGAATACATTATTTTTAATTTGTTTCAAGTAAAATTATTGAATGGAATTATAGAAGAAAATATACTTACTAAAAAGAAATGCACCGTAACATTGATATGCCCATCTAAACCTCAACATGGTACCAAAGAAAATGAACGCTGGTTAGCGTTCGGTTGGGGAAGCGACCGCTTTCCGGAAGTAAGAGGTGACATCTATCTATAATAGCAACCATATTGATAATTTGATTGGCTTTTGATCACATGATTTTTATGAAACCTAATAATTTTAAATAATAAATTAAATCAATATACAGAAAAATTAAATATCATATTAATCAAAATAGTTTAAATGTATTTTTAAATTATAATATATATATAAAATAGTTAATGTAAGTACAAACGGAGGCAGGCGATTGTTTGTGCTGTATATTTTATAACAGACTGGATCCACCAGTACTAATAGCATCAACATTTGAAAAGTATTTATGAAATTTATGTTACATGTCATTGTTATTAATAAGCTATTAAATTATTAAAAAATAGAAAATTTATTCAATTATTATAACACCACATACATTAATTAAAATAATTAAATAATAATTACACTTAGCATTATAAATTATACTTCTGTAGTTTCCATAAATTCATCTTTTTTAATATATGGAGAATTTAAATTAACTGTTGCACAAATAACCATAAACATATCTTTTATAAGTGGAATAAGATAACTTGATATTGCCTTTTCTACGATTTTAAAGTCTTTTATTCGTTGAATTGATCGTTCAACATGAACTCTTGCTTTATTAATATCACACGTTGATGAACCATTAAATTTTGGAGCTTTTTCTGAAAGCGTTGGTCGATAACACTTCCAACCATTTAATTCACAAATATTATCAATGTTAAAATCGCTCTTGCCTATAATAGCATCACCTCGTTCCAACAAAGTCATTATATCACTGTTTGCAAATATGGTCTCATCACTTGTACATCCTTCATAAGCTCTACTAATATAGCAAATATTTTCTGCTGGTGTTACTCCGATCATAAATTTACAGTTTCTCGATTCTTCAGGAGTAGAATGAGTAATCATCTGATTAAATGCATTATCAGGCTGCTGAATATGAATTTCTATACAGTCAAGAAGAACTCGAACATCTCTATACTTTTCAAAACATTTAGGCAAATTTTTAGAAATTGATTCTTTAGAAGGCCATTTTATAACTACGTTTAAACATTTACGCAATATTTTTATCATTTCCGAGAAGATTCGTTGGCAGTCTTTCTCTGACTGGCACTTAAATAAAACAGCTAGAAAACTATAAGATAAATTCTGTTTCAATTTAACATATGTCATTATTATTCTATCGCAGATACTCATCTCCACATCACGAGGCTTTAGTTTATCACCATATTTTATTTCAACAATGTGCACAATAGTTTGTAAAACTTCAAAAGATTCAATTCCAGTGGAAATTTTAAGCTCATCGTTAGAGGTGATAAAATTAGAAAAATTATTTTTTGTAAAACCTAAATCTACTTGAACCTGAGCATCGTGCATCAAATGTTTAGTAGATGATTCGGGTCGTATATCACCTATTTCTCCATGATCAATCAAGTATTCTTCATCCTCCAAGAATTCTTCATAAATAATTTCGTCTTCGTCAACTTTTATTTCTTGTTTTGTTGAATCTTTTTTATTTTTTCGTAATTCAGCTTCTTCCGACTGTGAAATTATTGGTAAGTTACAAGATGGTACTGCTGTTCTCTTCAAAACTCTTCTTCTAGTTTCAGTATAAGGAAAGCCTATAGTATAAACATATTATTACAAAAATAAAAATTTAATATATCTTTTGTATGTGATACACTTACGTGGTAATAAATAATCGTCCATTTGAAAATGAAGTGAGCAAACTTTCATACTAGGAATTACATTTTCCATTTTTAATACTTTTTTCCATGCATCAAACGCATCAGTTTTTTCAAAAATACCTAAATCATTTTTGAATTTTACAAAATACTTATTTTCTGGTGGAAACTTGTGAAATCTTAATTCTAAATTTTTATCTGTTCGACTATCACAGTTTGGTACGCAACAAGTTACTTTTCCTGTTATCGTTGAACAGGGAGGGAATTTAGCTCCCATCATATTAAGAGTTTTGTTTTTGTTTATGAAAATAATAATTAATTTTACACTTGAAACAAAATCTAAGAATATTACGTCAAATAGAAGCCCAGATCTGAAAATTTAGCGTCATACAATGTATTTAGTACATCAATCGACTATGCATGGCGCTACGATAGTTTTTCTAGACTAACCTAACCGACTCAGATTGTATTTATATATTCTTTGGTTCGGGTATTATCGTGTATTATCAATTTCTCTCCGAGAATCTTCGAGTAAATATATATAATCCGAAATTTACTGTTTGGTTGCTTCTATTATATGTATACAGGTGAGTTTTTTGACTTTTCTTATTTCAAATAGGCAACTATTTTAAGCTCAAGAAAATAATTAAATGGTGTATTTTAGGGCGTTAAGTCAAAAAAGATGATTGATTTTTTTTATTTAGAATATTTGTGATCACCTTAATAAACTAAAAAAATTTCTTTATTAAATTGTTAATTGTATTATAAGACAAATTTTAGCTGATCTTTTTATATGTGACGTCATTGCATACAGATTATTAATAAATTAAGCGTATTCGCACTTTGCACCGGTAATATTAAGACGTTCTTCGAATGATACACATCCACATCATCACGCTTTTTTTGGTTAAAAATTTATAACGGTTGTAAAAGTTATTAACAAATTCAGTTTAATTCGCAGTTATTTCAATTAATTATTGAAATCTTCGACAATTATTAAATCAGTTATTCTAAAGTTATATTATCTAAGGTATTACCAACAACTTACTTATTGTAAGTTCTGCAGTATAAATAACAGTAATTTTGTAATAATAATCATTGCATTTTATATGTCATGCATAAATTTATCGCTTTCAAATTTAAGATCTATAATAATAGTTAATTTAATAATTGCCATTTTTTTGTTGTTTCAGATTGTCATTGATAATACTGTTGAAAAACAAAATTATCATGAGTTTACAGTGGACATTGATTGCATCATTTCTTTATTTTGAAATATTTATTGTACTTTTGCTAGTATTGCCAGTGGCATCACCTACAAGATGGCAAAAACTTTTCAAATCACGATTCCTTCAAACTTTAAGCAGCCAAGCTTCGTTTTATTTCTTCATTTTATTAGCCATCTTAGTTTTGTTCTTATTAGATGCCATTAGAGAAATGAATAAGTATTCAAGAGCAGAGTATAATGAACATGGTCATTTAGATGCTGAGATGCAAGGTAAAATATTTTGTAATATTTATTTACACTTTTGAAAGAATTGGTATATTAGACATATAATTGCTAATATTATTATTTTAGGTAATATGAGACTATTTCGTGCTCAAAGGAACTTTTACATTTCTGGCTTCGCTTTGTTTCTCAGTCTAGTTATCAGACGTCTTATAATTCTTATCTCAACTCAAGCAGTTCTTTTAGCACAAAGTGAAGCAGCAATGCGTCAAGCACAATCAGCAACTACCACTGCTAGAAGTTTATTATCTCAAAAAGGAGAAACAGCTCAAAATGATTCTAATGAAGCTCATGATAAAGTTGTCACAGAGTTAAAAACTCAGATAGTTGATTTAACAAAAACAAATTCAGAGCTTGAAAGTGAACTTAAGAAAGAAAAGAAAGATAAGGAAGCTTTGAAATCTCAAGCTGATTCTCTTGCTAGAGAATATGATAGGCTTATGGAAGAGCATGGGAAATTGACGAAAGTTGCTGACACCAACAAAAAAAGTGATTAAGTTCAATGTTGATCATTATTTCTCACATTGTTTTACCATTTTATTATTTCATTTTTTTATTCCAAATATATTCTATATTTATTATGTTGATATAATGTTGGATTCATCTCATAATCTGTTAAATGCTGTTAATTTATTTAGCCGTACTTTTTAATATTTCTATAGGAATTAAGAGTTACATGATTCAATTTTAAATAACTTAACTAAAATTATAAATATATTATCTTTTATAATGTAAAATAGTTATTTGAGATTCTCAAAAAGAGCATTTGGGAAAATTTATTAGATTTAACTAAGATTTATTAATAATATCATTTATACTGTAAAACTAATTAATGATTTTTCTATTCTATTAAAAAGGCACATCAGATTTAAAAATAAAAAAATATGGCATTTTGTAATTGAATAAATAAAGATAAAATAAATGATTCATTTTTTGAAGTCTTATCTATAAAAACTTAGAACTTGAACAGAGTTTAATTGTTTTAATATTCATTGGTACACAAAACTCACAGATTTAATTTTAATAAATTATATTCAATAACTAATAAACAAAATTACAATTTTAACTATGAGTTTTGACAAGCAAAAATTTTATTTTTCTTCTTTCTTCAAATGTATCAATGAATTTAAAATAACGTTGCAAATAATTTAATTTTTAAAATTGTTATTCCATTTGTTAAATATTCTCTATTAAACACATTATACATTATTGGAAACTAGTTATTATTTTTATCAGAAAACAGCCAGTTTTGACAGTATTATGAGTCATTACTCTCATGTATTAGCACTGAGTAGAAATTATTTGTGTTCGATGTTGATCCACACAATTGCTGAACTCTTGGACTACATTTGCACACTTTAATATTTCTTTTGGATTCGTTTGGTAACATTTAATAATTTTTTCCCTTTCTGTAATACATGGTGGAACTGCTGTGTCAATATTGATATTCTTTTGACCTAAATATGAAAATAATAAAAAAAATAAATAAATATTTAAAATCAAACTATTAATCATAAAGAAATGTGTAAGTACCAGGGGCAGTCATAATATCATTAACAGCTCTGTTGTACTCATCCTGGAAGATTTTATTTATTCTCTCATTATCCATTTGTAGTTTAGCAAGACGTTGCTGCCAATATTGTTCTTGATTTTGAAGTTCTTTTTCTTGTTGTTGTAGTAATTTATAAGCAGTAATGGTATATTCTGGAACTGAATAACCAGGGTGTCCTAAACCAGCAGAACTAACTTGAGGTGATATTGCGGGCTGTGGTAATGGTTTTTGATGAGGTTCTATTGGTTTAGTTGATACTTTTTCTTGAGTTTCACCAGTAGGTGACGGATCAGTTCTTGAACTAGCTGCCTGTTGACTATTTTGAGTCAGTCTTTGCACAAGATCCTTGGAAATTTGAATAACTCCTTCTTCATTGTTAATCGTCAACTTTCTAGCACTTTGACCAGAACCCATACTCGTATCTAGATGTCAAAAACGGATTAATTACTAATTAAAAAAGACAAAGAAACACAAGTAATGCTCTTTAATTCGTGAAGGTACACTATTTTTTCATCTAGAAAAATATGTATTTATGATTATATATTATCAATCTTAATGTCTTGGTGATTGAAAAATAATATCGTGTACCTTTTTATTTATAAAGTTATTATTAAAAAATATTTCTCATTGAAATGAAGTTACATAAATTTTATAATACATGGTGTATGATAAAAAGGTGCTCAAACTACACATTTTCTAGTGAGAGAAATATGTACAGAAAGTGGTGCTCAATTTCTTTTTATTTTCTTATGTAATTACCAACACAACCATATTTTGTATTGTACTATGTATAGAATCCTTTACATATGCTGCCCTCTTATCAGTTAATCATCATGGAATAAAGTTTTCTGTTGGTAAATAAAAAGAGTAAGAATCACAACAAATATTTTTTTTGTAGTAAAATGATGTATTGAAAAACAATCTATTAGTCAATAATAGTATTAAAATATTCTAATGTTATTGTTAAATATATAGACAACTTATTTACTTTATCTAATTGGTAATAAATTATTGTGTTCCACTAGTTACAATTGTCACAATAAAAGTGATGTAAGTTTATGCAACTGTGGATTTTAATATATTACAACATACAAAAATAATTTTCTTTTCGTTATTTTAATTAGTAAACTGATATATTATTAAATTTTTCATTAATTAAACGTATTTGTATTCACAGTAAACGTCGCTATGGGAAATTGGCAATTAGAAGTTGCAAGAATGGGAATGTACCTTGCTTTTCCAGTAGGTTTATTTTATTGGTTCAATTTACCAGGAAATTCTGAGAAATATTGTCAAATGTTTCCTGAAAGATTAGGAAATGATAATGAGCAATTTCGAGAAGAATTTAATAAAATCATTGATGATTTCAATAGTGGAAAACTTCCCAGAAAGCTTGGATTACAAAAAAATGAAAATACTAGCGTCAAATGAGTATATCTTTTTCAAATGTGTGATTAAATTTATGTTTTTTGTTTTTAGAATATGTATTCCACATAGAAATATATATTATTGTTTAATGTAAATTTTTCTTTATTTTTAATACTTCTATAATAAACAATTCATGATTAAAAAAATTTATCTCACCAAGTTAAATTTTTTATATTATTAATAATTTATCTTATAGAAATGTCATAATTTTTCTATTGATTTTTTCTCAAATCTGTGGATTTAATCGAAAAAGAAATACCAACTCCAATAGTAGAAATTACAGCTGCCAGAAAATTTGTACTATTCTTTTCCCACATATCTTCAACTAATCCAGCTAACAAAGGTGTTACAAGCCTTGCTAAATTAGAAACACTGTTAGCTGTACCTGTCACCGATCCTGTATGATTCGTAGGGCACTTTCTCATTAACATATCAGTTAATATAATTCGAAGGAACATGTGACTTGTTTTTAATATTACAGTCCAAAACAAAAAAACACTTAAATGACTTGCAAAATATATTCCCAGGTATGCAATTGACATAAATAAAAATCCATGTAAATTACGTTTACAATAATTTTCATCATTTTTATATAATTTGTTATTTATATCTTCTACAAAAATGCCTGTCAATACTCCAACAAGACTCTGGAATGCTATTGTATATCCGGAGAGTTTAGGAGATAAATCAAATTTTTCTTGAATTTTAAGATTGTAATTCGAATGATAAATGCCTGTTGACATATCTAACATAAATTTTAAAAGAAAAATTTCACCAAACATTAACCATTTAATATTCATTAAATTTTTAATTGCATCAATGATTCCTACAGAATCTGATTTTGTTTCTGATTGATCGATTGAATTAATGCGTGGTAAATCTCTAAAATATATGTATCCAATCACTGAAAATAATAACAAAAATAGTTATTAAATGAATTTTATACTACTTGAGAATGAATAATATTTCACTAACCACTATTAATCACTAATAAAGCTCCTGTACAGCATGATATGTAAAAGAATCCTCTATCAAGTTCAGCTATATGACCTCCAATTGCAGGACCTATTGTAAAACTGATTCCTGCTACTGATTTTAATCGACCAAATAATAATGGTTGTTGTTTAATTGGTGTTTGATCAGTAATCATTGTGCGTAATAAAACTTGACCATGTTTGAATATTCCTTTGAAATAACAATAATTTAGATGCAATTAAAATTCATCTGATTACGTAGTTTAATTTAAATAATTGAATTGAATGAAGCATTTTGTAATACCCATTATTGCACGAAGGAATAAAATAAGATATAATGATTTCAATATTCCTATAATAGGATAACAACATCCAACAATGAAATAGCTTATTATAAATATTTTTTGACGTCCAATCTTATCACTCCAACTTCCCTGAAGAATAAAAATATTATTAATGAGATACTGTTGCAAGTTTAATTACTTTTTAGATAGTAAATAGGCTCACAATTATTGGTCCACTTAATAATTGTGTCGCAGCATAGATAGAAGTCATCATTCCGATCATCAAGTATGATGCTTGTAAAGTTTTCAAATGTGCTGACAGAGATGGTAATATTAGGCTAACAGCGAATAAGTCCTGCAATAAATTTATTATAATTGCAAATAAGAATTATTTTATCTGATACAAATATTAATATAACAGTAGTAACTTACAAGAAATGCTGCGATAAATATCCATCGTACTTGATAATTCATATTTTAGAAATAAGAAATATAACAATTGTAATCTTTGTCATACATATGTACTTCATATAATAGGAGTATTTAAAAATCTTACTACGTGTGTTGTCAGCAGACTGAACATGTGCGTAATGCATTACGTGTAGACTTTTTATTTTACAGTTGATAATGTATGTTTCAGAAAAGCAATGAAGGTAAATTGCTATCAGAACAGTTTTATGACCATAGTATGATGATGAATGATAATTGTGTGAATACCTAAATACTTAATGTTATGTCCGTAAGATAACGCTAGTTATTTAAGAATTGAAATTTTATGATTTTTGAAAAAATTAAAAATATTAGTTTACTTTTATGTGATTTTAATTAAATCTGTCTTTAATTATTCAATCGTAATTTAAGTGAATTTCAATTGTTTTAGAACAAATTAAAAGATAATAAATTCTTATATTGATGACCATTTAAAAATTTTTATTGACATCTATTCAATAAAAAAAATTCTGTGAAAATAATGGCATTTTTTGTGGATATTAAAGATTTAAACAAATCTCTGAGAAAGCATGGTAATTTTTATAAAACATGATGATGATGACAATATTTTATATATTAAAAATGAATTTTTAGGAATCATTTAAGTAATGCACTCATTATACTTTATACTGCAAAAATTAAATTATGTCGATATACAGACTCATAAGCAGTAAAATCAAATGGGCGTGTTATCACTTTTTCTTTCCCTCTTTCAATCCTGCACCAGCATTAAACTTGAACAATATAATATCGCCATCCTCAACTACATAATGTCGACCTTGTTGTCTGTACTTTCCAGCTGCCTGTAACGACAAACCATCATTTATATTTATTAGATTCCATCAATGGTATCAAATTATGTTCAATATAATTTACTACAATATTTATAATACCTTAACTGCTGCTTCAGAGCCTTCATTTTTGAAGTCTTCGAACTTCATTACTTCTGCCATGATAAAGCCTTTTTCAAAATCAGTATGGATCCGTCCTGCGGCTTGAGGAGCTTTTGTTCCTTTCTGTAAATTAATTTTTGTCATCAATCGTTATAAATTACTTGCAATTAATGATTGCTTATTATTTAATAACTGTTATTATAAACTTGATTTAATTTATAATCTTTATAAATATTAAATATATCATTTTTATCATTCATTAATTTTATTAATTTTTTATATATATTAGTAAAAAAAATCGTAGGTTTGAAATTTTTTTTTTTTACTATCAATTACCTGAATAGACCAAGCTTTTACTTCATCAGGTCCAGCAGTAAAAAAGTATTGCAACTGCAGTGCTTTGTATCCTTGAACTATGATTTTCTCCAATGCGCTGTAACAAAATTAATATTGGAATCATTTTTTTTACAATTAATGGTACTCATTGAAGATTTTTATAAGAATTTAGAAGTCATTGCAAAATATAACGGCGAAAAATTTTTCAAGGCTTAGGTTCATTATGAAATCGAGCAATTGTCTTGAAAAGAGTTTTGTGACCGTGAAGAATGATTGTCTTGGACTAAATATCGTCTAATGACAGGGTATACGTCAAGAGCCATCCGACATGGACGGTGAGACTTCGGGACTTCAGAGAATACACATAAAACGAACGACTTAATACTGCAATTTTATCATTCTGACTGAGGGTCCTACTTCGAGGGCCCAGTGATCTTGTGGTCTCAAAATAAAATCATACCAGTCTCTTGATTGCTAGGTGGTTCGTCATAGAATCATTTCAGATGACCAGTAGACATCATTGGAATTTATATTTCGATTCTCAGGTTAACAATCAATGTTGAAATCTATCGGAAGTAATTTCCGTATTATTGACTACAAAAAAATAATTGGATCCATCAATTGGAATTTAGGTTTTTAATTTGTCCAATTATTTCTTTGAATCAGTTTACATATAGCAGATTTAATACATTATCCAAATTTTAATTTTAACTCAAATTAAAAAGCATTGTAACCATTTTCACATAAAAAATTATTTTTACATTGTATAAAATACTTGATAGTTTCTAAGATAAAAATTATGGGTATTTTAATTAGTTGCAAATGAACTCTTTAAAAATTTTTAACAACTTTGAAAATGAATTTTAAAAGGTAATAAAATACATATTTACAGGAAATAAAAGAAAACTAAATGTAAAGCTATGTAAAGTCTAAAATATTTATTTTTTTTTTGTTGGAAAAGTCATAAACTTATTTTATAATTTCACGTAATAAAATCACTAATATCATATCGAAAAATAATATTTCAAGTAAAAAATGTGTGCTAAATATATGCCCATTTTATGCACTTTTTTACATACATAAGTGACCAATTACAGAACAAAGTTGTTGAAAACTAGTACATTTGCAATATAAATTTATTGAATGCTATTGAACTTTGTTAATAGTAGACTCTTTGCCTTAACAAGAGTTTAAAATTACTTAAAACTTTTTTTGTTAATAGATCAAAAGCAGGAAATAATTGAAAGATGAAAAGACCATTAAACTAATATTAAAATTTAAATGTTCTCAACATTATCTTTGATCTACAAAGAATATAGATTTTTATTTGATACAGTTTAAGTTTAATCTGTAATTATTGAGCGAAACAAATTACTAATATAAAAGGATTTAAGACCATTTAATAAAATACATCGTATGCACTACCACCCTCTAGCTATAGATGACCTACTGGCTGATTCACTCGGGTATTCAAACATTATTATACCCTCCATCACGAAATAAAAAGGTTTTTATGCAATTTGGCAAGAATTTGAATAACAGTTTGTAAAAATATAATGTTTTGTGGCGAGTGATGACTGCTTTATAGATTCTCAACGGAAAGGATAAGTCTAGACATCAAGAGAACCCTTCCATTATTTACAGCCGTTATAGTGCTTAGTCTAAGACGAAAATTTCGTGGGAATTGTGAGACATGAAAGAAAGTATTCGCGGTTTTATGACGATATAAATACTTTCAATTATTTTATTATATCTTTTTTTTTTTTCTTACCTTGTAACTTTATGTTCCTCAAAGTACTTCTTTCGTTCATCTTCAGTCATATCGATTACTTTATTTTCGAATATTCCACTGAACGGGATCAATTGAGCTCCAGGATCATTTTTGTCAACCCATTCTTTTATTTTTATCAACCTATAGAACAAAATATTATTGATACTATATTTTAAAAAATTAAATAAAAAATGTAAAACTACTCTATTGGCATATACAACACACTTGCAAGGATCATAATAAAGGTGCGAACGAATGCATTTGACAACGCACGACATTTCTATTTCAGTGAAAACCAATAACTATGTATTCTATGTAAAATGCGTTCGATTTAAACTAGTTTTGTGAATATATTATCAATATATATCTACGTATATAGTTTTAACTTCAAAAGCTTTTACGACAACGTAATAAAAACGTTAAATAAACATCATACGTGACGTATCAGTTTCAAAGAGATGCATTTTCAACGTTATTTACAACTAGACTACAAAGAATAGGATATTTACCATTTATTTTTTTTACGAATATAGTCCTTTTCAGAGAGATTTACCAAGTAAATTACTGGCTTCGCTGTGAGGAATAAATATTTGTTGAGAACATCAATCTGAAATCATAAAAAAAAAAAAAAAATTTATATCATGACTAATTAATTATTTTCAATAATTAATAAGTTATTGTAATAAATAATTATTTATAAAATATACATACATCAGCTGCAGACCAATCAGCAAATCTAATTTGATTCTTTTCTTCTACTAAAACTGTTTTTACCTTAAGGAGAGTATCCTGAAAGCAATAAGAAATTTAGTTTAGTTAAATAAATCTAATTTATGAAATAAATAAGAAAACTTTGATTGTTATTTATACCAATTTCTGATTTAAGGGTATTACAATAATAAGCTCAAATGTATTGAAGCTTATTGTCCGCATGCAATTCAGTGTGGTTGAGTAGACGTCATTATGGACTTCAAAGTACTGATTTAAGTGAGCGTGCCAAACTAAGGTGGGGCAAATAAAGCAGTGCTAACTATCTTACAAACAGCAAATGTTTGTCTACTCAAAAGTTTACGCAAATTACAAAAAAGGTGGACCATTATTGTTAGTTGATTAATAAAGAGGTTCAGTCCTTCAATTGGTTCGTTCCAGGAACCATAAATATATGTGAAGGCTCAATCTTTACGGTAATTTTATACACCTTGTGATATTTAAGATCTATTGAAGAGTTTGTGATTATATAAAAAAAGTACAAAATACATTGACGGTAATTTTGAAGGAATAATATATTATCACGATTTGTAATATATTGAATGTATTTATCAAGTCTTTAAAGCTTTAGAAAGCCAAATGTTTAAATCGTTATAATTTCTAACTCTTATTGCACTTTGGTATAATAATCAAGCGATTTAGTTGGAAAATTAATTAAAAATTAAATTAGTTGTGGTTAACAGAAGATATGGTTTTTAGTTCCAAGTGGTGAAATTGTTGATGAAATTTATAATAATATTCCACTTGAAATGAAATTTTTGTTAAAAAAAAAAAATTCTTTTATTTGTGGAAGATTTATTTATTTTTACTCACATATTCAGGTTTCAGCTTCTTGTCATTACCTCTAACGACTAATTTTTCTAATTTCTCAAGATGTGCATTCAACATTTCGACATCTTTTAATCGTAATTCTTCACTAATAATCTCCAAATCTCTTACTGGATTGACATCTCCTTCAATGTGAGTTACATCATCGTCCTCAAAAGCTCCTTTAATCAAAAAAAGAATTTATTTATCAAAAAGTGTTTCCTCATGAATAGATTTTATAATATAAATTCTCCTCTTGCATCTGTCTATATGATCAGCGTGGGTTCAACTACTGGACCGGTTTTGATATAATCTAAGCAATTTTTTCTTATAACTTAATTGAATAAAATTATACCAATTTCATTGTTCTCTAAACTTAAAATAGAGTGTACTAACCGTTACAAATGTTGTTGAATTTTTCTACTAAGTAGCCAACTATGAAACTAAGTGTAATAGTTGTTAAACATGAAAATAAATAATGCAAGTGACTTCAATTTCTAAATGTAGCAGAAAATTTTGAGCTAACTATAGACTTTATAATAGGCCTTTTAGAGTAGGATAACAATCGTCATTGTTAATATACCAGTTTGTTAACTTGTGTGCAGGTAATTGGTGTAGTTATTGAATAAAAAATATTTGTAGAAAGTACTTTTGTGACTGAATTCCTTGATAAGAACATTTAGAAAAAAATTAAAAAAAAAAAAATCATAAATTACAGCTATACCAATATAATTCAATTAAATTAAAGTAAAAATGATCTTCAAAGTAATTTGTTAATTAAGAAAATTTTCAAATGTTAACTTGAGAATCTGTGTATTTTTAAAAGTTTATGGTTTCATGAGTTAATGACTAATTATATAAAATTGACAAATAAATAAGGATAACGGAATAGTACAAAATAACACGCATAAAAGACTCATAACCATAATTATCAAACGATGAAGTGACACGCAACCGTTATCGGTTCTCTAATTCAATTACTAGACACGTTTCCCGCTGTCATTTTTTCCAGCAGTAATTCTACAAGAAAATATTAATGGTCCGTTACTTCAATAAGCAAACATACTCTCTCTTATTTCATCTAACATATATTCTGTGATATGAGTGCTACGTATTTGTACGCTGCAAAATAAAGGGTGAGTCTCGGCCACGACCTTTGACATACAATTGACTGCGTAGTAAAATTACATATGGTATGAAAGTTATAAAGAGATTAATTTTGCTGCTTGTGAAATCATTTATAGATTACTATTGGCATCTCTGGAGTTGCTATTGTTTTTTAATTATACACCAAGGTGATCAAATGATAGTTCAGGAATTATTTTGTGTTACTCTTGTATATAATGAATTATTGAAAATATAGTACAGAAATAATAAAGAATATTAAACATTAGGAGAAAAAATAGTGAAACTTGAACTTACTGGTCAAATGATAGATTGCGTCGCAAGCATTTATGTGAGAAAGAAATGCATTTCCTAAACCTTGTCCTTCAGCAGCACCTTTTACGAGTCCCGCAATATCAACTACATTCAAAAAAGCTGGTACTTTACTGAAATAAAAAAAAAAGTATTATTATACTTGTGATAAATATAATACATAATTTACATTGATATTAAATTATATTTGCTGTTTATTGGCAAAGAATTTCTCGAAGTACCTTTAATTAGATTATATTGACCAAGAGTTTTTAAACAAATGTATTTTTTAGTTTAAGTTTTGATGTTATTCATTGAAATTTTTAATTATGAACTTAAAAAATATATATACATATATATGTATATACATCAATATACATATGCATTATGTTGAATTGTGGATCAAAGGACAAAGTTCACGTGTGGACTAGATTAGGGGTGTTAAATGAGAGACAGAATCCACTGTGACAATGCATTTAAATGCTAATGCCGACCTCATTAAACAATTAGCCTTTGAAGAGATGTCAGTGGAAGTGATAGGAGGGAGTACCGATTAGTTAGCTTTTATTACGGCCCGTTGGATTCTACAACACGTGCCGTAAACTAAAATAACGCGGTCTGGCGTTGAAAATAAACTGCAAAACAACTACTACGTTTTCAGTTTGAATCTTTGATCTTCTACCGATTCCACTTACCCTTCACAGTTTCTTATATCAATAGAAACTCACATGCAAGGTTGTTGAAAATCTTTATTTGCTGATCAACTATTGTATAGAGTTGAATAAAATTTTTTTTAAGTAAAAGAATCAGTTTAGTTGATGAAGAATCAATGTAAAAATAATAGCATTTATTTTAACTATTAAAAATATTTTTTTAAATTATATTCTAATAATTGAATAATAGTTAAAAACAGCAAAGTACTAACTATTAACAGTCTTGGGAGATTTGTCGCAGTCTGTTCTGCAAAGCAATCATCAATAGGGAGACTATATTGTCGGTTGCACAATTTACAAAGTTGATGTTTGGTGTGTCAGTATATTTTAGAGGAGAATTTGGAATAATCTGCATTGCAGATCACGTTTCTAGAAACGTGACTCTCATCTCACTCATTCTGAGTTCCCTTTTGCTGTGTACGATAAAGGCGAAGACGTATGGAAATGTCGACAGTTATTCCGAATCGTTTCCTCTTCGAGGGCTCGTTGTGTATATATGTATATATATATAGTTACTGATATTGATAATAATATAAAATATTCCTTCAATGTATTTGACTTTTATTGATCAAAGTTTGATAATGATGGATTGTTTCTCTCATACCTCACTGGTTTGAAGTATTCGCACAAGTAGTCGAACCTGACGTCTGGGACTGGTACACGACGTGCTTAAACAAAAATTATACATAAGATAAAAAGTTTATGATTATTTGTTATAATATTTGAATTGTTAACAATAGATATAGAAATAGAATGATTTTTTTTTTTGTGAAATTAAATAGAAAAAATATGAATACTTATTTTCATTTGGATCAATAGTGCAGAAAGGGAAGTTCTCAGCAGCAGCTTGACTCTTTGTCAGGACGTTGAAAAATGTAGATTTACCAACGTTGGGTATTCCAACGATACCAATCTTCAGATTCGTACCCACTCGGCCAATGAGTGGCTTCCGTTCAGGTTCTTCAACCTTCTTAGGAGGCATGCTGTGGAAATGAAGGTGAATTATGGTGATGAGTTGAATATTATAGAGTACAAAATAACGTGTCGGTGGTGGCGATAGAATTTTATAGAAAAACGGAAAGAATGAAACTAAGATAAATAAACCAAATCTAAAAGTAGCATATCCCGAATCATATGTGTAACATATTATTCATCCAGACAAAGTCAGGAAAGAGAAAATACTGAATTCGACAGTAAATAATTATAAGTGTAGCAATGCAGAACGAGTAAGGGAATCTAACTGATCACCAGAATGATATTATTTTATTGTGTTTAAGTAAATCAAAGGATCTGATACATCACTTTTTGATTACTAGCAATTAATAAAATCGTTTCCGTGGTGATTTAAATTTAAATTTATTGCCTCGCGGACTATTTCCTCATTCGATTCTTTAGATAAATATCTAGAATGATGAAGAATATAAAAACAAAGAAAATAAATTAAAATAACTTGATGAGAAAAAAAGTAGTATAAATTTTTATAGTCAGACATGTTAAACTTTATCATTATTTTAATTGTCAAGTACTGAAGTTGGAGTGGATCTTTACTTTTAGGTAATTACAAACATTTTCGATCTCTCCAGGAATGACAGATTTTTAAAATAAATTGAAAACATTTTTATTTTATTATAAAAAAATATTGAATATTTTTCAGAGTAATTTCTTACTTTTTGTAAATCTCAACCTGTTTATTTAATAAAAAAATATCTGGTGAATAATTTATGTTAACAAATGAGTATTATTGAGCAGAAGTCGAAAAATGATCAAGGAAGTTTTGAAGTGGCAATTATGAAGTAAATTTGTATTCGAATGATAGGTTTAAGCGGCAGTTTTGTTTTAACATTTTTAGTGTATTTTTATCTTTATGCCCTTCTTAAAAGACACACCATGTATCTATATTCGCATTCACGCTCCTGGTTTGCACCGATGAAAATGAAAATGGTTTCAGTCTCCGGCACGCCCCGAATCCTCCTACCCATAATTCTTAAGCTTCAGCCGACAGTGTTTTCTAAGTATATGTGAAATGCCTCCGGCAGCTTCAGTCGACTGAATACGCTTGAGTGCTCGCGGTGACTAATTATATTAATGCAGACAGCATCGAGCGATTGCAGTGTTTACCACAAGATTGCTCTTGGTACCCGGACAGCGCGCATCTTGTATCAAACGATAAACCTGTGTAGGAAAAGAGACTGCGGCCGCAGGCACTGGCGCACGATGAACAAGAGGATGAAGTTGGCCACTGAAGAGAGGTCGAAGAGGGACGAAAACGAGGGAGGAATATGGCGGCCAGGGGCCCGATTACTGGGCACTAAGACCACGAATCACCGGCATCATGCCGAGAATCCGCAACTACGCCTTAGGCCGCCAATCCGCCACCGTCACTTGTGATTCACCCTTCCCCCTTCACCTCGCATTCTCCTTCAATTTTATCTCCCGATTTATACGCTTCAACATTTCACCGCACTGTTCTTTGTTTTTCCGCGATCCTAAGGAAATTTGCGAATTAAAATAATCATACAACATTATATTTATTCGTTAAAACTACTCTTGATGCATCTTAATGCTTTCAATGGTTATTGTACTGTTTAATATTACCAGCAGTATTTTTTTTATCTTAATAACTATCAATTTATTATTATTTATTATTTATTTCTATTTTTTATTTGTGTTGTTTAGTAGATTTAATATATTTATTACGAAAAAGTGCTACAATTTTATTTTATTGACATGTCGGTATAAATTACTTGTTTCAAACTCGTGCGTATTATCTACTGGTATGCCACGTAGTGGACAACTGTGTAACTACATCGAACTAACTGTTTGCTCACAACCTAACCTAATATAGACCTTATAAATTTTATAGATAGAATATTTTTATTATTTCAATATTCAACAATTATACAATAATTTACTTCAGTAGTATATTTTATTGTTATCATTTATGGTGTATGATATTGAGAAATATATCTTAATATTCCTTTTATTTTTATTCATGCTCGGAATCATGTGTTTTACTTTAGTAAAGTACGTATATAATTTTGGAGTAATTATAAAAAGTAAATAATAATAAGAAATAAGATTATTAATAATATAATGGAAATTACCTGGCTATGTTAAATCAATATTGATGTTTACAAATATAAGAGATGAAATATCACACACGAGGCATCGAATAACTTAAAAATATACACCGCACGATCGAATAAGGATATTCTCAAACCATATGCGCTCATGAGAGAAGAGTGCTGTCTTACCAACAGACATTGATGCAGAAAAAACATTAAAATACCAAAATATTCTTGTTGGTTAATTTAATTGTTGCATAAATATTAAAATAAAAACATTGTCTTGATATTACAAAAAAAGATCCTGAAAAAAAGACTGTTAATGAAAAAAGTGTTTAAAAGTCTTTCAATTTGTTAAAAAATACTGGAACAAATAATTCCAGTTGATACAATAATTATAAATCAATAATATTAAAAATATTATTATTTGATATTTTAGTCTGAGAGTTTCTTTTAATGTAAGTGGTTTTTATAATAAATCGAAAAGGCAAGATGTGATGATAGGGGCTACCATTTCTTTCATATCCATAAATCCAGTTTTCGCCATAGCTTGAATACATGAGTTATTTTGATTACCTAGCAATCACTGTGAATAATATACATTTATAACATTGATATAAAATGAGCAGTACTTATTGCTTATATAAAATTACATGTAACATTTAATTCGAAAGTTAATATTATGATATTGGTGTTTATCAATGATATCAACTTTTTATAAATCCATCATAATATGTAAGCTATATTATTATAATCATGTTTTTTTTTCTCTAGGTTGTAATAAACAGTTGTGATAATTCAATTAATTCAATATCGGATTAGAAAAAGTGTGTACAGTTCTTGAATGATATTCTCTTCAATAAAAATAATTAATATTATTGACATAACCAAATCATTTTATTTTCAGGCGCGGTTCATGCTGGCAAGATGCTCATGCACAAAATACATACACTAAAAGACGTCAGAGAGTTTGCGGTCACCAAATTACAATATCGTTAAAACGAGCGAGTTAATATTGAGTATAATACATGAGAGGAACTTTCTTCACAGTAGAATAGGCACATGATTATATGTTTTATGTACGCTAAGATTGGTACGGTATGTAATAAAATAATTGAAATAATCACACGCTACAAAGACGACTCACGCGTCATTAGGGGGCCGATAGGCAACCTCAGAATCCACGGACCATGCTTTTGCACAATTGCTAACTTTAAAATAATTTGGCAAACGTGGTTAAAAGTTGGCACATCATTCTACCCTATATCTCCAAATAACTTATAATGTTTAATCATTATGATTTCGTTATGAAATATTCACCATTTATTGCTTTGAATTTTTGCTTCAAAATTTTCTTCACCAGTCAATGATGAATTTATTCTAGCACAATATGATAAATAGATATGATTAATAATTATCAACTTTTATTATATTTGCTCTTTATATTTGTAAGAGAACATTATTTACTTTAAACGCAGGGTGCGTCTTGAGATTATAATTTTTTTATTTCATTCCTCAGCAATTTTAATACTATCCCTCGAATTATAAAATTTATTCCCATACATGATGGTGAAATTGGAATTGGATAATAATGGGTAGATTCGGAGAATTCACCATGTTGAATAAAATTAAGAATACAAATATGCTTCAACAGATACAAAATGATTATGATTAGCATTATTGATTTGTATTATTCATATGAACGTGTGATAAAGTTTAGTTGATAATTACATGAAGATTCAGATATCATTTGGATGTTTATAGTGCTTATAGTTGAACTGGGAGAGACTGATCCAATGCTAAGTAGAATTATGCACCAACTTCTAAGTGAATGATTGTAATCATTTGATTTCTAACATGGATAGTGCGTGTTTATGGTTTCTGTGAAGTCGTCGCAATCAACTACATTTGATGACTGCTTTCTAAAGGATCGGGGGAGACTTTAACACTTCGTGGAAGTAGGTTAATTTCTCTTATAAGTTTACGTAGAATTCTCATAAAATCTATTTGTTCGTGTTCGCTGAAAGAAAAAAAATGTCATTCTTTTTTTTTACAAAATCATTTTTTACTTTTCAATGCATTCAATACAATCATACATAATTAGAAAAGTTTATTAAAAAATAATTTAAAGATAAATGATTTTTATGTTATATTACAAAATATTAATAAATTTAATTATTTCATTTCCAGGAACAGTTCAGATAGTCATAAAAATTGGAGAAAGAACTAGTATTAAATACTGAATGAATAGTGTAACAATTTACAATTTTCATTCAATACGACATCTAAAAGACAACAGTCTTTCTAAAATGATTAAATTGACGTTTTAATCCTGACAATTAAAGCATTCCACGTTTTGGAGTAAATTTGAAAGGTGAGTCTGAGCAGTAAAAAAAATTTCCTAGCACCAGAGAAGAACTTATCCTCGGGACAGATAATTTTATTTGTTAGGAAAATTAAATTGGATCCTTTTGGCGTCATTTTTACTCCGAAGTTGGCTAGGATTTTTTAAATTAAAGAGATGCATCAGTTTTACTCCAAAAAAGTAATTGTTGTATTTTAATACTCTCAGGATATAAAAATTCGTTTATTAAAATTTGCCAAATGTCTATCATATTTCATGCATGCATTTACTCTTTGAATTCAATTGAATTTATAACGTTGTAAAGTTTCGATTTTAAAAGCATCTGTTATCAAAAGTGGTAGCCATATGTATTAATTCGCATATAAGGAAGGAAAACACATATGCATCCAGATGCCGCATTTTTCTTTTATAAAAATTTTTTATGTAAAGAATGTATAAGCCGAGACCTTACCTCATCAAATTATCTTTCTCTCTGGTATTTACAATTACCATACACACTCTTGCACAATTGCAGCGTGAGACTCGTGACAAGGACTAGTAGTTCAATGAGAGGTAAGGGGTGATTCAAGCATTACGGAGATCTGCAAAAGAAGGTTTAAGACCTGACAGTCGATTCAACTACGGTGGTAGAGTGTAGTAAAAGAAGAAAAATTCATTGCGTTCGTACATCGCGTGGCTAAACGTGAGTAGAGTTGGTGACCACGCCTACTTAGACAGCCGCCAGCCAACAATTAAGATTTGATCGGCAAAAATGGTAGAGGCAAAATGGCGCTGACCATTGAATACGTAATATGATCAAGCAAGACGATGGGTGAATTATCTCCAATACATGCCGCTTTAACGTTCATATTGAAAATCCTATACCGCTGCAGTCTTGGTTGATGTTGGAGATCTTGGAAATAGAAAACACTTTGGTGAGTTGATAACAACGAAAAAACCTTCTACCAATATTAATAAAATATTATTTTTAGCTTTTAGATTTGGATCATCTGAATGTCTTGGAGCATCTTTATTATCTACTTTGGTCATCCAGCAATCATTTGATGTCAACGTTGCTCCATTACCAGTTCTCTTTTAGCTTTTATTTCAAACATTTGCTAATTATTTTATAAAATTTCCAGATTTGTTTTTATCTCAGAGTAGAACATGAATTGCTGAGATAAATTTTAATGGAACCGATCAATAATAACAGATATCTTGAAAAATGATGAGCTCTTGAAAGAATTAAAACTGTGAAACATTTACTACAGTCATGATCTTAGAAGATATTTCGCCATATCTATGAAGTAGAGCTATAAGTACTAGTGATTATATAAATGTGTACGGCTACTGCTGTTGTTACTTACTTCCTCACCGACTCTTTTAAATCACGCTAACGCTCCCTAGTAATCATAGTTGCCGTAATTCTTTTATTTTTACTTTTAGCACACCTGAAATACACTTCTCGTGTGGAATAAATTATTCTAAACCTCTCTAATTTGATTCTTCTGACTGTTTTGAGAGAAATTTTTTCCATTTTATTGGAAAATCAATCATAGAACTGAAGAAGAACATTACTTCGCCGCCGGCTTTGGTATTCAAAGAAAAATGTTGGATTAATAGCGATCTTGAGAAATTTTGTGTTTTGCGGTGAAAAAATAAAGATAGTCGATCGTTTGAAAATAATTGATTGAAGTAATTTTAGAAATCATAGAGAATGATTATAGGAATTCAACGAGTGGAATGCAAGTGGCCAACAGCTTCAATTCAGAATAAAAGAGTCGGTAGAAGTTTTCATTTCTTTTCCTTTCAACAATGGTAGAGTTTCTAGAGGCGATATCTAACTGACCGCAGTAATTGTTTCCTCCAGTTTATAGTTTTTTTGTAATGCCATGATATCTTAACTCAATTTATATATTTTACTTATATGTTGGGCGTCGAGAACCATCAACTTTTTCCTAAAATTCGCCGCTAGCAACAAAACGTTTCTATAAACCACTTCAATAATACTTCCCTCAACGTCTGAAGAATAACTCCAAGTACTTTTAGTTATGAATTGATGGACTAAATTGTAAATAATAGAGGAAACGATTTATTTTCTCTTTTGGAGTCATCAAAAAATGATATCACTTCAATTTTAACTTTAACTTTACAAGTGATCACAGACAACACAGTAACATGTTCCATGTTATAATTACTCTTTCTTTAAATTTTTTTGAAAAATTAAAAAAGTTAATGAATACTTCAGTAATGCACGCATAATTGTACGTGCAATGTTTTCATGTAAATTGAAGGAATTTTTTGTTATACACGATGAAATTCATTTGAGTTAATCATTCTTAATAAGTAAAACAGAGTCTAATAAGAGCGTAGCTGAGCGTTTAGAGGGATGAAATTAGCATCGTCTAGCTATGATATGGAAATATTCGTGGTAATAACAGCTCAGTGGCCAGAGTAACAACGAAGAGAGGTCGCAATGCAAAATATTTTCGCGGAAACCTGGTCGATGGTGGTATTCTCTCGTGGTATTATTCCTCTCTTGGCTTCCTCTGGTTCTCTTTCTCCCTTGAAAATTAAGAGTTTTTTTTAAGGCAACACTGAACGGACCTATCGTTTAAGCCAGATCTCCATGTAAGATTGCTGGCCCCAGGGGGTGGTGGTTCTTGTTCGAAGGCGGACCTCTTCAAAAACCCCACCATTATGTCTCTTTTGTAGACACCATTCGATGATGCAAAAACTTGTTTTTTTGGCAATAAAAATATTCTAGAGAATCTTTATCGCCTTTTGTAAAAATTGCTATTAAAGACCATCCATTTTAACGAC